CCGGGTTTATCCGGTTTTGTCACCAGGGTCCTGTCCCAGCCCGTTCACAGGATGATTCTGCCAAGTGTGAATGTGAATTGGGTTTGAGCCTAGACTGTCTTAGGATCTTCCATCAATGAAGTACAAATCTCACAGAGCAGAAGGGGTTGCACATCTTTTTGATTGATTTTGGGCAACTTCTGTGCTTAGGCGCCAATTTGGAGTCATCAAAATACTTATCTCCCTTAGTTTTGACACAATAAAAATCTGTCTTGTATTTATATTCCCCTCATCGAAAGGAGCATTTTTACTGGTGGATATTGTTATCTGATTCTTTCTAGCAGCACTCAAGTGAACCGCACCCAAACCGCACTATTACATGAATACACGGACATTCATTGGTCACAAAAAGAGAACAAACTTTTATCAGGCTTTACAACGGAGTTTGTGGACCTTCCAGTCTTTCTTCTGGCATTCTGAAGAGCAATACCGCACCTTCTTGCAAACCGTGCACATCTTTAACTTGGGCTTGCCTTTTCCTCTGCACACGAAGCATCTATATGCCTCTGGGTCACGGCCCACCGTCTCCAGGTAAGAAACCGCGAACAGCGGGGACAACGCAATCCTGGTCACATATGGAGCTAGCGGTTTCCACATGTTCACCTTATTCATGCCCTCGACATCCTTTCCCCTTCCACAACTGCATAGAGGGTTCTTCTCCATATCCTCCGTAAGCGGGATTTTGCCCTGAGCCTTGTACTCACAGTTCTCCCCGTGCGACCACGATCTGCACCTCTCAACAAAAGCAGGTATGAGTTGCTTCCAGGTTTGCATCTCGCCCTCGAAGACAGGAACATTTCCCATATTTCCCTCGAAAACAAGTTTCGCAAAGGGCTTCTCAATTTTGATCAAGAGCGCACGAGTAAGCGGGAGAACGTATCCATCGCAGATTACTGTATGAGATGCTAGGTCATATCTCAATTCACTGATAAAAAATATAGTGTCGCAATTATTCGTCGCCTCGTCTTGCAGGGCAAAAAGTCGCCGTGGGGGCTCACTCTGGATACCTGCATATCCAACAAAGATGGCGTGCAGAGTATCCTTCACGAACATAAGAGCATCACTCCTGTGCTTTTTCCTATTTGATCGTTCACGGGACGACAGCATGGAACCAACGTGAGGGTTGAGCCACTGGCCGATCTTTGGTCCTTTTATATCAAGGACTGGCAAGCGAGGCAAATTGATGCGATGGATACTCCAAGAATTGAAGATGCCTCCTGCATCAATCACGGGGAACGGATTGATCTTCATACCGTCAGGTTTCAGTGTCCGGGAAGCAGGGACCACAACCTATCCACATCCACTCCACATTTCAGCGTACGTTCAAAAAATATCATGTGAAAGTTGTAAAGACCTACCTCAATATATAAAGACTTTCTAGCAAGGCGAAGCTTATTGGCACTTCCCGATACAGGGAAAGGAAAAATAACGTCCTGCTCGCGACTGCCAAGAGTTATTCTCATTACACAAGGAGACACTTGTGCTACCTGAGGAGCAGCCCCGGACTGGAATAGCCGCTTTGATTCTATATCGCTGACAGAGACTCGACAGGTCAAAGAAGCAACTAGCTCGCACTGTTCATCCAGCTCGACGACTGCGGCACTTAGTTCTCCTATTTGAGAGAGAAGGCCTTTTATAGCAGGAGCAGGGGGTGATGGTGAAGCCTGGGGCTTTTTGGAGGGTAATGGATACTCAGGCAAAACATGGACTAGAGACTCGTCCATAAGTTTCGCGCTGAAAACAGTCAGCCTTATACCAAGCTTGTTTATTAGTGTGAGTGTAGCAGGGGTGCTCCTAACCGTGAGGTCCACATTAAGGTTCTCTGGAGGCTCCTTATCCGTAAGGAGCATTGTGGGCATCGTGAATGACACCACGAGCGACGATGTTCCAGACCAACCCTTGGTATCCTCCTCGAATACAACTCTTGGGTTTGCTTTTGTGCCCATCGAGATTGCCCTCCCAAATGCCACGTGTATTGCAGTAAATGTATTTTGGCACCAATTGCCTATAACATCAGCCTGCAGTGGTGGTGTGCCAATTTCGTCTGTCGAGTGTTCGAGGACAGCCAACTTTTCACGAGGAATGACAAGAACAATTCTGACAATGGGAGTAACAGTATCCCAATGTGATACTCTACCCAGTTTAGACGCCTTCATATGATAGATAGGCATGGTGAAAACGCCGTGACGGTACAGCAGCCCACACAGGTCTTGATAGTTGAGCGTATCCATTGGAAGTGTCTGATCTGCATGCTCTAGGTCGAAAAATCGATCCATAATTTCCAACCACGTTTCCTCAGAGACAGAAAGTCTATCCCTGACAAGACGAAGTAGAAGCACAAAGCTCTCGCGAATGTAATGAACAAGGTTCGAGCTCCCGACGGCTTTCGCTAAGTTACCTTGATTAAGTCTCCAAAAGTGCATAGCGTCCTCCTGTTCAAACAATTCGTGATATATATCGTAGAGAAGCGTACCAAGCTGGCGTGGATCAAAAACAGGAGGTTGGATATTTGCAATGTGTGGGGCCGCGATGGTATCTCCAGAAGCAGGTGCCTTCCACGTCGTTACTTGATGATATTGTGGCACATCACGCTTCTCTTTAGTGAGCTGCCGATACAGAGTCACCTCGTGAGTGTTGGACCGTGTAGTGAAGCCAGACAGATAGTCAACTGGACACAAGCCAAGCAAGAGACCGACAGCAGTCAAATCGGCATATAAATGCTCTGCAAACTCCTTTGTCCCATCCAGTCCATGGAACAACAAAGACTCGGCGTAGAGTACGCTAGACGAAGAAGGGGAAAGAAGTGGAATTGAAGCGACCAAGACGTTGAGAAGTCCGACATGGTCATCTAGATTCGAGGTGTCGATGACATTAAATGAAGTCGGCGCACCGCCAGATAGATATTCGTCTCCATTAAGGTTGATCAGTTGCGTTTTCCACTGCGCAACTGGTAAGCCCATTTTAAGGGTTCCTGTGAGAGCAAAACCTTGAAGTGCACGGCATACACGAGTGACATCCCCTACGATGAAGCGAATGGTAGGGCGAGAAGAGGAAGAAAGCGATACAGAGTAAGCAGAGCACCAATCGTTGAACTCAGCTTTTGCAGCCTTGACCACATCAACCATAGATACAGGCCCTCTCGTATTCCCGAACAAGGCAGCGAGGTGGAAGGGTGTCATTGGGTCAGTTCCATAGTGGACGGAGAAACGCTCCCCGGCTAGAGAATATACAAAGGTAGGGTTGAGTAAAGTGGCAGCAGCAAGCTCTTTGCTATTCGTAAAAGTAGTTCCGGTCTTCCAATAATTCTTGATCTGGTCGGACATAACATGTGCCGCCTTGATTAAAAGAGGACCCGAGGAACGTGCTGTACTCAGCGCACTCCCGAACATTGTGGCTTTGTACTGATTTGTGAAGGCGTTACGGATAGCTTTGATCCGCGTGCTTGGTAAATTCTCCAGTTCTACGTAAAGTGACCAATGACGCCGGATTTCTGCCAGGGTATACTCTGTACACATTTTGATGTGCGGGCCATAAATGGAAGAGTTCCAGTTCTTCAACGTGTCAGAGAGTCCGATTAATTTCTTACAATGCTCGATCAACGTGGAGTGTGTGTCCTTGTCCACATAAAAATGGAAGAATATATTCCAGATGGTAGAGTTTGAATGCTTGTCGGCTATCATCGTAAATAGCAAGACATTGCGGGCTAGAATGAACGATCAGTGTGTGAAATGAAATTGTGTTAAGGCATTATATATTCAAGTGTGGCGTACCCAGTATAGCAGGATCAATGTCACAGCAGGTGAAGTCAAGCTTTCGACCAACTAGAATCATATCAGTGTTGTGGATATCAGCATATGCGGCCACTCACAGCTAGGAGGCTCGCAGAAAATGGTGAACAAGACGTTTCGTGGATCGCCACAACCCAATAATAAGAGATTCCCCGGCTCATCAGGAGGAAGGTCCCTTGATAAGCATACAGCGCTTGTATTTCCTATGGCATAAAAAAAGTATTTTCCTGGCCAGACAAGAGGATGAGACATTGCTCGTAGACTGGGGTGGTGGGAGAAAGGGAGACAAACTTGAACCCTGAGGATGTGCAGGCTCAGGCCATCGCCATTATTGGAAATGGTTGCTGACAACGAGACAAACGGCATAATCCGGTGTTCGACCTACAAAGAAGTCAATCCATAATGGTACAGTATTCAAAAGAAATACTGAAAAGGTAGGCGCTGGCTGGCACAGGCTTGGGTAAACGACATCTCTTCCCAATGCGGATACTCGAATGATAATGGTTGCACATTCCCTGTGCCATTGCATATCGAATGGAACTGTCTTTCATATGTTCGTTGCAGTAGACAGGCAAGCACCCTGATTGTACTACTCAGGTTGAATGTGAAAAAGTAAGTCACAACCGCTGAGCTGCCGCTTCATTACTAAATCTCCTTTTTAGTAAATCTGTCCGCCCATCCGCCGTCCAGTCTTCGGCCCCAGCCGGTTCCTTTCGCAGCGAAGTGAAGCTCTGTTTTTTGTTCCAATGACTTGAAACCGCCAACGTCCATGCCCGGGTCGCATTTGATTCAATTTTGACGTGTGGATTCCTTGTTGTTGCACTTGTATTCCTTAAACTCAGAAGGAATGATTATTTATACTATCTATCCATCATATCCATGGATTGATCTGACACTTACACGGTTATATGGATCTCTCCCACCACTTCAATAACTTGCATTGGTCGATAGCTTTTAAGTCGGAGCGCTACTCCCTTCGACTCAGACCCATCGATGGAACGGCGAGATAGCGTTTATTGCGGCCCGTAGGCTGTGCAGCTTTAGGTATTCATGATAAGAGTCTATTGTGAGCACCTTGGAACACAATAGTGTGTGATATGACAACGGGGACCTACAAGGATTCTGATAACGCTAAACGCATATGCATCATAGGCGCAGGACCTACAGGGCTTGCTGCTCTCAAAGTGGTCCTTGACTCTTCACATTATAAAGATGGATTATGGAAACCCACGGCTTTCGAAGCCAGAGAGAACATTGGGGGGATCTGGTATATACAATTCTTTCAACCTCAAATGATAAATACTAACACGGAGATGTGTGATTCAGGTTACCAGCTGAACCGGATCATAACCCCCCCGTCACGCCCTTGTATGATTCTATGACAACAAACCTACCTCATTCCATAATGGCGTACAAAAGCTTTCCATTCCCACCTTCCACTCCAGTCTTTCCAACAGCCGCAACAGTACACGCATACCTAGAGTCTTATGCGGATACTTTCAACCTACGGCCATATATTCAGCTCAACACTACTGTGCAACACGTAAGATGGTGTTTGTCCGAGTCACGTTGGATTGTTGAGGTATCTACCGGTGAGGTGATATCGTTCGATTTTCTGATAGTTGGCAATGGGCATTTTCGGGTGCCTCGATATCCGGACACTCCTGGTCTTGCTTCATGGCTCATGGAAGGCAGGGCTATCCATTCTGCCTGGTATCGTCGTCCAGACTTCATAACGGATACTTTGCTCGTCGTAGGCGCTGGCCCAAGTGGTCAAGATATAACCGCCGATATGAGCAGTTATGCTCGCGTTGTCATTCACTCGGCAAGTGGAACTACGTCAGGAGAAAGCGGGAACGTCAAAATGCGAGGTCGTATCACAGAATTCAGGAGCAATGGCGAAGTTGTTTTTGAGGATGGCTCCAGAGAGCAAAATGTCGACCACTGTATACTTGCCACGGGCTATCAATATTCTTATTCCTTCTTCGACTCCTCCGTCGTGACATTGGAAATGCCACCACATCACCTGCCGATTCCACAGGGCCTTTACAATTCCTCTTATCATATTTTCCCTCTTGCCATGCACCTTTTCCCTCTGCGTGCAAAGTTCCCTCCTTGGAGCATCGCGTTTATGGGCCTTACTCTCCGTGGTATTCCTCTGTCACTGTTCGAGTCGCAGGCTCAAGCTGTTGTCAAAACGTTCGCTGAGCCTCACACACTGAATATCCAAGCAGAAGAAGCCAAACTGGTAGCACGATATGCTTACCTACACAAGCAGTTGGGTGACCAACCGACCCTAATAGCAAAAGCTTGGCACTTCATCACCGAAGCCGAGTCATTTGAGTACCGTGATCAGCTGCATCAATACTCTGGGACGTTGGATCCGCAAAAGGTACCAGAATGGGAAAAGGAAATGTGGCAGAATAAAGGTGTGCTCAGGTCAGAATGGAAAAAACTAGAAAGAGCGGGGGAAGCTAGAATGTGGGTGGATGGCATTGGGAACAACGGAGGGGATCAGTGGATAGAGCTACTCCGGAGATTGATTCGCCAAGCATGTTCTAAGAATGATCCAGGAACATCTCGGTTCCGTGACTCTGTGGTCTAACCAGACCAGACCTGGAGTCTGGTGTATGGATTCATAGTGCGGTATTGAATCCACTTGCAATTGTTGTGCCAGTTTTGTGAATAGCTCATTGTCTTCGAGATTGTCATACGACATGCGAGTCACGTGCCGATACAGCCTTGCAGTGATTTTGAATTGATCTGGCATGTTCCTTGAGCTGACCAAATCCATGGCTAAGCTTACCAAGTGACCTAGGCTGTACTTATCCTTTTCCACCCTTGCTCCCTGTATAATACACGTTTCTTAGTACCACGTTTCTTGTATCCATACCACCATCATCCCTTTCCTGTATAACCAGCTATGTCGAATGGACGGGGACTACCACTTCTCAGTGGCCCGCCACCTTCTTATACTGGTGATTTAGGCTCCTCGTGTAGGAGATGCAGCAAGGACTTCAATGTCATCTTTTCTAGAGCTAAGAGATGTAATCACTGTGGTAAGTACAGCTCGCAGCCTCTGATCGCAGGCGGTGCTGACTTGAGTTCCTATTTCCAGGCTACTCCTATTGTTCCTCCTGCTCCGATTTCCAAGCATTAATGCCGCGCCCTGGTCCCCTATCTGGGATATCGGGTTATGATACAGCAAGTGTCTGCGCATATTGTATCGAATTCTTGACCAGTGCGTTGGACTTTGTCTACTTGCCGATCGTTTGGTTAATCGTCGTAAGGATATTCCAGTAACGGCATCGGGAAAGACACACTTAAAGTCTATGCCATTAGCCAAATTGAAGAAATACGTTGATGTTTATAACATTAAAGTCAACGGAGCAATCGAAAAACAGGATCTCATCGATTCCATCATCGCCGTCAGAGTGAGTTACCGCAGTTACAGCTAGCATCCATTCAAAATCCATGTTCACACACACACGTTCACAGACCGCTTACGGATGTCTGCCTTTTGCAAATGAAGTATGTCCCTTATCGATAGTCTCCTCTGTTGATGCAGCACTTTGTAACCCTGTTTCCGTAGGATTACTACCGTAAACATTCAGTACCTAATCAAGGGTCCCCCGGCCGTCGTGGCATATTTTCACGCTTGGCTCCAGACCCTCCTCTTCGACCAAGTGCACAACCACGCGCTCAGTCTTCTCGCCCTGCGTTCGCTCGCCCTGACCTCGATCCAAATCACAGACCCACAACATCATACACACCTCGTCCGCAGTCGCAGTCCCAGACCCGTCCACAGACACAATACAGGCCGTACACTTCTTCCTCGCGTTCAGGCAGTACTTCCCACCGGTCTACGTCTTCGCAAGCGTCCCCGAATTTGGGCGTACCGCCACAACATGCCCGGACGCGCACAACATCTGCGCCTCCTACACCCACCCCTACGCCACTCGTGCCAGTCCCGGTGCCGACATTGGACGAGTTGCTCGACATGATGCCATATCAGATAGCTGCTCTTTCGATAGGGACGCTGAAGGGCATTTTGTCAGATAATCATGTTAATGCACGGTTGATACTAGAGAAGAGCGACCTTGTAGCCAAGGTCAGTACACTGGTAGAAGATGAACGGCAAGAACGTGAGAGGAAGAGGAGAGAGGAAGAAGAGGAAGAACAACAACAAAGGTGGGCCAGAGAGGATGCAGAAAACGAGAGACAGAGACAAGAGGCTGCTGCTGCAGAAAGGGCACGGCGGCAAGCCCGCGTATCCCCCGATATTGACGAAATGAACGTTGACGGCTCTACAACCGCTGAGGCAGGACACCAGATACAATCATCTGACGAAGACACCAACAGGGCCAAGTCCCCGGCGCCACCGATGACACCTCCAAAGGCGCAGCCACTCGTCGAACGCCATGGACTCTGTACCATATGCCAGGATGAAGAAGCAAATATTGCCATTGTAGATTGCGGGTACGTCAGCATTATTGGCATATGAGCGCCAGGTCTTCTTGTCCGGTCTTGACGCTGATAATGGTTCTTTTCATTTCCTAGACATCTTGCAATGTGTCGCGCGTGTTCAGAGTTGGTGATGAGCTCGACCCGCGAATGTCCCCTCTGCCGCACACGTATAGTTACTAGCGCGCGTTTATTGCGAATTTACAGGACATGATGCACGAAGGCGTTAAGACGTTAGCTCTGCTACACCGAATGTATCTGTAGTATACCTGGAACTGGTTTTTTCACATTAAGTCATGTTTATGGTCTTTGTTGTTCATCATTCTGGTTGTAATCCTCTCCTCTCTCTACACATATGAATGCAAATGCAATACTGTAGAATGTTTTTTTTTTATTCCCGAAGATGCACTCAATCTAAAATCCTGAATCCTGAAGAATTCACCATAAAATACAAAGCAAATCACTGTTGTTATTCAACTATCGTAGTAATCAAGAAGCAAGAAAAGCGACTTCGACTTGCGAAAGTGAGCATGTATATACAATAACAGTGAATACATTAATACTAGTGATGAATCGCGAGCGTTTCAAGAGTATATGAAAAACAAATGTAAAAAATCGCAGCACTTTGGTTGTTGAAGACAGATAAACGAACAACAATCGTAAAAGGGTATATGGGAACATTGAATGTGAATGAAAAACCTCACCTCACCTCTCACCTCACAAATAAAAAAAAATACAAGCCATCACTTAGGAACCATTTCGTTTATCCGCTCCCTTACACCCTCCCCTCATCAGGAGGCGGCTCCGTAATCTCAACTTTCCTCTTACTGTCAAGCATCGCTCCCTCCGTGCTCGCCATAACACCCGCCTCACGACACGCCTCAACTGCCTCAGCGCCCAATCCAAGATCATCGAGAGGTATCCAAACGACCCTCTGCGGGCGCGACGTAGCAGGATGCGCAAAGCCATAGTCAACGCGTTCTCCAGGGACGTATTGAGAATACGATCCACCGGTGATGGGAGCGCCAGATGCCCAGGAGGCGTATTTGGATTGTCCCCCCGGGCTGGTGGGCGAAGTGGGGGAGGTGGGGTTGCTCCCGCTCCCGCCGGCTTTCTCGTCGATGGGCCGTTGTCCAGCGTCCATATGGTTGGCATTGTCTTCAGTGGTAGTAGCGGGCTCGGGCTGCCTGTATGCCCTGTCTGCGAGACTGAGTGGGAGGGCATGTATCAAGGGGCCAAAGGAGTTGTTAATGATGGCATGGAAGGCGGCCTAAACATAACGTAGATTATACTGCCCTGTTAGCTAGGTTTTCACGGGGAATATCGAAAAGACGTACGGTGAATACAATAAGAACAACCATCAGCGCTCCTTCTGGGACCGCACTCTGCTTTTTGTCTGCATCCTGCGCGAGGAAGAATAATGCACAGAGGCATAACTGCTGCACATACATCCCGACGAAGACATGTTGTATAGCTTTCGGGAAGAAGAGGCCGCCAGTCTCGCTTGTTGTAGGCTGAGTGAATTGGTACAAGAATAGGAATTTGTAAAGTTGGTAGAAAAGGAAGAAAGCTGCGCAGGCAAAGCCGTTGATGATTGGCGAGATGATGGAGTAACCGAAAGCTGGAATAGTCGGTGAGTTAGAGCACGTCGGTGAGACGAGAGTGAAATAGCTTACTAATGACAACGAGTAAAGTCATCGACGGGAACAATGTACCCCATGCAACAGATCGGGCGCCGTACTTGATATTATATATCGATCGAGGGGTACTTCCCAAGATGAACAATTTCACATAGTACAGCGCTAGTGTTACAATGTTGAGGAATCCACCGGCCACTCCCGAGAGACCCTGCAAAAGGATGTATCTACAGAAAACAATCAGCAAAGAGATAAGGACTACAAGTATTCAACTATACGCACGTCAAGAAGAATGTAGATGCTTGGGGAAGATATTGTGCAAGAAGGCTAGGGATTCCAGTGGGGTTCTTCAACAAACCTGGCAAGGCAGCGATAATACCCGAACTAAGGGTTACAATCAAGAAAGAATGCTAAACATGATCTTCAGCATCTGGCCTTCCACTATGATTACGAAGAGCACACTCACAATAACCTGGAAAATGAAGAATCGCGTCATAAGGCTGAGTTCGAGACCATTTTTGGTGGGTATGCCCTCGAACCGTCCGAGAAGACGCAATATGATAGGGAGTAACATCATAAGAACCGCTAGCAACACTGGGGGCAAGACACCCTGAATGATACCATTAACTTCCAAAGGAATTTTGCAAAGCCAAGCCAGCCAAGCAGCGCGGACACAAAGGCCTTTAATGTTCGAGATGATACCAACAAAAGCGACTATGAAAAATGATATATGAGAACTGCGTATCTTTATATTATTGGCTGTTCTGACTACTCACCAGGGAGCGCCCATAGAATGATCAACCCCGCAGTAGCCGCATAACTGATCGCCAACCTAGCCTTTTGTTCGTACGGGTTCAAGCCAAGATTTCCCCAGATAACGTCCTCAGGAGCAACTTCAACGTATTTGTCGTGCATCCTGTATGGTTCATGATGGGTAAGAGCCCGAACGGCAAGATGGGCAGCAATTTGCTGGTTGAATGTCACAAAGGCAGATGAGAGAGGAGGGTAAGTCTGTAAGGGACGATCATTGGAGTCTACTTTCCCATCACCGTTAGTGTCTTCCGGCTCTGGCAGAGGCGATTCTTGAGAGATTGCCTCGCGACCTCTCTCAAGAAGAACAGTCATTGTCGCAATTTCCTTCCGTGCCCAGTCAATTGAGTCAACTTCCTTTCCGATCAAGGGCAGAGAGAAAGGCATAAAGCCAGCGGGGAGTCGATGCGTAGGCCGCTTGTTCTTCGGGACAAGTTTTTCGGCGAGAGAAAGGTCGCGTTCTGCATCGGTAGTATCGGCGATGGAAGTGTCCTTGCCTGCTTTGGCGTCTTTCTCGAGCTGTTCAGCACGTAGTTTTGCAGCGGTAGTTATAAGCGCAGTTTCAGCTGACTCTAGTTTCCCGGAAGCCGCAAGCCGTCGATCATAGATATCAGGCAGTTCCTTGAGATCACTATTGAAAAATTTTAGCAAAGCAACTCGGAAATCATATCAGCCGCCTGAGAAAAGTCCTTATGATCCGTCCTGCGGACAGCTATATCGTGATAAATAAGTGAACAAGGTGGCCCAGGCACAGGGACCGCTTAAGCAATAGGAACTGCCGGATGCAACGGGGACATATCTCGACGCGACACGTAGACTCACCGGTTGATCCAAATTTTCTTGACGCCCCCAGGAAGATGAGAGTACATCTTGCTAAGTGCTTTTTCAGACAAAAATTTGGCAGGAATTCCAGTGACGAGAATGGTGTTGGCCTGAACTGTGGACGAGTGTTCAGGACTGATAAGGAAAATTTGACGGGCTGTGATGAATTTTTGCATTTCGTATCTGATATTCCAGAATATCCAAACTGTAATAATATCAGGAATGATATATGTGAAAGAAAGGAGATGATACAAACAAGTGAATATCCAGACGAGAATGATGTGTGCGGCGTAGCGGTCTTGTTGAGAAGTTGGAACATTACCAAAGATGAAACGGTCAAGACCTGTTTTTCCTGTGCTCAAAGTGCCAGCCGAAGTGGTAGGGAGGAGGACGATCCAAGAAATGATCCAAATTGGCAAGAGAATGCGAACCATCATGCGGAGAAAGCGGACGAAGAAGTAAGCATCCGGACCGTTAACTTGCATGATGTCTTGGTAGTTCGCTTTGAGCAAAGCGATAGGCCAGGTGAACATTCCAGCGACAAACGGTTTCACACGTTGACTAGGGGCGCGGTGTAGGCAACGAGTTTTGATAAGGCGAGAAAGAAAATAACACACCTGGCGATTGGAACTAGAGTGCGTGGTTCATATATTTGCTTGAAGTAGGGACGAAGGAATGTGAATGCGAGAATTTCAGCGCCTGCGACAGCGCCATTGAAGACCAAGGCTGACAAGAACGTCGCCGTCGTTGCGGATGACGTGTTGGTGGGGTCCGCCCTGGGAGAGAAAAAAGGTGAGCATTAGAAAAGAGGTGTGGAGGGGAGGTACGGACATGGTGAGTGGAGAGAGAACAAGGAATGAGCTGTAAAGGAGAGTGAGGGGTGCTTAGTTCATGTCTTTTTAAGACTATTCTGAGCACAGGGCCTTGATCGCTTTACGTGCACTCCATCGCAGACCAGACACACCTGCCTCATTCGGCTGATCCCGAGTCGGAGTCTCCTTCTCGACGTCATTCCACTCAAGTTTGCATATCGCTGCCTTGGCTCTCCTGTCCTCCTCGTCGTGGCCCTCGTCCTCCTCCTCGTCCTCCTCGCTATTGTGCACGACGATGGCCGCCATTTCTCTTATCGATGGGTTCACACCATCGCACCTGTCATTCGGCTGCCAGTACATTTGATTCTAGCGCAGGAACGCTGTAGTTCGGAGACTCCGACACCACAAAGGCACTGCATGCATTTTCCATATTTCAGCACGCCCGCCACAACAAACGTAATCTTACCCGGTAGGCCCAGCCTGGTTGCATTGTGGCCAAGTCCACCTTGTCTCACTCAGATCCACAGTGATACAAATATTCGACGTAATCGACAGTCCAATACATTGCAAAGTCGTTCCTACGACAAATGCTCCATACGAGCTATCAGCATCGTTAATGTGGTATTTTTGCCTTTTGACGCACTGGCTGATATATCTTGGGTTAGCCTATCTTGAGCTTCGTGCCTCGGCCACATCATGGGATCAGCGGTTAGGATAGCAAATGCATCCTTCGGTAAGCATTCATGTCTTCCGGCTTCAGTTGAGCCTCTGTACGTACTGTATTGCTTCGTACACTCACACTGTTCTCGGCAAAAGTTCCAGTTGCCTTACAGAGAACCCTGTCATCTGAAGGTCCCGACCCGAGATGCCCCCATTTTGTCCTCGATGAGCAAAACGAAGAGCTCATGCTGCTCAAACGCGCACGTTCAAAGACTTGCAATATCAATTCATCGTAAGCGCCCATCAACGAAGGTGTAAAGTGAGTCAGTGTTCTTCTGGTTGCCATTTCTGGGATAGGCGCTCCCTATGTTGCGGTATGGCACTCAAGTCCTGGTCGTCTTCGTGTCAATCAAACGGGGAACGAAATGAAGAAGGAAAAAAAAAAAAAAAAGCCACAAGCATACCCAATCCAATGAAATGTCTCTTGTTAAGACTGGAGGAAGTCATCTCGTTGTGGCTGGCGTTAAGAGCCTCGAGCAGAATTCTTTCAATCCAGCGCTAGATCATTCCTTCGATTCGGACATGTTCTCCAGGGAGGTAATGTGACTCAGGACCTTGTGCTTCAGGGGTTGATAGCGTATCTCCATGATCATCGTGGTAGCCATTTTGATAGTTACTCGCAAACCTTACTGAATGCAAAGATGGATGTTGTTTTGACAGAGGTGAAGCGCCCTATGAGACGCTGGCGTCGTATTTTTCCCAGATATCAGTGTCATGTCTATGGTGACGTTAACGGCCTCTAAGAAACGTCAACTTTCATTCTATGGGAAAGTATTGCACATTGCTAATATATTAGCACGTGCGTACTATCGTATATCACATTGAGTTGTCAATGCGCTTTCTCGCTCTAAACTATGCATGCCGTAGTTATTAATTAACTTCTACTGCTTGGTGCCAATGTCGACGATCTATACCCTATTGCAACTGAGGCACCTAACACGATGAACGGGTGAGGCACCTCATAACAGAGCCCATAATCCTCGGAAGCGGGGATGTGTCACCGGGCGCTCTCACCCTGGAATATATATAATAACAAAGTTTACACTAGTTGGTTTCTACATCCCACCCCTTCTTCCTCTTCCCCCCACATCATCCGCGTCGAGGTCGAGTAAAGATGCTCGAGGCTTCACGCATCATCACCTTTCTTGCCGTCGCGGGAGCTTTACTATCCGGGGCTCACGCGATCTCCGCAGTTACTCGGTCGGGCAGGTATTTGTATTCTGGTGGAAATAGGTTCTACATCAAGGGTATAGCGTATCAACCTCAAGGTGTGTAGCAACCTTGTTCAGATCTTTTGAATGGTGGAGAGGGAAGTGTCTGCGTACGTTGAGCTGACTCTCATTTCCCGGTATTCCAAGGTGTTGAAGTTGCCAGTGCAAACAATCCATTTCTCTCCCCCTCAACTTTTGTCGACCCATTGGCAAATTCGACTGCATGCGCCCGCGATCTGCCTTATCTGCAACAATTGGGTGTCAATGCTATCCGGGTGTATAGCGTCAACTCGTCTTTGAACCATGATTCCTGTATGCAGGCATTCAGCAATGCAGGTATCTACACAATGTGAGTCCCCCCCTCTGGCTTTATCCAAACACTTTGTTCAACCTCAATCTCTTGCAGTATCGACCTGTCGTTGCCCGTGAACGGTTCAATAGAGAGTACTTCCCCCGCCTGGACCACCAATCTCCTCGGGCTGTATGTCGACACCATCGACGCATTCTCTAAATATGATAACGTGCTAGCTTACAACGTCGGAAACGAGGTCATCACATCTGCTGCTACGTCAAATGCGGCTCCATTTGTGAAGGCTGCTGCGCGTGATATCAAGGCATACCTGTGAGTAAACACGACTTGCGCTAGATCCGAAAACCCGTGTTTCTCCCAAAGCCTATATTTTTACTCGATACTCATGGGCTCCAAAAACTATGCATAGAACGTCGCAGAAATCATCAGTTATGGTTGGCTATGCTGCCATCGATGGGACTGCTGATTGGCTCGATCCCTTCGCGGAATATCTTTCTTGCGATCCTTCCGGGTCCAATTCGGCTTCCACTTCCATCGATCTATTTGGCCTCAACAACTAGTGAGTATTCACTTATTCGATATCACACCATATTCTACTGTCCCTTCCGTGTCGAACTTTTCGAAACTGAGTGCTGATACATTGGTTGACCCTTCTGCAGTCAATGGTGTGGCAACTCGAGCTTTGCAGCTGCCTATGCAGACACGGAAGCGCAATTCCAGAATTATAACGTCGCAGCTTACTTTTCTGAATACGGTTGTGCCTCCGTCTCGCCCCGTCCCTGGACAGAGGTTGGCGCGCTCTTTAGTTCCGAGATGTCCCCTGTCTGGTCTGGTGGGCTCGCATTCTCCTACTTCCCCGCCACCAGCGCAGCAGGATCATTCGGCATGGTCACGATCAATGCAGATGACACCGTCACCACCAGCCAGGACTTTACTAATCTCAAAACTGAATACGCTGCTGCCTCCCCACCGAACACGCCTACCCAGAGCAATGCAGGTTCGGCAACTTACCCTTCATGCCCTGCACAGAATGCGACGTTCCTAGCATCGACAAGTTTACCTCAGACGCCCAACCTCGCGGCGTGCACGTGTTTGGAGAGTACGCTTAGCTGCAGTTTCACGCCACAGGTGTCAAATACATCTGCGATCGTTGGTACGTTGCTCAATTATGCGTGCAGCGCACTCGGATCATCTGGTGGGAACTGTGATGCGATTGCTGCTAATGGCACGTCCGGAACATACGGTGTTGTATCCGCGTGTGACCCCTGTGAGTACCCTATGACCTTGGCTATCGGAAATGGAACGTGTTAGCTTACTTTCTGACTCCCTTCGAAATCTAGCGATCATGCTCTCCTACGTCATGAACGAGTACTACTACGCCAACGGCGCGAGCGCTCAGGCGTGCAGCTTTAGCGGGAACGGGACCGTCAACGCGGCTGCACCATCAGGAACAAGTGCACAGAGCTCCGCCGCCTCATCATGTCTTGCGAGCGCTTCAGGGACATTCACGCCGACGTCGTCTGGTGGAACTACGTCGTCTGGAGGCCAGTCGAGCGGTGCTGCTTCTATTGTAGGCGACACGAGAGCGCTGGTTGGGCTGGGTGCGATGTTGACGATTGGAGCTGTTAGTGGGGTGTGGATCTTGGCTTGAGCTTGAGCGTAGGCTTTTGCTTGAAGACTTGGTGAGTTTTGGCATGGACAATGCGAACGATGGACGATATGAAGATAAAAATGGGATACTATCTTTGGGACATTTACTAATGTGTAACGACTTTACTGATACTAATGACATTTATACTGTGATTATCACTCAATGATCTTGTAGGGCGGCAGCATAGATGCATATGCCATCATTGGCTTGTGTATGCGTGCACTGTCAGTGAAGCTATTAGAGTTTTGTGTTTGTTTAGTTAGCCATTTCATCTTTGTACTGTATTTGTATGATCATCAGAGTTTAAAACTACTGTATCGTGATCGCATATATACAGTGCTGGAGTGTAAGAACGAACGCGAGGAAATGCCCTGCCAATCTGAGAACTATAGTGCTTCAACCTGGAGTTTTGTCACCTTTCGGACGAAGTTGTACGGGTCGCTTAGATACGCTTGAACTACTACCGGCAATAACCTTGAACGCCAAGTTACAGCTAATTGCAGATCGTTAAGTAGACATCCCGGTGTGAACAACGTGCACTCGGAGTTGAAGCGGGATGAGCGGAAAGTAAATTCTTTTAGACTCGTAAGACTAATCTCAGAGTCTGCCCACCACAGGCGCCACAGCTACGCCAACCAGACTTAAGATACAGTCTCCTGATCTTTCGGGGATTTCTATTTTTCAAGTCCGCCTGCATGCGATTTCTATGCTGACATGTCTAACATTCTGCAATTAATAGCTGTAATACAGGCTCAATCAACGCGGTCAATATGTAACGTCATAATTTTGTTGCAAGATGTCACTAAACATCAAAGAGCTGTGAGTGTATTTATCATCTCATCGGGTTTGGTCTTCTGATCTGAGTGCGACTGAAACATCCCGGTTCTCCTACAGTAGTTACTGGTGTATATGATCATGACATAACCTGGTGTGCAAGACTGGCTGTTGTTTGTGAGGTGCGTTCCAGTGTCAATAATGGAAGTAAGTTGTACTGATGCTAGTAACGGATGTATAGCCACCGCCGGTGGATTGCTTCCGACGGAGTCGACGAATGACGGGATTTGTTATCTATAGACGTACAAGACGATACTGTATCTGACTCACATTCCATGCCATAACCTGCTATAACTCAACCAGTCGCTAATTCAATCATTCGCTCTCTTTCTTTCTTTCCACCACAATGCTGATCTCAGGGCTCAATTTGCAAACCCTCTTAATACTCCTCGGCTCTGTAGCCTTGCTCCGCACAGCAAAGGTGTACACCAACTTCAGACGGGCTATTCGATCTATCAGGTATGTCTTTCTCCCAGCTTTCTTGTGCGAGTGCTGACGGTAGTGGTCCAAGGAACCTTCCTGGGCATCGTACTTTCTTGAGCTCATCAGCAATCATTGTCAATTTTCTCCCTCCCATACGCGGCATATCTCTGGGACGTGATGGTCTGTGGAACTTCAAGCACTCAAGTATGTCTCGAGTTCCTTAGTCTGTCAGGTCATGTTTGCAACTCAATCTGCCCTAGTTTTTGCGGAAAAGGGGCTAGACATAGTTAGTAACGTAAGTCAACTTCAACTCATCTGGCTTGTCCTATTTCTTACTTTCGCCCTTTCTATAAGATTGCAGCTTGGCCTAAAACCCGTGTTTCTCTCTGGATCGCGGACGCGGATGTCATCAAGGTAGGGCTCTCATCCCTTCAAAGCTTGGGGCCACTTTGCACATGTTATTTCCTTATGTTAGGAAATTGTCTGGTCACGCTCCCTGTTTCCAAAACCTCTGCAACAGTATAAAGTCCTCACCTTCTTCGGCGGGAACGTAGTCTCATCAGAGGGCGATGAGTGGAAGAGGTATCGGAAGATTGTCGCTCCCGCCTTCACAGATGTACGTCCCGTATCATGATCTAGCTTGAAAGTATGAAATTCTTATCTAAAAGCTTACAATATAGCGCAACAACAAGCTTGTATGGGACGAGACGTGCAGAATCATGCTTGACCTCTTCAATAACGTCTGGACTGGAAAAGATGAAGTAACTATTGATCATGGTGTGGACTTGACGCTCCCGGTTAGCCGTTTGTAATATTTTTGACGTGTCCCACCGTAACGACTTGCATTGCAGATCGCCTTATTCGTCATCGGTGCCGCAGGTGAATTATGAATGTTCCTAGTTATAGATGATAATGATTAATGTTCGCAATGACTGTTCACGCAGGGTTCGGTCGTCGTATATCTTGGCAAGAAGACGCAATCATTCCCCCTGGCCACAAAATGACATTCAGAGACTCGTTACATATTGTTACTACGAATCTAGCCATCAAGCTTGTAACTCCAAAATGGGCCTATGGTCTCAACAAACGACTGGAGCGAGTAGGGCTTGCGTTTGACGAATTAGAGGTATGTGGATGCACTTCCCACGTCAAACGCTAACCTAACACGATCCATCTCATATACGAATGAATTCTCAAAAACGACATACAGCGATACCTGTACGAAATGATACAATCCCGCAAGAGCGGCGAGATCAAGGAAGAAAGGCACGATTTATTTAACAGCTTGTTGGCAGCAAATGATGATATGGACCTTAACACTGATGAAGTGAGGTTGGCGGATAGCGAGTTAGTTGGTGAGTGATTAGCGACAGTCATCACCAAACAGAGTATAACCCGTACCAGGTAACATCTTTATTTTCTTGGTGGCTGGACATGAGGTGTGTAAATGTTTTATTTAATCCGGACCGTCGTATAGTACGAAGTCATTAAGTTGAATGCGTCCAGACAACTGCGCATTCTCTTTGCTTCTCGCTTGCAATGCTAGCGTTGTATCCAGACGAGCAAGAGATCCTTTATAATCACGTCAAAAGCGTCTTACCCGATGGCAGAATGCCGGTATATACTCTCCACACTCACACCTTGCATAGTTTATACTCACAAAGGAGCAGACATACGAAGATATGCCACAGCTCAATCGCTCTTTGGCGTAAGTGATGTCTATTCTCGCCGACCTTTATATGTGCTGACAAACTGTCACTAGTGTATTCAATGAAACGCTTCGCATGTTCCCTCCCGTACTGATATTTCTTGTGTCTTTTGAGGTATTATCGCTGACGCGATCTACAAACTATTCGTCTTTCCAGGTGACTGGCATACCAAAGAACAGCGCCGAAGATGCTACGTTCGTTGTACGCAATGCAGCAGGCGAGAATACTACGGTAGCTGTCCCTAAAGACACAAAATTGACTTTCGACGTGCCTGGACTGCACTATAACCGTACGCCGTGCCTTTCATCAATATGGTTTTCTGGTCCTGATTCGTATATCGTCCTCATTTATGTGTAGCTCGATACTGGGAGGACCCTCACACGTTTAAACCTTCACGTTTCTTGGGAGACTGGAATCGCGATGCGTTCATTCCATTCAGTGCAGGTTAGTCCAGCATCGAGCTTTTCAGACCTCATACTTGTGAATTTTAACATCTTCTCAACAGGACACCGCGGCTGTGTTGGACGAAAGTGCGTCGAGTTCTTTTGCATTTCTTTCAGCGATCATCGCCACTATCATGTCATACTGATGCTGCACCCTGCTGGCCGCTTTTTCAGATTCTCAGAAACCGAGGGCACCGCAGTGCTCACCCTTCTTATCATGCAATATAAGGTTGAGATTCAGGACGAGCGGCAGTTTAGGTCGGAGACGTTTGAGCAGAAGAAGGCGCGCGTGCTTGATGTGAGGACTCGGAATAGTTTGACGCTTGCGTACGTTACTTTTTCTTTTCGTTGACTGTGGTGGACTTCGAGACGAGGAGCTAATTTGATGTTGCAGGCCTACACGAACTCCTCTTGTATTCAAGCGGAGAAAGTGAGGGCTATTATCGTACATAGGGGGAAGGACGTTCCATTCGTTTTCGCGTCACCAATGTGGACTAGTGAGCTGTGCTAGTGCCCTACAGCACGGAGAAGTGTATCAGTGCATTATCGGGATTCTAACCTTGGTGGAAGGTCTTTCAAAGTTGTCAAACTGAATTGCCAGTGGCATCAGCATCAGTATAGGCAATACAGACGGACGAATTATCAGATGGCAACTGCTTTATATTGACTACAAGCCTGACCACAAGCAAACCATAGTTACTCATAGTATGTATTTTGAAATATTATGGACAACTCAATTAGTGTTTCTTCAGAGAATCGGTCAAAATCGGAGTAGGGGGGACTGACGCCCGGTACCTGCCGACTGGACCTGATCCCGAGGATGGTATTGATTCCGAATCATGATGCATGTTGGGGAGTCCCTGCGAAATGACAGATGCTGACGGTCGATATATAGTGAAATGATAAAAGTTGTAACATATGCCCTCTTTCTCTCTTTCTTTTCGTTGTCATGCAGATATCAGGGCTCAATCTGCAAACTCTCTTAAAGCTCCTTGGCTCTGTAGCCTTGCTCCGCGCTGCACAAGTGTATATCGACTTCAGGCGGGCTATTCGATCTACTAAGTATGTCTTTCCCTCAACTTCCTTGTGCAAGCGTCTTACTGATAGTACTGGGTGAAGATACCTTCCTGGCCATCGCACTTTATTGAGCTCAACGACAATACTTGGCAATCTTGTCCCTGCTATACGTGGCATATCTCTTGGGCGTGATGGTCTGTGGAACTTCAAGCACTCAAGTACACCTTAATTTTCTTAGTCTGTTAAATTATGCTTACAACCCAATCTGTCTTAGTTTTTGCGGAAAAGGGGCTAGACATCATTTCTTCCGTAAGTTAGCTCCCACCCTTCTGGCCCGTCTTATTTCTTACTTCCCCTCTTTTTGCTAGATTGCAGCTTGGCCTATATCCCGCATTTCCATCTGGGTTGCGGACGCAGAAGTCATCAAGGTAGGACTCTTATCTACCCAAAGCTTTCGGCTGCTTTGCCGATTTTATTTTGTTATGCTAGGAGATAGTTTGGTCACGCTCCCGGTTTCCCAAACCATTGCATCAGTATAGCTTCATCACTTTTTTCGGCGGGAACATAGTCGTATCAGAGGGCGACGAGTGGAAGAGGTACCGGAAGATCGTCGCTCCCGCCTTCTCAGATGTACGCCCCGCATCATAATCCGGCTTGAAAGTGTGACATTCTGTATCTAAAAACCTATAATATAGCGCAACAACAAGCTTGTATGGGACGAGACATGTAGGATCATGCTTGACCTCTTTGATCATGCATGGGCTGGAAAAGATGAAATAACCATCGATCACGGTGTGGACTTGACGCTCCCAGTTAGCCGTCTTTTATTTTTTAGACGTGTCCCTTCATAACGACTCTCATTGCAGATCGCCTTATTCGTCATCGGTGCTGCAGGTGAAAGTCGAATGTTCCTAATTAGAGATGATGATGATGATTAACTTCGCAATGACTTTTCACGCAGGGTTTGGTCGTAGTATATCATGGCAAGAAGACGAAATCATTCCCCCTGGCCACAAAATGACGTTCAAAGACTCATTACACACCGTTACCACGAATTTGATCATCAAGCTAGTTGTTCCTAAATGGGCGTACGGTCTCAGCAAACGACTGGAGCGAGTAGGGCTCGCGTTTGACGAATTAGAGGTTTGTAAATGCACTTCCAACATTAAATACCAACGTAACCGATCTATTTCATGTCCGAATTTTCGAATGTGTCCTACAGCGGTACCTGTACGAAATGATACAATCCCGCAAGAATGGCGAGGCAAAGGAAGAAAGGCACGATCTTTTCAACAGCTTGTTGGCAGCAAATGACGATGTGGACCTTACCTCTGATGAAGTGAGGCTGTCAGATAGCGAGTTAATTGGTGAGTGGCTAATGACATACTCACAACCAGACGGAGTATAATCCACATACCAGGCAATATCTTTATTTTTTTAGTGGCTGGACATGAGGTGCGCAATTCCTTCCATTTAATCTGCATCATGATATAGAACAAATTTATTATATCTAGACAACCGCGCATTCTCTTTGCTTCTCACTTGCAATGCTGGCGTTGTATCCAGATGAGCAAGAGATCATATATAATCAAATCAGAAGTGTCCTACCCGATGGCAGAATGCCGGTATATGCTCTCCACATTTTCTTACATGATTTATACTCAGATAGGAGCAGACATACGAAGATATGCCACGGCTCACTCGCTCTTTGGCGTAAGTGATGTCTATTCTCGCCGGCCTTTGTATGTGCTGACAAGCTGTCACTAGTGTATTCAATGAAACGCTTCGCATGTTCCCTCCTGTACTGATATTTTACTTGTCGTGCGAGGTAATTTTTACTGACGCAAGTCTACAAACTATCCGCCCTCCAGGTGACTGGCATACCGAAGACTAGCGTGGAAGACGCTACGTTCGTTGTACCCAATGCGGCAGGCGAGAATACTACGGTGACTGTTCCTCAAGGCTCAGTTATGGATCTCGACGTGGCTGGACTGCACTATAACCGTACGTCAAGCACCTTTAATATGGTTTTCTGATCCTGATTCATATATTTCCCGTTTGTGCGTAGCTCGATACTGGGAGGAGCCCCATACGTTTAAACCTTCACGTTTCTTAGGAGACTGGAATCGCGATGCGTTCATCCCATTCAGTGCAGGTTAGTTCAGCATCGAGTTCTTCAGACCTCATAATTGTGAATTGACTTTCTCTCAACAGGATACCGCGGCTGTGTTGGACGAAAGTGCGTCAAGTTCTTATTACATTCTTTCATCGATCATTGTCATCGTCACTATCATGCCGTACTGATTCTGCTTGCCACTTTTTAGGTTCTCAGAAACCGAGGGCACCGCGGTGCTCACCCTTTTTGTTATGCAGTTCAAGATTGAGATCAAGGACGAGCCGCAGTTCAGGTCGGAGACATTTGAGCAGAAGAAAGCGCGTGTGCTTGATGCGAAGAGTGGTATAACGCTTGCGTACGTAGCTTTTCTTTTCCTTGACTGTGGTAGACTCTGAGACGGGGAGCTGATTTGACGACGTAGGCCTACACGGACTCCTCTTGTATTCAAGCGGAGGAAGTGAGGGATATCGTTTTCGTAGCTATGCAGGGAATGATGTGCTGGTGCCCTGCAACACGAGGAAGAGTGTTGATGAGATTGGTCAGTGTCTTTCTCAGATTGAATTGCTAGTGACTCAGTCGATCGGTATGCATTGGCAGACGGACGAGTTGAACATTGACTAGTAGGAATATTATCCTCCCCACTCAGACTAAATTACTGGTATGACAATATTTGCAAATAATATCTTGCTTTGAGTATGCAAACCAAATATGTGACAAATTGTTTCGCTACTAATACTATCTAGACCAGGAAGGGATGAAAGGATGAATAAGGGATGTGCAAAAGCTTAAGTCGAACCGAACCATATCTAAAACATTGGATAAACAGTACTGTAAGCCATTCCAATGAAGATTGAATGTCTGCTCCTCGGGCGGTAGGCATATATGCGTGATGCACTAGAGAGTAGTATAAGCATGCAATAAAATAAAATCCAGCTCTTCGAGTCCATGGCCAAAACCTCAAGGCGACAACACTGTGCCACGCTGACGAGGCATACAGTACCGCAATCATATTAATATAACGGCTACCAGCAGAATGATCAGCACAATTATCAATATCGTGACACACCATCCGGATTTCGTTTCTGCTCGTCGCAAGCATAAGGGGAAAGGTCAGAAACGTCGTAAACATGCCCCAAGCAGATCAAAGGAGGGAGACGCACCTTCCGTATCCCGGAGGAACTTACGCATCCGGCGCATCGCATCAGATAACTTTGAGTCTGTGCGATCTACGTTTTGCTCAAGGTCACCAAGCATCCTAAAAACGGATAGTGTTTCAGCATTAGAAGAGTCAGGGATGGAAAACTCAAACGCACTCATTGTGTTCCCCAATTTCTTGCCCCATCAGTCCAGCTTGCTGAGCTAGAGTGGTGAGCGTGCCTGATATAGAATCCATTGTGCGGTCTTGCTCTCGTATCATGAGCTGGAAATGAAGACATGGGCACAATTCATGACTTGTCTTTTCATGGATTAATTATAGTCAACGGACCTGCTGCTCTTCTCGCGCCCATTGGGCTTGGGGATCATCTTCTTCGTCTCTCGGTGGTCTGACGTTATCTGGTCGAGGAGATACCGCATTCGAACGGTAACTGGGGGGTGCTGGACTAGTGGCGCGCTGGGGCGGGGACAAAGGTGATTTCGCCCGTGATATAGGCTACATACGTTTCACTTAACCTTAGAATACGTCTCAGGGAAGAATACTCACAAGCGTGCCCTCGACCTCGGCTCTCATATCCTACCCTTACATGTTAGGAAGTGATTTTTTGAATTATTGAAAAAGAGACGGCGATAAATTGGAGGATTCGTCGATGGAAGGGAAGAGAGGATGGAACGCACCTCGATTTCGTGACGGATCCTACGGACGTATTTTCTTCTATCATTTATTTCTGCGTCGTCGAGACCAAACATACGGGGACCAGCTGACTCAACCATTCTGAAATGACGGCGTTGGGTAAATAGAGAAGGGAGGGGAAAGAGAGTAGAGGCTCACTTCACACTTTCCTCCAAAGCCTCCAAGTCAGCCTCTAACGTCGAGAGCGTTGCTTTGAGCTAACATCACACACACCGATAGTAATCAATACTCCGAATAAAACAAAGATTATGGTAGCTGAAAGAAGGCAAAGGTGCATACCTCACTGCGAGCCCAAGCTAACTCTTCGCTGCCTTCACGCGCCATGCTTCGAATTCGGAGATACGACGAGCGGAGCGTTGACGCTGTCTGCAGCGACGACTGTATTTCTTGCTGTACTGCATGGTATGGATCTGTTGACATGGCAAGTGACGAAGTTGGGCCTCGGTTTGGAGTCTTTGAATTTGACTGCGAAGTTGATATAGCTGCTGCCCTTGGTGGATATTACGAACGCTTGAGCGGGTTAGGTGAATGACTTATAGAAAAGGCAGAAATCAACCAGGACGTAAAGGGTTGCAGCAAGTCAAACCTATGTGTTAAGTATGGTGATTTCAAGTGGAAGACTGGCGCAGCACCGTGACTTCCGAGTCCAAACACTTCCCAGTTCTGCTATCTTACATAATGCACTTACTCCGAGCCTTTGCTGAAAATCATAGCGAAGATACTACACTGACAAGTGTCCAAAACATATTATGTATTCGTTCAAACCAATCTCGCTCGTGAGCAACTCTGATGTTTCATCACACAGTACACTGTAACTTGTGCTTCTTCCACTCTCATCGCTGACATTCAGCAGAACAGTAATATACTTTCTTGCATATACTGCACCTAAGTAGGTTTGGTTTTCCTTTGTTACCGCATGCTGCACAGACAGGTTCTCGTTCCGTGGACCCTTCGGTGGTTGGGGTGGTTGAAGATGTCGACTGTTTCTGCGCCGCTTTGTGTGCGGATAATTCCTCCTTCATTATCCCCCCAACGCTTTCCAGATACGATACAGAAAATATAGGGCTCAACGCTGCCCTGGTGACAAACGGAGCCAAGTGTTTCCATTCCTCCACCTTCTGTAGATCAGCTGTGTCCACTCCTCGTCCACACGTACAGATTGGACTTTCTGAACATTCCAAAGACAACGGAACAATCCCCTTTGCGAGGTACTCGCAGCTTTCCTTATGTCTCCACGTCCGGCAGCGTTCTGTCAGCACTGGTAAAAGTTGCTTCCACGCTCTCATCTCCTCAAAGTCGGTTTCGATATGCAATAGCTTCACAGAGATGGTGCCTAGAGCGTTCATAGAGCTGATGGGAAGGGGAAGAGGCATCACCCATACATTTGCTACTACAGTATGAGAGCTGAGATCGAGTCGAATGCCAGTCATGAAGATTATCGTGTAGACATTGGCTATGGATGGAATGAATAGACCAAATGCAAGCGGGCGCTTCCTCGCGTTGGGAAAACCAATGAAACTAGTAAACATCATGCAGATAGAATTCTTGAGGTTCACCATCACGTCTTGAAGAACCTTGCCATTTACCAGAGCCTCATCCCGCACCTTTATTTCCCTGTCAGAGTACATCAAGCAAAGATGATGATTCATCCACCGCACTTTCCCCGAGTCTTCATCTTTTAGAAGAGGCAGGCGGTCGAGATTGACCCGGTGTACATTCCACAGCGTTGCAGTTTGTCCTTGCATTACGAGCAGGAATTTTCCTACGAGGATGTCTGGTCGACCTTTGACATAGCCAAGAGACAAAGGCGAAACAATCTTGTATGAGCACGGACAAATCAGGAACGAGAATTCCATGAAGGGCCCTTCAATACTTACCTCTATATATTTGGACTTACGTGCCACCTGCACCTTTGACTCCGCAACGTCGATGGCAAAGGGAAATAAGACCACACGCCTATATTCTCCTATATGGATCTGCACTACGAAAGGGGTGACCTGCTCCATAGTGACTATAGAGCTGCTAGCTGAAGCCAAAGACGGCCTTGTTCTAGCGTTTGTAATATAAACTCGGGTTGTCAGATTTTCGATTTTCTCGCAGGCAGAATTCATGGCCACGACAACGCTATGTGTAGGTTGTGTGTCTCTCTCTTGTGCTTCTTCGAGGATAGCAGCGGTTTCTTCTACTTCTCCGTCGAGATTAGGACGCTCTGTAAGGACGTGTACACGTTGTTCGTCTGTAATCTCCGTGCTGTATATCATCAAATCCGGTCCCAATATGCCTAACAATGTTTTGGCAGCAGGAGTGGAACGGAGGTAAAATCCGACACTTGCGGAAGATTCTAACATTAAAGTGCTGGAAGGTGCCCAGAAAGACACGATCAGAGTGTTCGTCATCCGGCCGGAGAGGTCTTCAGCGATCACTGCCCTTTGGTTTTCCCGAGTTCCGGAGAGTATGAGTTTACCATATGTGGTGTGGATGCATGAGAATTCGTCCAGGGTTGTCGAGTCTCGAATCTCACAATGGAGTATAGGTGTCCCTATTTTGTCAAGCAAAGGAGCTATAGACGTGATAACCTGCCTTGGGATCTGAATAACAATGCAGACAATAGTTGGGATGGTTTTCCAGTCTTGGAAGATCACTGACTTGTTGGCTCTTTTTACGGAAAGAAATTCGATTTGTGGAACGAGGATGGGGATGGAATATATGCCAAGAAGATGAAGCTGACAGAATAAATCTTGATAGTGATTGAGGCGCGTGCTCAGCGTATAGTCTTTTAGGACCAAACCATGGAATGTATCCATGACTTGTTGCCAGTCTTGGCGCAAGTAGAATCTCCCCTTCACAACTCCCACGAGCTCTGCAAAAGTGCGACGATTGTAATGGACCGTATTTTCCGCCCTTAGTTCGGAAGGATCGTTCGAGGGTATCCTATTCGCGTCCTCGAAAAAGAACATCTTTAGGTATATACCAAACAAAATTTTGGCTAGCTGTTGAGGAGCAAATGTCGTAGAGGGATTGATATCAATGCCCAGCTGAGCAAAGGTATCTCCTCCGGCTGCTACCTTCCACGCCAGGCGTTCGTGAAATTCACTGAGCTCGAAATGACGGAACTCTGAGAGTCGAGCGGCCATGATATCATAACCGTTTGATCGAGTAGTGAACTGGCATACAAGAGTGGATGGAATCATGCCAAGCAGTAGTGATAAAGTTGATAGGTCAGCACACGCATGTTGGAGTACCGTGGTATAAGGATCTCTTCCAAACGATAGCAAGGTTTCAGTATACAGGGTCGATGAAAGACGTTGCTTCAATAGTGGAGATGTAGCGACAAGAACGTTAAGAAACCCAATACGATCCGCAATGCTGGAGGTGTCGATTATATTAAATTCCATCGGTGCAGGAGGTGTTGCATTGGCCCCATAATCACTGCAGTTCAGCTCAAGACGCGATGCACACCAAGGAGCCGTATACACAGGAGATACGGTGGTTTGAACAACGTTGCAATACCGAAGACCGTGACAAAAGGCTAAGGCGTCACCAGCGAAAAACCGCATTACGACTTGAGGGCGTGTAGCACCAGTGCGAAGAACGTTGACGAAAGCGGTACACCATTGGCGAAACTGAGCTTTGCATATGGCCACAATGTCATCGACTGTGACAGGCTTGAGGGGATCCGATGAATCGCTCGGCTGGGCATAAGCTTCTGCTAAATGGAAAGACACAAGCGGATCACTACTGCCATACACCAGGAATTTATTACCCTGGGACGTATATACGAAGGTGGGATTGACACGTGTCAAGAATTGTGCTTTACTCGATGTCGTACCAGTTCTCCAAAATCTACGAAAGTGGTCAGTGACCAGGAGCTGGATATGGACAGATATGGGTTCAACTGAGCGACCTGCTCTGCAGTTGTATCCGTATCCTAAGTAACTGGCACCCGTTGTTGCTAACTGCATACCTGCAGAGAAATCTTTTCTCAGGTGATCTTGCTGTGCCTGTGTGAAGCTGCCCGTTTCTGCATAGGAAGTCCAGTATCCACGAAGGTTTGAGAGTGTGAGATCTGTGCACATCCTTAAGAATGGCCCATATTCGCTGCTCTCCCACGTCAGGCGGTCTTTTGACAGATTAACGAGTTTCTGAGATTGACTTGATAGAAGTAGTGATGTGCTGTCGTCGAAATAAAAGTGATAGAAAATGTCCCAAATTTGGACAATTCTCCCCAGAGCGCCGTCGTCTGCCAAGAGAGAAAAAAGAAGGACATTGCGAGCTATGCTCTCGTAAATAACGGTAGAAGATATAAGCTTGAGAAAGCCGAATCACCTAATACGGCTCCTTCGACATCACAACAGGTAAAATCGAGGGTTCGAGATACTTGGGTATTAATCAGTAAGGATTGAGAGAAAGTAGGCTGAGAATCAACGTACAGGAAGCCACGTCAGCTCCGCTAGCATAGAGAGTATACAAGATACTCCTTGGATCACCACATCCTAGCAGCAGGACGGTGGCATCTTCCTCTGGAGGTAGGTCTTGAGTCAAGCATACTGCAGAAGTGGTACCAATGGGATAGAAGACGGTTACTCCAGGCCACAGACACAGATGAGACATGGTAGTTGGCAGAGAAAAGAGAGCACGAAGATGGAAGCACTAAAGCATCTATTCAAATAAAATCAGGCAAGGTCTTGCCTTTTACAAGAAAGCCACAGGTCGAATACACCAGAGTCTGACTCAAGTCTGACTTCATATCTGGCTGATACTGGTAGTTTTGGGGATACGATTGGTTGCATATAATGCCAAAGATGTGTTATCAGATACTCTGGTGTTGATGGTCATTGTATCAGTTGAAGTTGTGTCTCTAGTATGTCGTTATTTGTTTGGACTCTTTCAAGTTGAATACGTGCCGCGACTCAAAGTGTCCGAATCATGGTGACCATGCATCATGATCAATCATGCCTTCGCTGAAATTTGTAAAATACCACAAGCGAATTGTATAAAATATACTATACATCATGGCATTCGCTCCATTGACTCCCACCAGTCACTCTGACGCTTCATCACCCAGTACACTGTAGTTTGTGCTTCTTCCACTCTCGCCGCTGACACTCAACTGAACAAAAACTTACCTTCTTACATTTGCCGCACAAAAGTAGCTTCGGTTTTCCTTTGTTACCGCACGCTGCACAAACAGGTTCTCGTTCCATAGACTTTCCAACTTTCAGAGGCGGCTTTTTGGCTTCTATCTGTGTCAACGTTTCCCCGTTTAGAGAACCGGCGATGCTTTCGAGATACGAGACAGGAAAAATGGGGCTTCACGCTGCTCTGGTGACAAATGGAGCTAAGTCTTTCCACTCTTCAATATCCTTCAAAGCACCCGTGTCCACTCCTTGTCCACAAGCAGATCGGGCTTTCCATGTAATCCACAGATAACGGAATGATTCCCTTCGTGAGGTACTCGCAGCTGTTCTTGTGTCTCCACGTCCGGCAACGTTCTGTCAACGTAAGAGCTGCTTCCACGCTTTCATCACCTCAAAGTTGGTTGTGATCTGCAGTATGTTCTTTTTGATTGAATTTAGCGTCCGCGCGAATTTTTCTACCAGGCCATTGCGAAGAGGTAGCACCCAGGCATCTGCTACAATCGTATGAGAGCTGACATCGAGCCGAATGCTAGTTATGAAGATCATCGTGTATACACCAGCTGCGTCCGGATCGGACAGACCAAATACACGTATCTTCGGGCCTTGCAAGCCAGTGTAACTAGTGAATATCACGATGAGAGACTCTTTGAGCTTTACCATGACGTCTGGAACATCAAATCGTTCACACGGCTCCCTTCCCACACCTTTCTCTCCCTATCAGACATTATGTAGCCAATGTGAAGGATTATCCATATCAATTTATTCGGATCATCGTTATTCAGAATAGGGAGACGGTCAAGGTTGACGCGATGCACATTCCACAGCGTTGCAATCTGACCTTGCATGATCAGTGGAAATTTTCCTATGGGAATTTGTGCTCGAGCTATGACATTGGCAAGAGACAAAGGCGCAACAATCTTTTGCAAACATGAACAATTTCAGCCATAATGAATCAACTAATATCTCTTCATAACTCACCTCTACCGTGACACACATGGATTCACGTGTCACCTGCACCTTTGATTTAGAGGCATCAATGGCGAGGGGAAATATAATATGATGTCTGTACTCCCCTATAGAGACCTGTGCTGCACAAGGAGTCACTTGCTCGACGGTGACCACAGAACCGCTGGCCAAACATAACCTTGCACTAGGATCAGTGATATCAGTCAGGACTGTTAAAGTTTCAATTTTCCCGCAGGTAGTGTCCATCGCCACAGAAATGCTGTTTGTGGCTTGTGTACTGCGTATTTGTGCCTCTTCCCAGGTAGTGACGATTTCTCTCACTTCTCTGTCAAGGTTTGGGCGTTCTGAGAGGACTTGTACATGTTGGTTGTCTGCGAAATTTGTGGTGTATACCATCATGGCTGGTCCTAGTTTGTCCTCAAGTTTACAGGAACAAGGAGTAGCGCGAATGCCGAATCCGACTCGTACAGACGAATGTGACTTTATAATCCAGGAAGGCGCCCAGAATGACACAATCAAAGGGCTTGTGGTCTCGCCAGCATGCTCTTTAGTTATCGCTACCATTTGATTTTCTTTGGCCCCTGAAACGGTGACTGTGCCATACACAACTTGGTGCCATACACGACTTGGATACACGAGAAGGTATGCTTGAATTTCGAGCCATAAATCTCGCAATGAAGTATTGATGTCCCTATATCATCAAGCGAAGCAGCGATAGCAGTAATAGCCTTTCTTGGAACCTGAAAAACAATGCAGACAGTAGTTGGGACGGTCTTCCAGCCTCGGAAGACAGCTGGATTATTGGTTTTTTGTGCGCCTTGTGGAAGGGCAGAATATATACCAAGGAGATAAAACTGGCAGAATAAATCTTGATAGTAATCGTGGCCAGTAAATGGAGTGCGGTCATTAACGAGCAGATCGTGAAATATGTCCATCACATGTTTCCAGTCCTGTTGCTGTAATCTCTCTTTGGCAACCATCACAAGCTCTGCAAAGGCGCGAGGAGTGTAGTGTATTATATTCTGCACTTCCTTATCGTAAACGACCAGTTCATACACCTTATTCATGTCCTCTGAGTCGTTGGCGAACATCTTCAAGTATATATTGAAAAGAATCCCGGCCAGCTGCTGAGAAGAAAATATCACCGAGCGACTGATGCCGATGTCACGCTGGGCAACGGTATCTCCTCCAGCAGCTACCTTCCATGAAAGACGCTCGTGAACTTGAGGGGACCGGCCATGGATGCGAGCAGAGATAATTTCATGAATGTTGGATTCGGTAGTGAACCCAGAAACAAAAGTGGACGGAATAAGGCCAATCAGTAACGATAACGTCGGTATGTCAACACAAGCACGCTGCAGCATCCCAGTGTAAGGGTCTGTTCCTACGGATAACAATGATTCGGTGTATAGAGTCGAAGAGAGACTTCGCTTCAGCAACGGAGAGGCTGAAATGAGAACATTAAGCAGCCCGATATGATCCATGATATTGGATGTCTCGATGATATTGAAATCCATCGGTGCCGAGCATATAGCATTAGCTCCATAATCGGCATCATTCGAATGAATGCGTTCTACACTCCAGGGGGAATGGTACAAAGGAGTGACGGTTGCTCGAGTTACACTGCAAGACAGCAGAGCACGACAAAAAGCTAAGGCGTCACCTGCGAAAAACCTCACTACCACCCGAGGCCGTGTGGCATCCGTACGAAGAACATCGACAAAAGCGGCACACCATCGACGAAACTGAGCTTTTGAGCCTGCTACGATATTGTCAATTGTGGGGGTATCGCGTGTCTGGGTGTAAGCTTCCGCAAGGTGGAAGGATAAGAGCGGATCGGTGCCATAATGGACCAGAAACCTGTCACACTTGGACGAATACACAAAGGTGGGATTGACACGTGTTAGATGTTGTGGATTATTTGAAGTCGTACCAGACATCCAAAATCTGCAGGTATGGTCCATGACAAGTCCAGTGACATCGTCTGATAGAGGCCCGGCTGAACGACCTCGTCCGACGTTGAACACATCTTCGTCCACAATGTCACGTGATACCGACCGCATTCCTGTAGCGTCTCTCTCATTTTATCTTGCTGCGCCTGTGTGAAGTTGCTTGTCTCTGCATATATCGTCCAGTAATCGCGGAGGACTGAGAGAGTGCGACCTGTGCACATCCTCAAGAATGGACCGTATTTGCTTCTCTCCCACGTCGCAAGATCTTGGGACATGTTGGCGAGCTTTCGAGATTGACTTGAAAGTAGCAATGATGTATTGTCATCAAGATAGAAGTGGTAGAAAATGTCCCAGATCTGATCAATTTTCTCCATAGTGCCATGGTCTGCCAGGAGAGAAAGGAGAAGGACATTGCGAGCTAGTATATTGTCAGCGACGCAAGACGAAAGATACTTAAAAGAGCCAAATCACCTAACACAGCACCCTCGGCGTCACAACAGGTGAAGTCGAGGTTTCGAGACACTTGGCATTGATCAGCAGACCGTCACAGCACGAGGTCGTCTAAGAATGAACATACACGATCCCGTGTCAGCTCCACTGGCGTAGATAGTATACAGGATATTCCTGGGATCGCCACATCCTAGGAGAAGGACAGTTGCATTTTCTTCTGGAGGCAGGTCTCGAGTTAAGCATACCGCAGAAGTATTGCCTATGGGATAGAAATAAGTTCCCCCAAGCCATAAACATGGATGAGACATGGTAGCTTGCAAAGAAAAAATTAAAGCAAAGACAACAACGACGTAAGTAGAAAAGCGTCCGAGTCTATCCTAGATAAACGAGGCAGGGAGTTGTCCATAGAGATCCACGAGTGGGACCCACAACATTGACTTCCTTTCAAATTTCAAACATCATAGGCGCGTACCCACCATCTCGCAACTGGATTGAAAGTTTGGTTGCCCGGAAATCACCAACTTAAAGCGGCATATTATAAGAAAAGTTGTTATTAGCTGCGGATGTCTACTATCAGTGCGCAAAGAACTACAAGTACAAGAGAGCATGACGGTGGAGGCACTAATAAAGCTTTTATCCGAGTAAATCAGACAAATTTTGGATTTTACAAGAAAGCCACAGGTCGAATACACGAGGTTCTGGTCATGTCTGGCAGAAGCTCTGGCGTTGATGCAAAGTTGAAGTCATGCTTCTGGTATGTCGTTATTTGTTTGGACCCTCTTCCAAGTTGGACGTCGAATCCCCATGAGCATCACTGACATACTACCGGAAGAGACATTAGCTATGTATGCAGTGAGCTATAGCTTTATCGCTGACCGTAACCGATAGCCTACATATGGCATACCCTAACATGTTCAGGTTATTCCCAGTTCCTCTTTTCGTGCGGCCCAGGCCTATACATCCGTTGGCCGTGGACGACGGTGATCAACCAAGAAATATCTCGTGTGCTTTCGCCACCCTATGTGCGATTCGTATAGTTCGCACGTGGAACAAACATGATCCAGACAGGCCCAGGATGAGCACACCGATATGCCTTGACCTAGCCCCGCTATTCAGATTTCGTCATGGGTCAGTTTAATTTATATCCCAGTAAACATATATTTTGAATACGCATTCTCACTATCATGCTTCCTCAGCCTCTTCCTCCTCTGAACTTCCACAATGTCTAACGTCCCAAAGACACAAACAGTCGCAATAATCGCCTCGTCTGGTGCAGCTCTCGAGATCAACAAGGACCACCCCGTGAAACAACCTTCTGAGCTCGAGCCAGGCGAATGTCTCGTCAGACTCTCGTGCACCGGTGTATGTCACACGGACCTCCATGCTCGAAAGAACGACTGGCCTATCCCTGCCAAAACACCTCTCATTGGCGGTCATGAAGGCGTCGGTGAAGTGGTCGCTATTGGCGCCAACACCTCGCACTGTCCGGTAAAGGTAGGACAGCGTGTAGGCATCAAGTGGCTAGCATACTCTTGCCTCGACTGCGAGCAATGTCGCAGTGGTCTTGAGCAAAGTAAGTCTACACTTCTGGTTCTGTTTCTTTTTTCTCACTGTGGTATCTGCAGATTGTCCAAGTGCCAAGCTGAGCGGATTCAATGTCGATGGAACATTCTCACAATACGCTGTATGATATTCTACCCTAATTGGTACTTTACTTTGTACTCATCTTCCTTGCCAGGTTTCATATGTCCATCACGTGACCCCTATCCCTGAAGGCATAGACAACAATGCAGCTGCATCTGTCCTCTGCGCCGTGAGTTTTCCATCTTCCCTGACTTACACATTGTGCGATAACGTCGCTGACACGTTTCCATTGGATAGGGCGTAACAGTATACCGCGCTCTCAAGTATAGCGGAGCACATATTGGCAACTGGGTTGTTCTGCCGGGTGCTGGTGGAGGACTTGGTCATCTAGGTAATGCAACCACTTCCCCTCTACGTTATATACACCACAATAATGTTCAATTTTTCCTCTAGCTATCCAATATGCAGTAGCCATGGGTCTACGTGTAGTAGCCGTCGGTAAGTTCTCTTTCATAACATTTGGCCTGACTAGATCTCATCATCGTCACGCTATCTTCGAAATCGAAAGACACTGGCTCCCATAAAAAAGAACTTTGCCTCAAACTAGGCGCGAGCAAATGGATAGACTTCAAAGAGACTAAAGACCTCGTCAATGCCATACGGGAAGCATGTGATGGAAAAGGTCCTCATTTAGCAGTAGTCACCGCCGCCACTGTCAGCTCTCTTCTTCTTCTTCCCATGCTATCATGTGGAAGGAAATGCGCTGACAATGCCCGTTTTTTGATTCAATAGGGCGCGGGATACACCCAGGCTGTGGATTATCTTCGTCCTGGAGGCACGTTGATGGCAGTAGGCTTACCGGGAGACGCAACGTTAGATGCATCTATTTTCTTCACTGTGTTCAAGGTGAGGTCCTATCATATCCCCATAGCACAGCATCTAAACGTTGGTCGTTTTTAAATTCCGTGGCGGCAATGATAGAGTATAACTATCAAAGGCTCTTACGTTGGCAACCGTCAGGATGCCATTGAAGCACTCGACATCGCGGCAGCCGGAAAAGTGAAAGTGCATTACGATCTCAGAGGCCTCTCAGATCTCAAAGAGTGCGTACTATGTCGAACCTACACATTCCTACTCTTTCTTTTGGTTTGGTGGGACTTTTTGAGCATCATGATTGATTCATATCTTTGTTTTGAAATGATCTAGTGTTTATGAAAGTATGGAAGAGGGCAAAATTGCGGGAAGGGTAGTGCTGGATATGTCCAAGTGAGAGGCAACCACGTGATTGGCCTCTGCAATGCAGTGACAACACTGTTTTTTTCCCATCTATTTTCTCTCTGAGATTCGATCAGCCAACTTGGAATGTACAACACAACCTACGTGGATTCTCTGTATTCTCTCAATTATTGCTTATGTCAACCTTGGAACTTGGCTTTCTCCCATCATTTGTATCTATGCCGCTTGGAACAATCAATTTGTTGTAAAAATACAGGGATAGACTCGAAAGGATCTACGGGCAAAAACTAGCATCACAGAGCAAACTCGGTCAAGAACCTCTCTTGGGCACGGACAACTATCTTGACGTGCTCGATAGACAAGGGTTCTTCTCTGTAGTGAAATGGTAGGTGCGGATTATATATAAAGAAGTACATTACTCACGATGCAATTGCCAGTGCTTGAGCGGTACGGACGAGGTTCTTGATTGTTCGGCCTGAATACATTGTTAGAACGAGCCATTAATTTGTGAGAGGACTGACCATTGAAAGGCTTCGCAGACAGTTCTCCTATATCGGAGAACGTTACATAACGTTGCGGTACTTCGTCGACCTCGATGAAAGTATCAGAAGAGTCGCTTGCAGCCTCAGATATTTCGTTGCGCCGAATCACACATCCTGCTAGCCGGAAGAAGTTCTGCCAAATTGTAAGGCGTGCCGGGGCATCAAGGTCTGGATACTTTATTGCTGGACAATTTTTATTGGCGGAAGAGTATCAATCAAGCAGAATAACTCACCGACGGAAAAACGCGATAAAAACGCCTCGTCGAAAGTCTTTATCCTATTGGTGGTCAAGAACAATAATCCTCGGTGGTACTCCAAGAGACGCAGGGCGACAGAAACAAGGGCATTTCGTTGCAGCTTTTCCAAGTTAGACGCTGACATAGATCGAATGTATCAAATCCCAGTACCTCATGGAAACTTCTCTGTTCTAAGTATACCTGCCGATATAATTTTGGTTCAATATAATCCTAAGGTAAAAAGAGTATGACCACTCACGTCAGCCTCATCGATCAGTATAATAGCGTCCCAAGCAGTAGCCAGCTAGATAAGCGATTCAGTTAAGATATATATATTTTCTGGGGAGGAAGAAAGATGTACTTTCAGAATTTTGCTCAGATTCTCCTCCAAATAGGGAGCCTCCGTCAATAATTCGGAAGAACTGACCATATACAAAGGCCGCTGGAGGTGCTCGGCAACAGCTTCAGCCGTCAGTGTCTTACCAGTGCCAGGACATCCGTGGAGAAGTGCAATCTGTCAGTAGAGACATAATTGGTCGTAGTATATTATAAATTGAGAAATACAGCCATACCAATCCCCCGCCCTTTCCTGAGATCACGTCATTGATAATGGTCGATGTTGATATTGAGTTTTAGTGACTCGTACCAATGCTTTGATGAGTGTCTGGAAAAAAACCTCAATTAGAGTTATATACATCTCGTAACCCTAGCTGACCTTGATATCGTTATCGAGAACCAGATGGTCCCAAGCTTTGTCGTCAAATGTGACAGCTTTCACTTTCTGAACTTCGAACTGTTTCCATTCCTAACGTTATAAGTTAGCTACCATTCTCGTGTCAAGGATCATAGCGCACCTTTTCTACTAGATCAAAACCTTGCACAAGTGCTGGTAAAAGATGCAGTTTGCGTTCCTTAAGCTTAGGAATAACTTGGTTTTTTTCTAGATTGTCAGCCTGAAGGTTGTAAGCAAAATTGAAGAGCGTAACGCACGGAGTATGAATGTAACCAGACTGGTTATCGTAGCCTATACGGTCAACGACTATCCTTTTCTGTCCTACTTGTTAGTGTGCCCTTCGATCAAGTGTGCGAGTATTAAGCCTTACCCCGTTGTCTGCGACAATACTTCAGGACTGACGTAATAATGATAATGCCTTCAGAAGTGACTCACATGTTCTATAATGCACACCAGACGAAGCAGTGTAAAGGACACCCCTATCTATAATCAATTAATGAGAAGTGGTGCATAAATACATCGTTTATATCAACCATACCTTTCAGCTGGTTCTTGACTTCTTCTGTCATGATATAGCATCCTAAATTTGACAGTGTTTTTGTTTCCTGGATGACATGTTATGAAGTGTGACTTCTGACTTCTCTACGTCATGAAGGTACCGGAAAGGAGTCAATTGCGTGGCCCAGCTTACACTCGGTGTACTTGTATCCATCCTAGTATAAAGCTTGGCCTTCTATAGAGAATTTTGGATGCGAGCTTTCCCCCTGGGATTAGATTAATTTGAATTTGAGGAAAATAGTCGTACCCATAGTTATACTGTGCTCCCGTCAAAACAAAGGCTCGCTATTGACAAGGGATCAAACAACACTGCGTTTGATGAAATGCGATGACTTACCAAATCCCCATCGTCGTTGATGTAGAATATTTCCTTTCTCTTGAAGTAGTACAGGAGAAGATCATAAGAGAAATGACCATAAGACACTTCGAGCGCCAGTTTTTCGCCACTAAAAGCATATCATTCGAACCTCGGATACCTAGAGAGACGTACATGCATGGGCTTGTACTGGTCCTCCAAGAACTCTATAAATATGCCCAGGTGTTCCACCAACTGCAGCAAATACCCACGAACATAGTCGTCCGTGCGAGTTTCTGGTAATCGATTAGGTAGGCCTTCAGCAACATTTCATTGTAAGAAAATAGGGTTGTTGTATACCGCTCAAAGCGTGAACACATCCTAATCCTTTCGCCTCATTGCGCAAGTCATCACCTGAGGTACCAAATGATAATGCTTCATGTGCATTTGATAGATAATCTTTGAGATTAGGGACCTCGGGAAAGATTAACGGGAGGATCCATGCGGGATTCGATTTGAAGAATTGGCCTCCAGCTGATACTCTGATAAAAAGGAGCATGTAAGTGCATTTAAGGCGCGGTCATTTAAATAATAACAAACTGAAGAAAATGAATCAGAGTCTGGCTAAAATAGTGGAGAATTATGTGCGGCTTGGTATCATTTTCATCCTTGTATCTATAGGTTACATAGAAGTAATTGGTGGGGTCTGCCATTGGAGGAGACGGAGGCGGAACAGGAAATGGGTCATATGGAACCCACTCTCCAGCGTCCCTATTGTACGTGGGTCAATATGCTGCAAAGACAGATATATATGACTCCAAACCGGATTTGCCACCGTTTTGACGAAGTGGTTATGTTGTTCCTGTGTCTTGGGCACCTTACTTTCATCACTAGTCTTCACTTGCAAATCACCCGAGTGCTTTTCATTAGTTGCGCTGTCATCTTTGTTGTCGACTGCTTTCTCTACTTCCAACATCTCTGTTGCTTGAGAAACGCTGTCTACCCCTATATCAGCATCGGCCAGAAGGCCTGAATTACTGCACAACGCAGTTTGGTCCTGGGATGACATGGAGGTGATTTCAATGGGGAAGACACTGATTTCTTGGAGGATAAGAGAGATGTTCTACACGTGTCGGCTTGATTAAATGAATCTGGACACACATAGGTCGCCGTCCAAATTTCTGATAAGCGAGCGACCTCAGGTTGAATCACTTTTCTACGGAATTCGAATTGCTAGTCAATGGTGATGATATCACTTCACAAACATATGAAAAATACACACGGTTTCTGACTCACTGGAATGTACCGACTGACTATTATGCTGGAACCAGAACACGTTGCAGATTAATATTCGGATAGTCCCCACCCTCGCGTGAAGCTTCCGGTCAATGTGGACATGCACGACTCACAGACAAATAAACCTTGGACACAAACACCTAGGCTTCCCCTGGACCGGATTCGTATAATGCAATTCAATTTTATTCTAGCAGCGTTGGTTACAGCGCCAGCGACATTCTTTAAGCTTGTCCAACGAACATCTACTTTGTGAGCTGCTGGTAATTGGTAAGTTAAATACACACATGATATAAATAATAATGTAGAATATACCGGTAATTTTCTGCCCATAAGTCATAAATAAGTACAATTGTTGCTTCTTTGAGGTTCGATGCCACCACTGGTCCAGGTAGAAGGGCCCCGAAGACGTAACGCATATAACTCGAGGCTGCAGCCTGCTCGGGATCAGTTTAGTTACAGTAATATTGCCTCCAAGTCAGTTTGCTGGGACGTGGAACAATATGCAGCCACAGCCACAGTGGAGGGTATCATGTGACGTGATGTATCGTTGTGTATCTAAGCGATCTCGACACTGGTTTGCACTAAGCAAAAAATCTGAAATAAGCTGTGTTCAGCGTCAAACGATACATCGAAAAAGGACATTATAACTGCAATCGGTCCGACTATATAACATAACCGCCCATGACATGTTCAGTCCCTCCGCTTGAACACAAAAGGCACCCGTGTCGGTCTATAGTGTCCAACTATACTCAGCTCCCTGTATCGAAATCAAGAAGAGGAAACATACGCCAGCGTCACAGTACTCCTCGCATCAAGTATCCGCTCTTTCCTCTGTTCAAATGTCTCCGAAGCAAACTGCGGCTCTTCCTTGATCTCGACCTTGTATCGCATGATAAAAAGAGTGAGCACGGCGGTGCCCTCAGTTTCTGAGAACCTGGTGACCGCGTTTCATGAGTTACCACGGTCGTTGTTCTGAAAAAAATTACAACACACTTTCGTCCGACGCAACCACGGTGTCCTATCGATAACAATCACGAGGTTATCAAGCGACAAGAATGATTTGAATGACTCGAGTCTGACTCACCAGCACTGAATGGAAGGAACGCATCGCGATTCCAGTCTCCCAAGAAACGCGAAGGTTTGAATGTATGGGGGTCCTCCCAGTATCGAGCTATAGACAAACGAGATCAGGATGAAAAAAATCGCACGATACAACCTTAGGGATGGCATACGGTTGTAATGTAGTCCAGGCACGTCGAGAGACATAACTGCACCCCGGGGAATAGTCACAGTCGTATTCTCGCCTGCTGCATTGGGCGTGACGAACGATGTATCTTCCGCGAATGACTTTGGTATGCCAGTCACCTGGAAAGAACGGAAGATTTACAGATTAGCGCGAGTAGTGCCTCAGATGCACGTGGAACATAAGTACGGGAGGAAACATCCGAAGCGCTTCGTTGAAGACACTAAGAACAAGAACAACTGGTGAGCCCGTCTCAAGCACGGTGACAAAGGAAACCACTTACGCAAAAGAGCGAGTGAGTTGCGTCATATCCTCGTACGCCTACGGTTATGTGAGTATGCACTTTACAGGGGCACACGTGGAGTACGTACCGGAATTCTGCCATCGGGCAGGACACCTTTAATGTGCTGGTGAAGGATCTCTTGCTCGTCTGGGTATAGTGCCAACATTGCAAGCGCGAAGCAGAGAGAGTGCGCAGTTGTCTGAACACGTTCGTTGTAAGATTTCACCCTCTAGCAATCATTTGATATCAAATAGCAATACTACACACCTCGTGTCCAGCTACCAAAAAGATAAAGATGTTACCTGGTGTGTATGGTGAGAGATGTATACTGGTTACTGGTCATTAGCTACTTACCGACTAACTCACTATCGGACAGCCTCACTTCATCAGAAGAAAGATCCGCATCATCGTTCGCCGCCAACAGACTATTGAACAAATCATGTCTTTCTTCCTTGATCTCAGCGTTCTTCCGAGCTTGTATCATTTCATACAGGTACCGCTGCAAAGCAAAGTGAGAACTCAGATATGGAACAAAGGATTATATGAAACCTCTAATTCTTCAAACGCTAGCCAAGTTCGCTGTAGTCGTTTGGTGAGGCCAAATGCCCATTTAGGAACAGTTAGTTTGAGAACTAAATTTGTGGTGACGATATGTAGTGCATCTTTGAATGTCATCTTGTGGCCAGGAGGAATAATAGCGTCTTCTTGCCACGATATATTACGACCAAATCCTATCAGGATAATAACTGTCAAATTATTTGTTTGTAGCTCAGGGTATTTGAAATTCACCTGCAGCGCCTATAACGAATAAGGCGATCTGCAATAGAAGTCATTAAAACGGGATACGTTAAATTTATTAAAAACGACTAACTGGGAGTGTTAAGTCAACCCCATGATCGACCGTTATTTCATCTTTTCCAGCCCAAACATTATCGAAGAGATCAAGCATGATTCTGCACGTCTCGTTCCATACAAGCCTGTTGTTACGCTACATATCAAGCTTCAGATGAGAATTTTTCATCTGTAAATGAGAGTGGGACGTACGTCTGAAAAGGCCGGAGCAACGATTTTCCGGTATCTCTTCCACTCATCGCCTTCCGATACAACTATGTTGCCGCCGAAGAAAGTAAGAATTGTGTACTGGTGCAGAGGTTTGGGAAACCGGCCGCGGGACCACACTACTTCCTACAACGGTTGATTGAATTTGATACAGTAGGGTACTTTGAGCAAATAATATCATTACCTTAATTACGGCAGCGTCCGCAATCCACACAGATACGAGACCTTTAGGCCAAAGTGCTACCTATTGGGAGACTGACATTAAGATCAAACAAAGAAGTAGAGCAGATGGAAACAGCTGAAGGCCACTTACTGAAGAAACAATATCCAGCCCTTTGTCCACAAACGCTAAAGAGAAGCGAATAGTTGCAGAGTTGATCTAGTGCAAACCAAAAGATGCCAAGACATACTAGAATGTTTCAACCTCCATAGATGATCATGTCCGAGAGAAATAAAAGGTATCCTGGGGAAAATGTTTCCTATCAACGTGGCTGAACTGATGAGAGTCCGATGCCCAGGAAGATGTCTGAGGCAATACAGTCAGAATCACTTGAGTCATAAAACGGAAGAGATACATACTTGATAGAACGAAGAGCCCGGGAGAAGTCAATGTATGTCTGGACAGCACTGAGCAAGGCTACAGAGCCCAAGAGCACGAACAGGGTGTGCAAAGAGAAACCTGATATCTCCATCATAATTGCGAAGGCCGAGGAAACAAAGCCAGACGTAGGGATGAGACAACCCGTACAGATGCCTAGGCTAATACTGGCTAATACTGGTTGCTTACGAGGATTTAAGAATTTTAAGACATGCCTTATCTGAGTTCACAGGCCCGAGTGCTGCCCGTGTGTCTGATAGATCCGAGTCTCGTGTCAACATACTGGTTGTCAGTCGCGCGTGTCTTTCTGATGACATGGCGTTGTACACGTTATTTTGCCTGTCAATGTGTCTTCCGTCGGAACTTGACTGCATCCCGTCGGTCCCAACATTGTGCTTTTACCCTGGACGATTCTTAAGTGCATCCGAGTCGTATGTACTTACCAACATGCACATCAACATGCAGGTCGCGATAGAATGTAAAAGGTTCCAGGTTACAAGTTTCAACAAGGAAACAACCTGATGTACTTGTATAGGCTGGGTTTAGACGCCCTACTAGGAAACTGTTTGTCGTCTTCACGTCACTACAACTTATTACTACCCCGAATTGAGGGCTAAAGATCCACCAACTTCAGAGTGAATTCGCCAGGACAAAAGATTACACACCGCAAATGTATAAAGTTACAAGCGCGTCAAAGATAGCTATCGACAACAAGTAAAAGTAGAATAACCCTCCCGTCAAGTTAACTGAGCAAAGTTGCCATCACTTACAGGCCCTGTATCGGCATCTAGCGGTGTCTCTGGTGGTACTTCGTTCATCGACGTGCCCTGACCAGTAGTACCCAAGTTAGCTTGGGCAACAGCGGGGGGAACAGTGGTGGAATTATTCTTCGTAAGTTCCATGCGCACGGTATCAAGCATTCGCTTCAAGTTAACGCGCTCGTTGACAAGCGCCATTCGTGCACTCTCGAGACCCTTCCGCTCATCCTCTAATATTTCCTCGAGCTCCTCGAACTGCGTCATCTTCAGCTCAAGTTTCGTCAAAGTCAGCTTGATGAGAGAAGCAAGTGTGGACCGAATGTGAACATTCTCCGCGTCTGCCAAAGTTTGTGCAGCTTTCGCCGACGACTTGAGCGCTAAGTGAGCTGCTCGTACAACTTTGGATTGGGGAATCATTGGTGTTGATTTTTTGGATGGAGTAGAGTCAACTGCCATGCCTTCTGGCGGTGGGGCTGGCGAACCAGTCTTACTTGACGATTGCCCACGCTGGGAGACCGAAACATCTTTCTCGAGCGACTGTTCCATTGGGGTGTCGCCGTCTGCGTCTGGCTGCTTTTCACTTGCACCAGTTTCACCTTCTTTTTGTTCCAATGTTTCCTGAGCTGGTGCTTCTTTATCTGCTTCCTTGGATTCTCCACTAGTCAGCTCATGAAGGGCTGACTTAGCAGCCTCAGCTGCCACTCCTGGGCCAACAACGCCTGCAAGGAAGGCCACGACGCTCATAACAGGGTTATCAGCCTGTTCGAACGGAATGCGTCCGAAACGTAGAGGACCCATTTCACCCTCAGTAGCAACATAAGGGTCTTCTATTGGCAGTTCCAAGAACTTGCGTATGCACTGCTGTGCTGTGCGAGTACCCACATGGTCTTCAATTTGGTTCCAGTCATCGTCATACATCTCGATACCCTCCAGAAGTAAGAGGACCTCTTGGTCCGTCCAGTCGTCGTCACTACCATGACTTACACCACGGGGATTTGATGAAAGTTTGACAAAGTCACCGCTAAACATAGTGGATGGAAATCTGCCGTCGAGATAGCATGGTTGACATAGCTCGAAATCTTTTACTTTCAGTGAGTGGTAGCGAACAGACGTGCAGTCTGTACCACAGGTGTCGCACTGATACGACATGTTGCCTTTAGTAGAAACACCATTGGCAAGTGTGGAGGCTTCTGCGGCTGTGACAGAGCGAGAAGCTTTGGAGGTAGTTTGATAGATAGAATTGCGTATCTCGAGAGATGCGGGACCTGACGTAGGTGGTTTTGGTGCTCCATTTACCGTGGAAGCAGGATGATTTGATGGACGACTCCCAGGGTGCAACGATTGCAGTCCCCGTGGAGTATCAAGAATGACACGAAAGTGACCAGTAAATGGAGGCGCTAATGCTGCAGGACGCGCTTCGGGATCGATCTGCGCGTATAATCACTTTAGAAAATGACAAGGGAATATGCAAATGACAATACACACTTGATAGTTGATTAAACCCCACTGCTCGAGAAAAGCATGCACGCGCATGATAGCGCAGACGTCTCCAGCCAGGTTTCTTCGACAAGCGGTGACGGTGAGGTATTCTGTAGGTCGCAAGCGGTAGGTATTAATCATGAAGTCACGATAGTCTTTATAGATGGCGGGAGTTTTGGATCTATTTCTCGAGTTGAAGAACTCGGGTAGCGCGCGTCGTTCAACGGGATGGATCTTTGACATCTCGAACCACGCAGAATAAGATGGGATAACGACGTCGTGTGTCTGTGCGGCTAAGTATTTGCGCGCTTGGTCTTCCAAACGAAGGCGAGTAGCTTCCAACTGTGCAGGGTCTTCGACATCATCGTTTTCGTCCCCAGACTCTGCCTCTTCGTCGGCTCCTTCTCCCATTGATACATCGCCCGCGTCCTCTTCACCCTCACCATCACCCTTTAGCAATCGCACCTTTCCTCCATTTTCTGCTGAGGGTTCTCCTGCTGTCTCAGACGGCAAGTTCGCAATGTCTCCTCCTTGAATGGGCTCCAATTCGCTGCGTTTTCCGGGGGCGTTTTCTGGGTCGACTGGGGTAACACCCTGGTTCTGCTGGGGCACGGTTAATTTGATTCTTTTGGCCTCAGAACCTGGCGAAGGTGAGGCAGCACGTTTGGGAGACTCCATTGAGGGCAATAGTCCGAGTCCAGGGTTGGGGCGGAGATTCGTCGTGCACTTTTGCCCAAACGTGCACAAATCAAACGCGGGTGGCTGAAGACTTCAAGCCGGCCGCGCTGAATATTCCAGTTGCAGTGTTGCGGTATTTTACCAAGTTACAACGTTTCTTAGTGCGTTGGGGAGGATAGAGGAGCTGCATAAAGTCTATGGCATCTTGGGCATTGGGTCATGTGCCATGGATGCATGCTGGCCGTGCGCGGTTTCGTTTGGATTTTTTGTCCAGCAGAGTATGGCCGCACACTAAATCTCATTTCAGCGCAACACTCCAGCTTTCGTCGCGTTCACCAGCTTCAAAGGCAGTAGAAAACATGCCTTATCCTCCAAATCCCCCAGATACGTCCATATTTGAGGACGTGTCAGAAGAGTACGTCTCGGCCAAGTCACACGTCGTCCCAATAGCTACTCCTCGCGCGGCTCTCACTTCATCCGATGCATTGGCTCTGCTGGTCGCCAATAATGACTGGAAAGCTGCCGATTCGTTGCTGGAGGAGATGATAGAACTCGATGTTCCCATTAAACCGGATTTTGTCTACGAGAAAGCCGCCATCCACGCCCTCACGTCGAATTTTCACAACGTAAAGCAGCAACGGGCTTCGGTATTTGCCAAATGGTTCATGCTCGTACCTTCTGCACAGAAAACGCGACGATCCTTCTATCGAATTCGCTTTCTCATCTTTGGCAGAGCCGCGTCTATCAACATACCACTCATTATGCGTTTCGGCCTCATCTGCGCGTCGAAAGGATACGTTACGTCCCAACTATCATCTCAAGTCATCAGCACCGTGATGCGCTTTGCGGTCCCTGAAATTAGCGAAACGTATTTGTGCCAGTTTGAGGAACGTGCTGTGTTTTACGAAGGAGGGGAACAAAAGCCTCTCGCACCATCATTCCTAAAGTATATCTACAGCTTGGCAATCAGGACACAGGTTTTGGCCGGCCGATTTAATGCAGCTCTCAGGCTCCTCGAGCTTGCTCATCAGCGCAAGCATCAGATCTCAGATTTTACCTTCAACCTCTTCTTCGAACACGCGAAAGACAAAGCCGACATTGCAAAGGCACAGGAGTTACGCACACTTTTATCCGACACGCCAGGCGCTGTGTTCAGTAAGGTGGATAGATCGGCGACAACGGCGAGTTCATCGAAACTTGCTTCGCAGCTGCGGTACTTGCGCAAGGCCATTATATCGTCCAATCCCCCCACTGCATACACTCTACTCTCTTTCATCAAGGAATATCGCAAAACGGGAAAAGTAAAGGCCATAATGATGCTACGTTCCAAGGCATATCGACATTCGTACAAACCAATGTCGCTCTGGGTAATGGCGGAGATGTTGTATCATCGTGAGCGCAATGAGCGCCTATTGACCATCTTCGTCTACTTTACACACTTTTCCCTCGCTGGGCTCCCCGCTAGGACAATCAGAAATTGGATGTTCCAGCTGTATCGTCTTCGAAGCTCATCAGAGAAAAAGTGGAAGGTACCTGCGCACTTGACATCGCCACAATACCCCATCAGCGCTAAGATATGGCCATCCACTTTCCACACAGCGTTGGTCTGGGAAGCTCTCTGTTGGCTATCGCCGGAAGTGTCACAGGACAAGTTGTACTCCTCGTTGCTTCGCATAGCTGAGTCTAGCGAAAAACAAATTCCTTACATCACCAAAAAAGACCATTATACACCCTCCTACCTCATGTTACCCAAGCGCTCCGTAGACCCCGCACATTTTTCACCATTTATTAAACTGCACGCCAAACGTGCCCGGCCTGAACGTGCTACTGCAATTGTAGCAGACATGATTAGGCTTGGCCTCGAGCCTACAGCGTACCAGTGGACCATGGTCGCTCGTGGCTATGCAGAGTTCGGAGACCCTGATAAAGCTATACTTGTTCTGGATAAGTTAACGGAACGTGCTTGTATCACCACTGAACAGGCGTTATCTGCACTGCAATGTGACGATGAAACTATTAGTGACGAGCCTCATTATCTGGCGGAACTCGAAGACGAGGAAGGCGTTTCAAATGCCATCATCGTGACATATACGAATGTCTTGCGAGGATTTATCCTATCGAATCGTCTGGCACACGCTATAGAAGTAGAGAAGAGAATTATGGAACAATGCCAATATCATCCAGGGGAACGCCCCGCCACGGATGATGTCTTACGTCTACTGAGAGAACTCAAAGGCAGCCAGGGGCAACCATAAGATTAATGGTGCGTTATTTTCGTAAATTCTAAGGCAACCAGATAATTGAATATGTGCTTTCATTCATCTCTAGGTGCATCACTTGTCATTAGACTATACTAGGTCAGCAATGAAGACTATAATGTACGTCGTGGTGACGACGAGTCCTTAATTTGTAAAGGCTTTCGACGCCCCGTATAATTATCGGCGGGGACAACAGCTTCTCACTCCGCAGCAGGTTTTGTTTGGGAAGCCCAGATCCCTGGAAGGTATCGATGAGTAATCGTTGGCGCTCCCCCAACCGGATAGAGTTGACATCATGGAGTGTTCACAACTATTAGGCTCTTCCGATTGAAACCCGATCAAAGCTACTGCTGCGCATGCTGTATCTGTGGGGCATGCCAAGACCGTAGACGGTATATTATGGCATATTACATGCTAGTATGAAAGTGGTCAATAGAACGTGCATTCCCTGGCTTCGCAAAGTCCCTGGCAATAAAGTGGTTGACTGAAGTGTTTAAGAAAACTATATACAACCAGAACAGTGACCAAAGAAAGGTCTATAGATAAAGTGCGAAGAAAGGTAGTGTGTGTGAAACAACGATGGAAACGGGAGCAAAGAATGAATAAAATAGCAAGCTTTTAGAAGAGCCATAAGATGGCATGAACGACGACCGTCATTGATACAGAAAGTATGGAGGGGGGTTACGTATTATTTCTTCGAATGTTGGTATACGCTGGTGGTAGCTCAACGGTTTCTGGTTCGTCTGCTTCATCCACTGGTGAACCAGCGTCATCATGTTGGATAATGTTGACAGGTCGTAACTGAGGCATGGCTGTTTTGCGTGAACTAGCAGCGGTTGAGCCTGAAGCAATTCCGAGGCCAGCAGCTTCGGGAGTCGCTGCGCGCTGGAAGCGAGCATCAGTGAGACTCGTCGCAGCGGAGTGTCGGCGTTCCGAGGTGCCATAACGTGAGCCACCAGCAGTTCCGCCTGCGCCGTTCTCTTGAGCATATGCAGATGATACTTCTGTAGGGTCTGGCAAGACGAAAGGCACGGGACGATAATACTGCGGAAGTTCGCCTTGTGGTTCGTCATCTTCGTCTCCGTCACCTTGGAAAAGATTAACTGGGCCTTCCTTGCGAGCCTTGGTGCTTCCAGTCTTGCGCTTGAGGAAATATAACCCTACTAAAGCAATGATGACAACACCTGCAAGGCCTCCGATTACGCCACCTGGGACAACATATTAGGTCGACACAACAAATACAACACTGGAAATAACCCACCAATTATAGCTCCAGTGTTGGTTGAACTAGCTCCATGTTAATAATCGATAACACAAAATATAACAAATCACAAATCACCTTCTTCCTCCACTACCACCCGTTGTACCGCCCGAATTGTTTGTCGGATAACTTCCACCAGCAGGAGGACCGGCAGTAGATGAGGGCGAGTTATTGTTCAAGCAGGCGTTGCTTGGATCATCTCCCTGTTGTACGTTATAAGACCCACTTCCACCCGTTCCCTCTCCTCTATTGTCACCAGCAATTATGAGTAGCGTGTTTCCAGCTCGTACTGTTGGAGTCCATGAGAAGCCAGTACCTAACGAATCGTTTTGTGTGATTTGGCCTTCGGGGATTGAGAAAGAGTCTCCTCCCGGAATGACACCTTGGAAAGTTACGTCGCTGAGTGTGGAAACACGTTGAGTCCCGACAATGACATAAACGAGTAAGATCCTCACCCTTGTGTTTGAGATGCATTCCACCATAACCTGCTGGCAGAGCACTGTACGACAAGGCCCGATGGGTAGATATTGAACGGAAAGTCTGGAGAAACAGTTTTTGTTGGGTTAAAACAGCTGGCATCGTTGCTACCCGTTACTGTTGCAACTACACTGGTTCCCCCAGAGCCAAAGGCACTACTGTCACTAACCTGTAAATGCATGATAACGGGTTAAGTTGCGGTATAAATGAGTAGCATAATTGCCTTATCGGCCACGATATGCAATCAAAGATAGACATACCACTGCTACGAATTGCGAGGTTGCTGGATACTTGAGTTGAAAACTCACATCGGTGGAGTCTCCAGAGAACGGTTGGTTCACGATTGTTCTTGCCTCCACGTTATTTGGCAGGGGAGATGAACCATAAGGAATGATGAGGACACTATACGGCGGCTGGCCAGTCCCATCAGTGATTGCGATAGACAAGTTCCCGCATTGTGTTGGTTGGCTGGTGAACTGGAAAGAGAAAGCAGAGACTAGCGAAGGGAGGAGGAAGAGAACCAAACTTGAAGATATTGATGCTGATGGCATGTCGATAAGAAAAAGAAAGATGATATACCGGGATTAAAATGCAGCAGCGAATTGCATTTGGGCACCAGCCAGGTAGAGAGGAAGAGAAAGGGAAGAAATGCTGCCCTTGGAGTCGGGACGCGCGGGACTGTGTCGTTGTTGCGCCACGGTGTTACGCACACAGCCGGTAATCGGAGCTGCATCAAATTCGCCACCAAAATGAGCACAGGCGTTTCTCCTGGGAAAGAAAGTGACTATAATTGTGCTATGTGATTGTCTACTAGTCTCTTTCCGAAACAAAAACCATCAAACTCTCCAGCATGTTACATCCCAAGCTACAAATATACACTCTATTTTATTGGCTGATGACCAAATATGGGATATCACTGGCACTTTTCTCACGGTTGGCAAACCACCTTTGGCCCAATCTAAGCCTGAGCTTGGAAACAGCCCTTGACTCCCGCCGCCATCAGCATCAGTGTTCTGGCATTGTAACCTGTCAGAGCACAAGCCTCTATATCTTTTCTTCATTTCTCTTACCATAACTAATTTTAATCACCGTTAATTTTGGATCCTTTGTTGCACTAAGTACTATGCCCTCCATCACGGACAGCCCTCCTCGTGCTCCCCCCATCAAGTATACCGCTCACCTGGGAACACGCTGGCAAAAGGAAAAGGCTGCTGCTGGAAATGGTGCCTTTGAATACCCAGAAGACCCGAGATTTATTGGACCATGGATCATTGGCGAGTGCGTTGGCAAAGGAGCGAGCGGTCGCGTCAAGATCGCAAAGCACCGTCGCACAGGGCAGCTCGCTGCTGTCAAAATTCTGCCTATCCAGCCAGTGGTAAACTCTCGCGCATCTCTTGCTACCCAGCAAGCAAAGTCTGAGAAACAACGCCTCGGGATCGATAGGGAAATTATTATGATGAAGCTCATGAATCACCCAAACATCCTACGCATATATGACGTGTTCGAAGGCGACAAGGAACTTTATCTGGTTCTCGAATATGTCGAAGGCGGCGAGCTTTTTGATTTTCTTGTCAACCGCGGAAGGCTACCTCCTCTTGAAGCTTTGGCGTACTTCAAACAAATCGTATATGCCCTCAACTATGCACACACCTTTTCTATTATACACCGTGACCTCAAACCGGAAAATATCTTGATACACTCATTAAACCCACCTACAATCAAGATCGCTGACTGGGGAATGGCTGCCTTCGCTCCTCCTGCCCTACAACTAGAAACCAGCTGTGGTAGCCCTCACTATGCAAGTCCGGAAATCGTCAATGGCTTGAAGTACGAAGGCAATGCGACTGATATCTGGAGCTGCGGCGTCATCTTGTATGCACTCTTAACCGGAAGGCTTCCATTTGACGACAAGAATGTGAGGACGCTCCTAGCCAAAGTCAAGACTGGGAAATACGACACACCAGCATACATCGACCCTAACGCGAAGGACCTTTTATCGCGAATGCTTGTTGTGGATGTAAACAAGCGGATAACGGTATGTGAAAGCTATGACGTAATGCGATGTCTTTACCCACCCTTGTGTACAGATACCCGAGATCATGAATCATCCCTGGTTCAACAAACCGACTCCAGGGATAATTTATGCGCCTGCCCCTTCCGTTGCTGATTTAGCCCGACCACTTGTGTCTGCTGACCACATCGAACTGGATCTTTTGGAATCCCTTCGTGTTATCTGGGGCAAGCATGGCGATGTTCATAGTGTCAAGGTGGATCTCCTCAGTCCAGCTGGCGAAGGCACACTAGCTAAAGCATTCTACTTCCTACTACACCAATATCGCGAACAAACTATGAAGGACAATGGTATCATTCTGGACACGAATGTGTCGCCGCAATACATCGGTGGAAAAATAATTACAAAGCAGTATATATCTCCTCCTATTAAAAGGCATACTATACGCGAAGGTGAGAATACTGTGCGTACCTTACACCTTCATAGTAGTCGCGAAGCTCCTGCACCGCCTTCCCGGACTCCTTCACCAAGGCCTTCTGGCTTGGCGCCACCCTCTCCAACACGGTCTTCTCGCAGTCGACCGCCCTCTCCTCTTGGTCCACGACCGCTCAAATTCCGTCCTATCTCCTCCCCGGTCATTCCGGGGGAATCTCCCAAACAAAGGTCTTCGGTCGACGTACCTCCAATAGATATTCCGCACAAGAAAGGGGATCCAGACAGATTCAGGGCGTCTAGCGTTCCTAGTGTATCTCCTTACCTCAGGCCCGACCCCCAAGGCCACTTCGCATACAATCAGCGTATATTCCAACCTCTGCATGTTCCGGCATCTCCCCCGATCAGTTCGGTGGTACGTTTTCCTGTTTCGCCCGCACGCCATTCTGCTCGCCCTGTCTTGACCTCGAGCACCATTCACTCGCCTGTTCCGGTCTCCCCTACTTCTACCCGCGAGCAGATCCCTCTTTTAGAAGCCCCTAGGATTCATGACAGGAGCATTCAAAGCACCATGGACCATATTACTGAAAGGGTAAATGTATTGGTAACCCGTGGAAACTCTGTACGTGGACGCCCAGCTCAGTCGCCTGTTCTGGGAAATGTCGACACTTTCACTATGGTCGATCGGCCGTCTCACTTGGGTCGCTCTCGTACAGGACCTACTATTCGTGAGGATGAAAATCGTCACGGACGCCATGTGGACAAGGAAAACAGGGATGAAAACGGAAACAAACATACATACCACGAGAACGATATCATGCAAATATCGGGTGGATTAGGTTTTGGAAAGGCAAACGGAGGAAAGGTAGGGAGAGATATACGCAACAGCATGCACGGCCATGACGCTCCTAAACGAGAGGGAACGAAAGACAAGGAACGAAAGGGTCGGAGTAAGCCACTTGATGCTAACGATGAATTACCTCAATCTGACCCCTATCCGCAGCTCCTAATCTAGATATACATTCACCAGTGCTGCGACCAAGACGCTCGACGCTCGGATCTCCTTTGCAAATCCACTCTCCTGCGATGTCTCTCTTGACTTCCCCAGTTGTGGGGGAATTTAAGGGGTGGTTCTCGAACCTCTTCAGTTGGAAGGCGCACACCTATGTCCTCTGTTCGACCGATAATATCTTTACGACGAGGTATGAAACCACGCGTCTTCTTGAAACGTATGGCATCAGTGTGGCCCTTGAGGAGACCGACGGACACGGGCTTTTACGATGCCGCGTAAACGATCTTATAGACACCACATCAGGATCCGTTATCCAAAAGTCTGCTCGTTTCCGCATAGAATTCTCTTCGTCGCCAGGAACATCGCCGCACCCTTCTAATCCAGGTAGTGCGACTCCTCGCCTGCAGCAGAACTTGATGTCGCCTGGCGTTGGCTCTGCACGATATAGCATGTCGAAATTCACCACAGGAGGCTTCTCGTGCGCGATCGTGCTCATTCAGGAAAAGGGTTCCGTGTCTACTTTTAGGACCGTTTGTCGATGGCTGCGGGATGAATGGACGCTGGACGCCTTGCAGTCTCCTATAGTTGGCTCTGATGGAACCAGGGCTTTTGTGGAAGATGGACATTAATCGCCGACTTATTCCTATCAACTATGTCGCCCCTCTTTACGGATATTTTTATAGATTAATACAGGCTTCTTTGTAGACTATTTACTTTCCTTAGATTTCTTTAGTGTTGTAAAATCACGAGAGCACATCTTATGATCAAATTATTTTGTCCATAAACTTGATATTGTATCCTCCAATGAAAATCAAAGATAGTTGACATTACAGTCAAGTCCGAGGGATTGGTAAAGTGTCAGTAAACATACATACTACATACAAGTCTCGGTAATAATGAATGAGCAGCTAAAAAAAAAGAAAAGAGCAAACCTCACTTGAACCTAATAGCGGGCATTTCACGCTAATCTACAGACAAAAGGCTCATGACCCTATTATTACACGGTGAAACAATTGAGCCTTTGTCGGAAATACGAGGAGAGAAGACCGTCCCAAAAAAAAATACTCGGCACTGCTCTAAGCCGCTGCTGTAGGCTCAAGGCCACGCTCAACATCACGGGGCAATGTAGGCGTGGCAGACGTTGCGGATTCGTTCGCAGACGGATTATCCCCTCTACCTGCACTTAGCGAGATGTTTCGGAGAATGCCTGAGCGAAGAGTATTCAGCATACCGCCAGAAGTAGCAGTCGCCGTGGCGATATCTGCCTCATCGGGCTCCTGGTCACTCGTAGCCTCCTCGGACTCGTCCAATGAAGCAGAACCATTATGACCACCATCTAGCATCTCTTTAGCTGGAGGCGTAGTGGAGATGCGAAGTAAAGATGTATAAGCTAACGAACGAGCGTCAGTATAGTGTCTGTAGTGAGGCAGAATAGGGCAGACATACGTTGACGACAAACAGGACAGAACCAACCCTTGGCCTTGCGTTTTCTCCTGTTTTGGTTGGTAGTGGGTAATATCGAGGGAGGTGCGCTATCTCCGCCAGCGGTAGCATCGGCAGTATTTCCATCTGTCCCACCGGAAGCAGCTGCCGCAGTATCTTCTGCATGCACAATATTACCTCCGGCGCCAAATTCCACCATGTTGATAGCACATTCCTTACATGCAACCAGATGGCGGCAAGGAAGAAGGATGACTTCACGGGGAGACGAAAGGCAAAGCAGACACTCGGAGGAGGGCTCATCATCCTGCAGAGGGACAGAAGGGGGAGCTGTAGGTGGGTAAGTATGAGTTTGAGTTGAGGTGGGAGAAGCAGCTTGAGGCTGAGATGACGCAGTAGACTGCGATGAAAGACCATATATCTCGTGAAGATGGAATATATGTGGGCCAATCTTCAATATATGTCGCATAGTTTTAGTTTTAGTGCTTATCAGTGAAGCCATTTTTTAGGACCTACCTTTGCCTCTCGCTTCACTACTCTGACCACCCAAGGCCTATGATCTTCTTCCTCGTCCACAGGCCCAGCACCCAAGCGAACAACATGAATATAGGTGATTTGCTCATTCGGAGAAGACAAGCCGAAACCATCTTCATCCAATGCGACGAGCCGAATGGTGACCCTAACCCCCTCGTCGGAGTCCTCCTTGGATTCCTTATCCTTGCCATCCTCTTCTGCTGAAGATACTTCTGCATCAACGACAGCTAAGGCGGGACCTGATATAGCCCTGTCATGAGTTCGCTTGCGAAAGTGAAAGGGTGCGAAACGTCTTCTCCCGTGATCATTACGTGTGTTGCCCTCCGAGTGTTCATTCTCGCCAGCAGGCTCAGCAGCTATTTCGGATGGGGCCTTACTGGTGGGAATGACATCCTCTACAGGAGTTGGCTGATGGGAACGCTGCTCAAATCTTCCCAGCTCCAATGTAGCACCTTCTTCCAGTTTGAGAATTTTGCCGAATCCCCCCTCGACGGTAGTTTCAAAAATAAGGATGCGAGACAAACCGGAACTGTCGTGGTTTTCAACAAGCGGGTGGTCTGATGGTAGAATTACGTGCACATATATCCCACATTTTGGTGCATCGCAATCGTATTCGAATTCAAGTCCATGATGATGGTGTGAATCATCGTGGTTTGAGTCGTCGGTGGATGACATTGCGAGCGGAGAAAGGCGGAGAGTGGGACGTTTCAGATTGACCAACGCCTGTAATGTCGTCGTCGGTTGAGAAGCCTACCAAAGGTTCCCCAAGGTGTAAGAGCGTAAACAGTGTACAATGATAAATGTAGACACCTCTTTGACTTTTGTCATCCAACTTTTGACAATTTCAGGAGACAGCTGATCTGCAGCTTTCTTATCGCAGGACTGCGTCCATTTTGGACCACTATTGATGACGCCGATGCTGGGCCCGAAGAGGGTGTCCTGTTTCTTGTTTTCCTTATTAGTGGTATCGTTCATTTCACCCATGTTGATGACGACCGGTTCTTGAGTGCCCGTTCGTGCCATTGCTGCTGCTGTCCTGGAGGCATTGGTGTCCGTGCGAGCCAGGAAAGTAGGAGCGTGCAGCCTTCGAGTCCTGTTCCAAGTTGAATACTGGTTGTGATCTGCACGTTGCGCTGGTTGTAAGAAATGGAGTGAACACAGGTCAAACGTCGCAGAATACACTTACACCATGTAGAAATAGAGGCCATCGTCGCGGACGACGTCGAGGTCGAGGTCAATGGGAAGTCGTGAGGGCTCTTCCAGTTGTGTGTGTGGAGAGGGGATTGCCGAGCTAGTGCCGGAGGGAATTGTTAATCCGCAGCCAGCCAATGAATCTGTGTTTTACATGAATTACGTACGCAGCATTATTTTTAGATAAAACCAGTCTCGGTGCAGCACAGCTTACCTACTCGATCAGCGCACGTGATCAACTCATCCTTGCCGTGCAGTGTCTGCTTTGCTCGTCAAGCCAATCTATCCTGTGCTCACTCAGACAATACAGTTCGGGGTGCATGAGGCATGAGTGCTATATTGCATGCATATTGTGTCATAGAACGTCGTGTGCACAGGTCAAGGGATAAAAGTAAAATAACAGTGGGAGAACAAAATGTTCCTATGCAATTAACGACACAACACCACCAGCTGCATTGATTTTGGCCCTGCAACACAGTTAATACGCGGCAAGAACCTAGCAAAGGATGCACATACTCTGCCCGGGCGGAGACAAACCGTGCCTTCACGATGCAAGGCAATTTTGGGAGTCTATTCCAAACAATCAGAGCAGTCATCGATGGATGTTGTCAGGTTACTTACATTCCATTGCCCAACACTTTACCGTAACCGTGGTGCAGGGTGTCAATAACTGGAACAATTTCAGAGTTCTCTGTCAGGCCCTTCTTCTCTTCCTCGGGTACAAGCGTCCAGAGCTTGTCCACGTTGATGATCGGCCGCCAGTGTGCGTTGCGTGTCAAATGGAAATGACGCATACCGACTTTACCAAAGTAACCGGGATGGTACTTATCGAAGTTCGTTCTGTACGAATAATCCAAGAATATTTATATTAAACGCCTGTGCCATCGTGTACATTCCAACAAAACATACCGGTGGTGGTGCTGGCCACCAGCAAGACCACGACCTCCAGGATGCTTGCGGTGCTTCCCTACACGTCCGTGACCGGCCGAGACATGGCCACGGTGCTTGCGAGTCTTGGATAGATGAGTCGGCATTTTCTAAAAATTCGATGTATCAATATATTGCGAGATGCTATCCAAACCACGACCCAGGCATCCACCAGCTATTCCTCCACTTATCGACCTGATACGACATCCGATCGAAAGCTACAACTTCACGGAATCTCCTGGTAGATGCTTGGGATACGTAAAAGCCATAATTACTGACCTTGAGGCGGAGGTGTCGATGTCGGGGACGTTTGCCACTACAGCTGAATTCAGATCGATAGGCCGGATATTACAAACATAGGAGTTGAACTGACCTTCAGCTGAGTTAGAATATTAGACTAAATCTTAAAAAAAGACTAAACGAGTGGTCAGCTTGTTGTGGCTGAGAGGCTCGCAAAATGACAAGTCAGTACTTATATTGAAATGCTATACTAGAACTGACTTTTTAAATATTGTTGTAGGTAGCTAATTTTTCCCTTTGGAATAGTAGTAGATTTTGTTGGTCGACCGTATGTCCGCTTTACTTCTGCAATTTAATCGCTGCGTCTAAACCAGCCATCAACCTTCTATGTTGTGATTGTTGAATGAACGGCTTCCCAGAATAAAGCGGGCATAAATGGTCGACGATCTACTATTCTAAAGGGAAAAATTAGCTACCTACAGCGATATTTAAAGGGCCAGTTTTAGTATAGCAATATAAGTACTAATCTGGGACTTGTCATTTTGCTGCCTCTCAGCCACAACCAAAGCACTCGTTTAGTCTTTTATTTAGGGTTTAGTCTGGTATTCTAACTCAGTTGGAAGGTCAGTTCAACTCCTATGTCTGTAATTTCCAGCTTATCGACTCGAATTCAGCTGTAGTTGCAAACGTCCCCGACACATCGACACCTCCGCCTCAAGGTCAGTAATCATTGTTTTTACGTATCCCAGGCATCTACCAGGAGATTTCATGGAGTTGTAGCTTTCGATCGGGTGTCGTATCTGGTCGATATGTGGAGTCCTTTGGATGCCTGGGTCGCGGTTGGGTCGTGGTTTGTATAGCATCTCGCAATATATTGATATAAACTATCGAATTTTTAGAATGAATGCTCCAAATCGTTTTGAGCTCTTTGTGTTGGACGATGGCGAAAAGCCGTACGTTTACCGTTTCAAGCGAAGCTATCCTCTTCTCAAGTCTCATGTAACTATAGGGTAGAGGTCTCAGAAGACACTAAAATTCCTAATGCTGCCACCTTCAAAATCATGAAGCAGGACCACACCCTCGGGAATATGGTCCGAGCGTATGTAAATTCAAGTCCCTAATGTCCTCATGGACTCGTCAGCAGTGTCTTACCCGTCTCCTTCAGTCAGGTTCTTGCCATGCCCCAAGTGCTTTTTGCTGGATACAAAGTTCCACACCCTCTTCATCCCTATTTTCTCCTGAAAATACAGACGGACGGCACTGTTACGCCACAAGTCGTACTGGAACAGGCGTGCACGAAATTGATAGGGTCGTTATCTACCTTGGAGGCTAAATTCAAGCGTGAATTCTCTTTCAAGGATGTGGAAGGTGCGGTGACCGAAGACCCATATGGTACCACTGGTACGAGTGGGCAGCCTTGGGGATCTGGGAGAGACTACTTGGATTTCTAGACACCTTGTTAGTTACGTTGTGTATATTATGCTAATTTAATGTGTATCCATAGTTTTTTTGTCCGTGACTAACTAACCAATGGCTGATCAGCGCTATGTACATTGTTGCATGTGATCGATCCTCTCGGATATCTAAGACATGCCCGAGAAGAAGGCGTGTAGGCATAGAAACTTCACGCTCTTCGGGCTGAAAGCTTCGCTTTTGAGCGAGCAGCTCGCTTCGCCTGTTGTTCCTGCCAATTTCTCTTCTTCTCCTGAGTAGAACTGATCCGATCACCTAGTCGTTCCTCTTCTGCTGTGTTCTTCAGGGATGCATCGATGCACTCTTCCATCTTACCCTGTATCACGGAGTTCAAATCCAGCCCGCTGTCTTGGGACTCGTCCACCGTCCACTCGAAGTCAAAACCCCAGCCACGACGGAGAGGGGTTGATTGTAAAGGTTGCGATCTCTCCGGACCAAGAGAAAGTACTGGTGGAGCCGAAGCGGATATGAGCCCCCCCTCTTCACGCCACCACTTTACGAACCATTTCGCGGCTCTCACGGTGTCTAGCTCGCCACCACGTTTCAACATCCCAAGCCTCTGACCTACTTGTTCCAGAAAGCTGGTAACGTCATTCGTAGGAGGTGTTGACGGTGGAAGCAATTCAAGATAGGCCGGAGCTTTAGGCGGTGAAATAAAATTCCCCCGGGAGTTTTAAGCGGTGAGAATTATTGAACAATAAGTGGGAGGGATTTTGATAGATTGAGGAACTCACAAACAGGATTTAAGACATTGAGTCTATACAATAAGTAGGCAACCAGGGCTTCGACGTCGTATAAGCTCTCCTTGATACCGGCTCCAGTAAAAATTATCAGTGCTTTGTCGTGCGGAGTTTGTGTTCAACTCACCGATAAGAGCTAACTTAACGCCCCGTTCTGCACCCCTCTCGCCTTTCCCTAGAAAGGGTAACATAACTCCTGGAGAATCAAAAGAATAAACCAGAGGCTCTTCAGAGATTTTAAGCCGTGTCGACAGAGTTCGTGTATGACCCGGACTTGCAGAAGTCTGTAATGCTTTTGGAGTCCCTGAAAAAGTCAACAAAAGATCATCGTATTCATAAGTTCTATTGAGATAGGAATCGACGTACGACCAGATATGCCAATGTTCCGTAGAGCATTCAACAGAGTTGACTTGCCGACGTTGGGCATACCAACGACAAGAACATTCATTTCGGTTGCATGTGGGCTACATTTTGCGGTATCTGTCAGTGAGCGATAGGTCAACAATACTATACTATAATTCAGTCAATAAATTTCATGACGTACTTATTAACAGCTCGCTCAACGCTCTGATGTCTCGAGGCTTATTCCAAGAGGCAAAAAATACTTTCTGATCCGGAAACTTTGACGCCATAGCCCTACGAAAAGGCTACCGCTCTAATTAGATGATTTCAAGGCCTAGAGTTCTACTTGAGGGCTTACTTCAAAGCCCCATTCTGGGACCAGATCACGCTTGTTGAAGACGACTATTCGTTCACATATAGGACCGCCGAATCCGATTTTTGATGGTGATGCGGAAGACTCCATATGAGATTGTGGATAATTATGAGCGCCGCGTTCGGCCCTCCATTTCCGCAAGGCTCCTTAAAAAGGACGAAGAAAGCTGAGGCATCAGTGCTGCGAAAAAATATTTTGATTTGAGGGTATGCTCCCAATAGTCAGCTAGATAAGTATCAAGACGCGACCGTATCCAGCGAATGGACACTTTACACCCCATCAGGGCTAGTCAACCTATGGCAAGTGGCGCTACATTATATAGGCGGGCTATATCCGGAGACCAGTCTATTCATGCCTTCATTCATACTCACGGACCTGGTGGCCGAATGGCAAGAGGCGAGAAAGGGAAGGATAAGGAGATATGTCTTACCTTCCAGGTTTGTATTAATGCTTGTCAATGGAAGGCGCGAGTCCCTCAGTTCTAGTACCACGTCGGTCCGAGACAACAATGCAGGCAATTGTTTGGAAAATCTGTTCATATGTCCAGGAAACCATGATGGAGGAGAAGGCAGAGCTGGGAAGGGTATCGAAGTCAACATTGGGGGTACGAAACCTTGATATAGCGAGGACTTTGTATGGCAGTAAAGTTCCGCGTTTTAGACTAGGTTAAGACCAGAGATTGGTGCACAAACGGCCCAGCAGGGATATCAAGGGAGTTTCCGAAGTTGGGCGCCGCCTCAAGTGAATCCAAGTAAAGCAACGTTGAAAAGACGCTAGGGAGACCGAGTTTATCACCGGTGATTGGTTTTTGGCTGAGAAACGCGCGGCTACGCACAAGCTGTACAAGGTTACACTGTGATCGAGAATTTCTGTCGCTGGATCTAGCAAAGATCTCAACGGAGGAATAAAGTATGTTGTTTGGATTTATTGAATTCTAAAGCCTCCGGCATCTCGGCATTTCGCATTCGCTGAAGTTCCGCTTACACTTCCGCTCAAAGTCTGTACCGTGAAACTTTCAGTGTATGTAATAAACCATGTGTGCACAGTCAGCGCCAAGGGAACAAACCCTAACAGCATTGATAAGAGGAACAAGGAGTGTCTTGATCAGCTGAGAAATTGTTATCCGAACTGTTCTTATAATGATGATCAGTGTGCACTCGTGGAACCTTCCGACATCATGATCGTGCAGGTATTTGTTTTACAAGCTCAAACGCCCATTTCACGCGAAGGTCAGGAGGTCGAACACCTGTTGGGTTTTGGGGTAGGACTTCCACGCCAACGGTGAATTAACAGAACACCAGGTATTAATTCACCAATTCAAAAGAAATATGAATACAAAGAGCAAACAACCTAAAAACGCAGTAACATAAGACAAGATCGACTGAAAAATATGAAATGTGACAATTGATAGAGATTGAACGTTCCAGATGTATGCGTACGAATAGACAACAACAAAGTGACGCGAGGCATGAGCTGAGCGTGTTCGAGATCCTGTGATACCCTAATTTTGAATTATCGAATGGCTGAATCACAACAAGAACACCATCTAGGTGATACAGCCAGATATAATAGAAGAAGTCTACGGACGCTGAGAGAGCTCGTCAATAATTTATTGGCCGCTAAAGCACGACATATCACTCACAGGTCTATACCCAACCGTCCTTCCCGACTCCGATAGCGTCGAAACTTTTCCCACTTCGTGTTCGCCTTTCCTGCAGGACGGGGACAGCATCGAGGTTGATTAATTTTTCCGATGGCGGGGGAGATCCTTCGACCCATCCTTTCCATCCTTTTTTAACAGCGATTCTCTTCTTACGCTGCCGTGGTTGTGGCAACGGTTGAGTGGAACCGTCGTGAGGGTGATCGTCAAAGTCTTCGTCGTCGTCAGGTGTGCGTGGACGCTTGGACGAAGTACGCGACGTGCTCGAAGAGTCAGACGGCCCAGGAGTCGACTGTGGGGACATGGCCATGGGAGGCGGTGTTACAGATACGGAACGCTGCATGGTGGCGATGTGAATGGTGGGACGGTGGTTGGCGCCGCGGGCGAGCCAGAAAGATGATGTTTGTATGGCGGGGGTAGTGCTTTTACTGGCGGCTGTTGCGACCGGAGCAGTGTTCGCGATTGCCTCTGATACCTTGTCCACTGGCTTTGCGACGGGCTTGGGGCGCTTCTTATCCTTGTCACGATCCCTCTTCTCTTTTTTCTTTGTCCTCCTCAAGTCCTCTTCTTTCTCCACCGCTTTATAAGGGCCCACCCCGTTGAGAAGACTGGTCAGGACGTCTCTAGCAGGACACATATCAAAATCACCGGCCAGGACAGAAGTAGCGGAGCGACGATGACGCTTGAGAGGCGGAGACATTGGAGGGTGGCGTGGCGTAAGGAGGGTGGTCATGTCTAGGTGGCCAATAGATGGGGGTATATGTACAAAAGAAAAAGCGCAGTGGAGTCGTGGTTGAAGCAATTATTGTGCTTGTTGTATGCTTACGGCAGAGGATAAGCATCAACAAACAATGCTGTACATTCTTCCACATGCCATAATAATCCATATCGGACCTTGAGAAGACGGAGAAAGCCTGAGAAGGAATCAGAATAAAATCAAATCCTATCCTATCCTTCTTTCTATCTCGCCTCGTGTTGCGCCCGCAAAAGCCTATCCTGTTCCCTTATGCACCACTTCCTAGTCTCCACACTCCCTACTTGCTCGGGGACTGGGCATGCGGTGGCCATATTTCGGTGTATGGGAATATTCTAGGGACCGGTCTTGTTTCCAATCAATCCCCAAACTGTACCCATGACCGCTTTGACCCGCGCCGTCCATATAAACACATTGTGATCATGCCATGAAGAATTTTTTACCTACTGGAGCGTTCCCTGTAGATCTCTCTAGCCTTCTATAGCGACCACCGGCGCTTTCTCCAACATTCCTGCCTGCCCCATCTGTGCACCCTATAATAATCTACCAATGGCTGCCTCGCGTTTTATGACTAAATACGAGAACCTAATCCATACCTCGTGTCCGGTGCCTGTTCGACACAGCTCCCCTTTTCTGTCTGCTTCAAGCCATCGGTTCCACTAGTCACGCCGGTGGACATTATTATACGGCTCTGGAGCACCGTTGTATCAGTAGGACCGGCGCTGTCCGCGATAGTACCAAAGCTATAAGCAACTAATCATTTCAATAGGAAGCCGGCGTTATTGCGGGTGGGGCCCACAAACATGGTACCCTCCCTATCAAAGTATCCCCCTTTTGCACAATGCGGTGGTCGCCGTAAATGTGGCACACCGGGCCATTAAATCATATCGTTTTCTTATTTGGTAGGGCTTTGGATATTCGACGTCAGGTTCTCATGTACCGCCTTCATTAATGCATCGCATCGTGCTGTTAACTTTTGCATGCCAATCTTTCTCAGATCATCGGGCCTCTTACTCTTGTGACATAGGCGCCGGTCCCGATATTTTAACCATCGAATAAATTACTGTAACGTGACTCATTCTTGTGGTTAACACGCCAGGTGGACTCGTGGGTGAGTGAACAATGCAGCATCAGGTGGTTCTGATCTTTGACGTGATCAAAGGTTTCCGAGATACATGTCTTCCATATCCGAATAGCTAGTCTCTCGCTCGGGCACATTGTTCCCCTCAGCCGAATTTTCAATACTTACGTCGGACCCCAGTACCTGTGGCCATAAGCAATCAGTCCACAAAAATGGTATCCGTTAATCGATCATCTTATCTTAGATATAGCACGGCACGAATTCGAGGTATTTATCGACGGCCGTTACCGCTCGCCGTCCCTCGACATCGGCGCTTGGTATAGCGTCTAATATCTGGCCTGCGCATGCTCTTCGATCATGCTGCTTTCGGCGTGTCCTTGTACCAGCTCACCTCGGCTGTACGACACCGCACATCAATCAGTACGTTCTGCCATCTGGACGTTTGTTCCAGTGGAGAGTTCACTTGTGTAGCAGCTCATGAGAGCTCAGTTGACTTGGAAGTGCTGTGTTGCTAATTAGCCTCCCACATGATCTCAAAGCGGTGCATACGGGCGGTGTGTGTGCTACGTGATGCAGTCCTTTCTGATATCAGTTTTGCGCGCCTCTTTAAGTATATCACTGTATGTTACAATGTTGCTAGTAAACGATCACCTGTGTCAGCCTTTTAGCAATTGAGCTGCTACAGTGGGCGCATTCCTGAGTTCCACACAACGCCTCCGTCCTGGGAATTTCTGCACCGCTATCCTTCCAATTCGATAATAAAATTCTGAGCAGCCAGACTTTCTAGACTCGTCTTGTTGACTATTTTGACAATAGTGTGAGTTATTTTCGCCCGTTATATGCTACCTTACTAGTCGCTGTTCTAGGGCACAGCATAGCGGCGTACCTATTTCTTGATCATCATTCTCCAAGTCACAAATGGAATATCATACTGGATTGACAGATTGGGATTCCCGTCATTGCGGAGGCTCCTAGAATACTAGACCGTCAAATTGGTCCCACCGGTCAAAAGTAAAAAGAAGTGAAGGACTGAAATTCACAAATCTGGATGCATTGGCAGTATCTGTTGTTCCTCGAAGGGGGCCCGTATCCAAGCATAAAAATAGTGCCTATTATCGAAACATAAAAATACTAAATTTATTCCCATTAGCCGACTTGAACGACTGACCTCGTCATTACTAGTGACGCGCTCTACCAACTGAGCTAAACGGGAAGATGAATGCGATCACAATGTTGTCTCCAAGGAGACAACTCTGCCGGTTTTGCCTTAGCAGATAGGTTGGCACAAACATACAACTTAAGTGTTTCTACAATGTGTAAAAAGTATTAATTTTGAGAATTCTTTGATCGTCGTGGCGGGCGCTCGTAATCCCACCATTACGTTTTGGAGTTGTAGACAGTAATTTTCATAAATCCATGAAGTCAGACTAAATACGATAATCTGAAATCAAACCACTCATACCAGCGACCATATTTGAGGTCGATAATATGATAGCTTAGAGTAAAAGACCTCAACTGCTGAACCGCTATAATTTCGATGCCTTTACGGGCACGCATAGTGGCCTTGACAACTTGCTGTATTCTTGGATTGACAGCCTGAGGGCTCGGCTGTTTCGACTGAAGCCAAGTCCAGTAGTCGTACTGCAAGCCGCATACATTAGTTGGCCCGCTACATTCGTCCACAGCAGTCTCAAAGATATGCTGCTGCCTGTGAACTCCCATCGCAACCGTGACTCGGATCTTGCCTTAATTCCATGGCCGGACCTTGCGGCGAAATGATGCGACTACAGCACTGAGCGGCATTCGCCTTATTGGATCAGTGGCCGGCTCTATACAAAGCAGCTCCATTGTCCAGAGTCATTTACTCCAAAAGGATGCTTGCGCGCTGGTGGGAACGAACCAGCGGCGATAACGGTCCTGGAGATAGAGCCCTAGGGGTTGGAGTGAACGTGAAACACTGCACATACGTGCGAACAACGGCAAGCTCAACACGGCAGTTCGCCACACCTATACTGCGTAAGACAGGACTTCAGCAATGACATCATGAAAGCACTGATATTATTCCAACAAAAAAAATCCCCCCCATAGCGTGGCAAGAGTTACACGATGAGACAGTGTGCCAACGTATGCACTGTTCCCGAGGCTTTGACACGCATGAATTATTCCAGGCCCGGTGGCTACCTAGTCAGTCGGGCAGGGAGATTTACTGCATCCTCCTCGCCATGGCACCATACTGCAAAGTCCCCTGCCACCAGGCTACCATGCCTAATCCTATAAAACCGTGAAGAGTACCCCAGACAACCTCTGGTGTTAACTTCATCCTATAGCAATGGTCAGTGGAGGGGGTTGAATCATACAAAGCTCATCACGTACTGTTCCATAAATGGCCCAAACGAGTGAGGGATGAAACGTGGGGATTGGAAGAGGACTGTGGACACTACGCTATGGTAAATGCAAAGACCTATAGCAAGAGCCCGCTTTCCAGGCAAGAATTCTACGTAGATAGATGTTAAATTTGCTTGTTATTTTAGTCAAATATGTGGTAAACTTGCCAGGGAGCGGATACGCGAGGAATGTCGCGACACAAGTGCCAAGAATTAAGGCTGCATATAGCTAGTAGATGTCAGTTTGAGAACATAGCCTGTTCAATGGGTGAGTAAAATAACCTTGAGGATAACCACGGTGGAGTTGTTCATTTGAAGGAAAGGGAGTGCTTGAGGAGACCAGACACCTTGAATCGCAAGAGGTGCCTCCAAAGCTATGTGAAGCAGGAATATTACCGACCTGTTTAAGTCGATCTCAACACCGAGACACGCGATTTGGATGTACCAGCAACTCACAGAGGACTACGGGCAGCAACTTGTTGAGACATTTCAAGATACGCAAAGAAGTTGAGACCTGAGAGACGAGGGAAATGTGCAGAACGATAAGCAGCAAAGATCTAAAAATTACACTTCAACCGTAACTGTCAAGTGTGTAAATGTCCTGAACTTCCTTGTGCATGGGCTTACGTAACGACAATTGGTTCTCCGGCAACTCGACAAGATAGCGATAAGCAGGATAAGGACTGTTTAGCGCGAACTTATATATTGGCTACGCGTAAATCTGCTTTACAGTAAATTGACAAATACGGGGGGGGGAAAGCAAAAAGACATATGCAAGACGCCTACCCGCTCGAGCTCATGCATACCTTCTACCAGTGTCATTGCGCGACATCATGTCGCTAATCTAATCATCACAATCATCAGCTTCATCGTCTCCTACCACTGATCCTCCACCAAACGATGCAGTAAGTTCTATATCATCTAAATCCCGCTCTAGATCCAATAGCTCCCCAACTGACTCGGCAGGTTCATCGCCAACTAAGCCCCTTAGCCTTGATACCTCATGCCTGAGCTTGCCAATTTCGTCGTCCCTTCGATCGACACGCCCCTTGAGCACTCGAATGAAGTCATTACCGCACCGCAGAAGCTGTAGCTTGCTAACACCCTTGTTAGGACCTTCACCGCCAGCTTTAGGTGGGCCGCGTGGAGGTAGCGCACCCGGAAGGATGGGAGTATCAGGAAAGTTTTCGTCAGACGGAAGAGGTATCGGTGGCAAAAGTATGCGAAGATCGTCGAATGTCGTCTTTAACGAATCACGACGCTTCTGCTCAGCATCCTTATGAGACTTGCGACTTTGCGGTACAGGCGGCATAGGAGCAGCCGATGAGCCTGCATGTACGTTGGTGCCACCGGCTAATAAATAAAATGTGACGGTGAGCATAGAGTTTCTAAGTAGGTAGCGAATAATTTACCCGGAAGAATTGGCTTAGGACCTGGACTTATCAACATTTGATTTTTTCTTAGGGTCCTGCAAGAACCAGCTTCTGCCGAGGGCTTAGACCTTGAGGCGGATTTGCCTTTAGGATCATTTTTGAGTGACTTCGCATCTTTGGCAATCGGGGTCAAGCTACTGCTGATTCCTAGACGACCCAGTTCCATGAGGCTGGCTGGTGTGACCGGCGTTATAGACGTGACATTTGCAGTAGTTGCAGCTGCTGGCTTTGATGTCGAGGCTGCAGATGAATGAGCCGTGGGCGGCGCGGGAGGTGGCATAGATAAATCTACAGGAGATGGCGAATCTTCTCCCGTTAGAATACTACCTCGTCTAGACCTCGTGGAACGCAGAAGAGGAGTCGAGCTTGCGGACTTGGTCACACGGGCAGCCCTTTTACCGTTATTGAAAGAGTTAGACGTATTCGCCGTGGCTGGTGAGAGACGCTTGCGAGACGGCTTTGCGACACCCTCGTCACCGCTGGGCGATGCAGTGCGCTTGTTAGGTTGTTTTGGCTGCACAGGCTGTTGGTTATAAGCTCCAAGCCAAGGGCTAGTAAGAGGTGATACATCCATATCCAAGTCAGACGGTGATGGGAGAGGAAAGGGATTCTGAAAGGCAATATTGGCAGGAGCCGAATTTGAGCCAGGATGACGCGAGTACTGATTCAACACAGGCTGCGCGTGGGGAGACGGTAAAGGAATGGTGTCCATCGCACCAGATTGATACATGTCCTGATGAGAATCCATATACGGCTGGTTCATCGGGGACATATACTCAGGATTTGGCATGGGCCGAAGTTCCGTTGAAGACACTGCTCACATGAGCGCCTGGAATATATATCGCGAACGAAGAGCTCACCAGGCGTAGGAAGACCGTGGAAGTTTGAAATTTGATCTCTTGTGTGCTCAGATGACGAATCTGAGGAACCGACTATGGAATGACCCTTGATAAGTGCGAGCTAAATGATCATAGAAGTAAGTGCATCCACATTATTGGTCCACCACAAGAAGCGGGAAGCAAGGCATGCAGACCACACAAGGCAGCATAATGCTATATAGCAACCAACCACTTCGTAGTTCCGAAGAGGATCTATCTCACCTGTTGCTGGAAGATCTGGTTTTGTATTTGATTCTGCAGCTGCTGTAGTTGTTGAAGCTGATTTAGTTTGTACTGTTGCTCGAGCAAAGCCTGCGGGGTATACTGTGGAACTGCTGATGACGGGGACATCTCCATGCTCTGCATGACCATCATGTTGTTCATGAGATCCATGTTAAGCTGGGTGTTACTCAGTCCAGAGAAGTTGTTAAGCATAGGCTGTTGGTTTATTAAATTCCCTGAGTTCATGGGAGACTGTTGCTGAAGATCTGAGCCTCTCTGAACGGGGTGCTCTGGGGGGAAGAAAGAGGCTAAAAAGTCTTTTTGTTGCTGCTCCTGTGTCCTTGTCTCCATCGTTGGAGTAGATCAAGGTGTGATGGTTCAGGAATAAGAGATACAATAGGGTTGGCTCTGGAGATGACCAGCAAGGATATAGTGATAGCGAAGAAAACGTTGGAGGAAATATAAATGAAAACGAAATCAAGAGCGAAATGACAAAAGACAGGTTTTACGACACAAAATTTCTATTTCAGGTCACGATACATACTATGCTCCGTCGGGCTCCCGGTCCGATGATTTCAGCAGCCACAGACTGCGATCTTCACCAACTCGAGAGACGTCCATCTCGTACTAGTTACTACACATGTAGGATATTATACCAATTGTTATAGCTCCTGATGACTATTGTCAGGTTTTTCCATAGTTTTCAATAATTCTGTCATCCTGGTATTCCTGAACAAATTCTCTTCGCTCCATCTTCCCTTTGCCACCTCTACTGCAAATGTACCTAGCCCCTCGATCTTGGTATACATAGAAGGCAGAAGGGTGGAAAACACGGGGGCCATAACGCAATCTGCGAACCTAGCTGATGTTGATCGAATATTTAGTCGATCCGAAGGATGATTTTGGGAAGGGAAGAAGTAGGCAGGTCGGAGGATTGACGACTTGATACCAGACGAGGACGGGAGTTCGAGCAGGTCTTTCTCTGTTCGACCCTGTAGAATATAAGGAGGTAAGCTTTACAACTCTGCTACGTTCGATGTGTTCCTGACCTTGATCCTTGCAAACTTCAGCTTGCTTTTACTGGTCTGATCGGCACCCTCGCCAGATACAAAGACAAATTTGAAGGGCTCCTTGGCTCTCTCCCTCACCCCACCGTCTTGTATAGCATTGATGAAACTCATGGTGTAATCGTATGTGATCCTTGTATATTCTTCGTCGCTCAAACCCACAGAACTTTTACCTAGAGCCCACACACAAGCATCGTGGTCAGCTAGGCGGGTGCTTAGCTCTGGGGAGTAATTCATGAAATCCTGCAGGACAACTACTTCAGTCTTGTTGTTCTCGGGAATTTCCATCCATGAAGGCAGGACTCGTCGAGAGAGCACTGTGATGTTTGTTATAGCGGCATCCTGGACTGCTGTGCGGAATATCTGAATGCCAGCTTGCAGTGATAAAGAAAGAAATATTGGTTGAGCTACGTTTGTAAGGAGAAACAGTGTAACACACCTGCACCAGTGACACCAGTAAGGATTAATTTCATGTTTTTGATGTACTAGGAAGAAGAGATTGAATGTTTCGATGAAGCATCGAAACTGGCAGCAGACAGATTTTATATGTGATAGCATAATAGCAACCATGCCGGTCAGTCGTAAGCTATCTTGAAGCCGAAGACGGAATACGGTGGATAGAATGTACCAGTCGGCGCGGCAGAGGACGTGGCTCTCGTGTTATTTAGTAAGGTTACATTGTGCGAGTTTGATAGCCTGAGGGGTGCGAGTGTTCCAGAACTTTACAAGACGTAGCCTCCTGCTTATTGCAGCACCCCACTCCACTCTAGTCCAAACATTAGAGCGATAAGATGCATATGATGCCAGTGGTTTTTGAGTGTTCAGTCCTTCCCATCATAAATTATGTTTACGCATATTTATGGACAATGCATTAGACGCCGTGGGCACTGCCAGATTGTGGCTTCGTCTGTTGCAACGGGGTTAGTTTCGTCGATTCTTTGCTGCACAAGTATTGTCCCAAGTAATGCACGCCCACCAACGCTCACCAACTGGTCGGTTTAACTCGTATCATGGTCCCAAACGACAACTCCTCGGAAATCATGCTGGCCACGTGGCCCCCGCTTGGAGAACTGGGGACATAACGCCAAATGCAAATGATAAGCAAGGGAGCAAGATCCTTTTGAGTAGACTCCCAATGGATGTCGGAGAGACGGAAGTGGAGGTGCGCTCAGGTATGCATGCGCGTCCTATCATATTCTAAGGAACAGTGATGCGGCATAGGACCTTTTCAAAAAGACAGTAGGCCCTCTTAAGGAGGTTTTCTTGATATACAACTCGCAAGCACGCTCCAGAGGAATGGCTGTCGTGACTTTCCAGCGTCCAGGAGATGCTGCAATTGCACGTGCTAAATATGACGGAAAATTTGTTGACGGCAGTAAGTATACCATAAATCTTTATCATTTCCATTTATACATCGATATCGTACGTGCTGCATCTTTTAGGGCGGCCCATTAAAATTGAAATTATTGTGGATTCACAAGAACCAGTGAGACCGTCACTCACTCCGCCCACTGCACCCTCGCTTTTGAATAGGCTGGGAGGCGTTGCTGCCACGAAGGCTGCTGCTGCTGCTGCTGTTCCCCCTCCCCTTCTTCCTCTTCCTACAGGACCCATAGCAAAAGTAGCCCCCAAACTCATGTATGATCTGCTTAGTGTGTAATCTCGTTCTTGTCTGCTGACCTTTGTCACTTGTCAGACAAGCTCGAAAACCCAAAGTTATACCAGTAAATTCGGCAGCACAGGCTGTCGTGCCCCATCGCGTTCGACAGAAAAAAGGTCCCCGACGTGTCAAGAAGTCTCTGGCACAACTGGACAAAGAGATGGAAGATTACCGAGCCGCTGTCGATTACTCCGACACTTCTAGACCAGAATCCACGAATGGTATCTAATGGCGATATATTATTTATAGGGATTTTACTGTTGCCTTGCGGAATCAATGGATCTTCATCATCCTATTCTCACATCTTACATCTAGGCAGAATATTGTGTCATTCATTGTCGCTCAAAAACGTACTATACACGAATAAAGTACACTAACTGGCATTTCACTTAAGAATCATTGAGCGCGTCTAGTAACTTTAAGGTTCCCCTGCACGTGATAATCTGCTTGAAATGAGCCGCTCAAGTTTCCGAGTTCACTTGGAGTTTACCATCAAGATATATTCTGCGAATACCGAGTGCTGTTTCTTGTGAGATCACTGATCGATATCTGATTCATGGCAGCTCCATTATATACTACAGCCTCTGGGCTCCTGTGGCATGCAGGTAAAATCCTCATCTTGACGATAGGTCTCCCAGCCCGCGGGAAGACACATATTTCGCGAGCCCTGGAACGTTATTTGCGATGGATGGGAGTCAAGACTCAGGTAGTATCACTGGGCGACTATCGTCGCAAAACATTAGGAGGGGCTCAGAAGCTTCCTCCTGATTACTTCACTTTAGGTGCGATAAATCACCGATGAGAGTGTTCTAATTTCTCGGTGTATGGCTTATGCAGATTGACAGGAGAAAAGTCTCCAGAAACTATCGCATTGAGGAAGATGGTATCCGATGGCTGTGAAGAGCTGATATGGAATTTCTTCGAGAGCGGAGGTCAGGTTGTGATATATGACGCTAATAATGGCACGCGCAAGGGGCGGGAGACATTGGCTGAAAAGTTTGGAAAAGCTGGCATACATGTGATCATGCTAGGTCTAAAATATTGCGCAGCATTATTTTTGCAGAAGTCATCTGACCATATATTTCGTAGAGTCATTTTGCGATAACAAAGAAATCATCGAAACAAACATCCGTAATGTTAAGATATCATCTCCTGATGTACGTACTATTACTTATCTTTACGGTGAGAATGACGTTGATGAGAACCTAGTATCGTGGCTGGGATCCCAACAAGGCTGTAGAGGATTACTATGGTCGAATTAAAGATCGAGAACGATCCTATGAACCGGTTGAGGAAACAACATGGCCTTTCATTCGTATCATTAACGTACGTTCTATATATTCCTTCTGTATACATGGGCTCAATTTATGGTCTTGTATTTATATTAGGTTGGGGAGAAGATAATGGTTCATGTCAGTATATTTTAACGTTTGCGAAGGATACCCAATGCTCATCATTACGCTCAGAACATTCGAGGTTACCTTCAGGTAAATTACTCATTTGTATTTGAGAGTCACGGTGCTTATAGCCTTTCTGACAGTCAAGGATCATCTTCTTTCTGATGAATATACATAATAGATTTCGCATGATCTATTTTGCCCGAGTGAGACACAGGCATCGTCCTCCGCCGATGCACGTTATCTGACCCCCCTTCATTTTCAGTCGGGACAATCGCTTATTGAGCATTCTTACAAAGCTGATTCTGATCTCTCCCCCGCTGGGTGGGAGTATTCCGAGAAGCTGAAAGAATTTGTTCTCAAGAGACGTACTAAGTCTCTGGAACAAAGGGGTTACAGCGCCGATGATCGCCGACTAGTGGTACGCCATAAATGGTTTGAAACTCGTACAGCCATTTCTTATTCTTGTTTAGATCTGGACATCGACTCGACGTCGTGCACATCACACCGCATGGCCCTTCCTGGTCGCAGCACAAACGGCGACCCACACACCCCATCTTACTGTAGAAGAATCTATGGCAACTTCTGCTGAGGCCTCTACTTTGAGCGAAGTCGCAAACATCCCCACGCTTAACGTCAAAGTCGTGGAGAAACCCCAGATGTCCGAGATCAACCCTGGTGTTTGGGATGGTCTCACGCCGGACACAGCTCGAAAGTACTATTCTGATGAATGGAAGCGATTTGTTAAAGACCCATATGCATTCCGTGCACCAAGGGCTGAAAGCTATCATGACTTGAGCGGTGAGTATATAGCTTATCGCTCTGATGAAGAAATAGGAATTTAATGATATCCCTCCCGAAGTGCGATTGGAGCCTATACTGATAGAGCTGGAACGCGAAAAGGAAGACCTCCTCATCATAGGCCACTCTTCTGTCATTCGTTGTCTCCTGGCGTATCTCATTGGAATGCCTGCATCCGAGATTCCCGCCATAGAAATTGCACGTGGAGACCTGCTTGAAGTTGTTCCGTCTTCGTACGGTGTAGACAGCCAAGCCTTTCACTTCTGGGATGGTCCTGGCCGACGAGGGGAAGATGGAGGCTCAGGAGAAACTTCCAAAGATGAAACAAATTTCTACGAGAATTATGCTGAGGATACAAAAGGAAAAAGGAGGATTCATAGGGAAGAAGAGCTCGAAGGAGACAAGATTTAATCATATAAGAAGGTATAAATGGCTGATAGGCAGTAGAGAATAATTTTTGTACAGAACGAGCATTTGGCATTTGTATTGTACATGTACTTTTAGATTCTAGAGAGTTGAGTTCATGGGTTCCGGCATGTTACAAAAAAGGCAAGTATACATGAAATGATTCCAGCCGCGGGACTTCGACTTGCCCTTGACTAAAGACATTGTCAAATGTCGCGGCCCAGCACCAGTCGACAGTCGTCGAACGCTCAGCTGCCTAGATTTCGGTCAGCCCATGTCCCTACTCTTTCCAACGCTCGCCCGTCGCCTGTGACTCGGAGGACATCAGTTTCTGGGCTCACAGCTGGCGCACAAAAAGCCCAACGGACGTCCAAAACATCTCAGAAACTTGTTCTTCTGCCTTCTGCGCCGCAGACGAAGCCACTCCGTGCAGATGAAGATGATGTGCATGGATACGAGACAGATACGGGTTTCAGAGATCACAAAAGCGAGGGGGAGCGGATGACGAAAGAGCAGCGTCAACGGGCGGGGTTCAAGCGAATCACAGCGTATTGCATCTCAGAGTCGTTCAAGATGAAACTACTGGCGTCGTTTTTGAAGAGAGAACATAATGTGTCTCCTAGGGTCTTCGATGAAGCTATGTATATTGTAAGCATAATCTGAGGCACTCATCACTGTGGTTTACTCTGTCTCCTCGTTCTTTTCCAGCTGTATCATTTACCACTCTTACCTGGATACGGCCCAAATTCGAACATTCGTTCATCTGCTCCTTTGAGCTCTCCGAGGACTGAGGCGCTACTGACTCATATGTCCGAAGCAGAAGAGAATGGATATCAAGGCTCTTACTTTGCTACGCCCGAAGAACGTTCCCCAGGCTCCCTCAATGATGGATATATGACATCAGGCTCTCCCGTTGAAATGCGCAGACCCCCGAGGTCTCCCCAGGCTGCAACCGAACCAAGTAACACTCGCGAGCCTCAAGATGCACAATTTCAAACAAGTATCAATAATGAAGACCAATTTGCGGAAGCGATATTCTTTGCATACGGTGTAGTCGTTTTCTTCGGTTTGGAAGAAGGCCAGGAAAGAGGTATTTTAGAAGACATAGACAATGCAGGCGTCCTGAGAAGACCTATCGAGGAAGATGATTGGGAGATTGAAGAGTGCCATTTTGCGGTGAGTTATGCCTTACCAAACTAAACGAATGCCCAACTTAGAGCAGTTCGCAGCATGATCCCCTAATTGCATATCCTCGTATATACAATGATTTTTTCAGTGAGCATTTTCTATCTCATTCTTGATTTCAGGTTACATAATCTATTGCAGCTTTCAAGTCTCCTTCCCATCTCCTTAAGCTCTCCGTCGCTCATGCCCTAGCCCAGTCCACATTACTGGCGCACTATGAGACGAATGCACAGCGCGTCTTGTCCGATCCACGGACAGTTTCTATACCACGGCAGCTCGCTTCTAGCGGTGCCATCCAGCTGAAGCGCAAAGACGCCCTGCGGATCACCGGAAGATTATTCAAGTTGCGGCGGGACATCAACTTGGTTTCGAATGTTCTTGATGTTCCAGAGCTTTTCTGGAGTGAGGCCAGTCTAAAAGATCTTTATGACGCAGTTAGGGAGTACATGGAAATTCCTGGAAGAGTCCAAGTGCTCAATGAAAAGCTCGGTGTTGCTTCTGAATTTGTGGGGTCATCTTTCATCGTAAGCCGTGCACCCAAATTAAAACCTTGTTATAGCTGGATGCCATACATGACCACCTTAACAATAATGCGATGGAACGCATTACATGGATAGTTATCTGGTGCGTTTTTCAGCAACCAACTTCACCTGAATCTGAAATATATTGGTGGACAGGCTGATCGTTGTTGCTATATTAGTTGAACTGGTTAGTCCTTACAAGTTGATTATTTGCCTGTATCTCATCATTGAAAACACCAACAGGGAGAAGTAATAGCACGCCTAATCGTTCACGCCACTATGGGTACCAAGACAACTCGTGTTGTATCTCCCGTAGCTGCTTTCAGGACACTGCAGAGATTAGTGGCCCAGAAATAGTATTTGTATTCTATATACTATTCACCGATAATGGACTCAAGTACAGAGATTGCAAACCATACCAGTAATGCATTTCGGTATGAATAGTAGCGACTGCATGTGGAGTGCTGCGAGTAAAACGCGATGTGATCTTAGTCTGCGGTATTAGGCAACGGGCTCTGGACCTTGTATGAAGAGACCCTTTCCACTACTTGCCATGTTGCTTCGATGGATGCGAACCAAAAACTCCATGACGAGCAAAATTGTCAGTCTTGGTATATTTATTGCATGTCACATACATACATTTTGATGCGATGAGAGAATGCTAGTATGGCACCCCCGGCAGCCTTTTGTGAGCACGATCGAAAGTGCGAGATCTCGTGAATAAAGGAGGGAATCGATGAGATGGATCAGTAGCGGATTGGTGGTAGAGGTTCGGCGCGGATGGTTGCGAGATCGACAGCTTGGTCTGCTTCATCGTCTATTTCACCGATTAGTACACTGGTGAGAATATTATTCAGTTGTTCGACAACAATTCTCAGGTGCTTAGAAAACGTACATCATGTCTCCTTTCACCAGATACAACCCCAGTGGTATTTCTTCTACACCCTCGTCCATGCTGTACACTCTCTCTTTCGAATCGGAAAGGACTACGTTGGATTTCTGATCGAAACCCGCCATGATGCCCTGTAGAGGTATGTGTTGAGCCGACTAAGAACGAAATAGAAGAGATGAGAAGCATACCACTATGGAACGACCGTCTTGAAGGATCAATAACACACGGCCTTCATATGCAAAATCATCAAGATCGTTAGATAAAGGTAAAGCGAAGAGGAGGATTTACGGTCGACATAGCCCTGCAGGCTGGACATCGTGCACCCAACAGTTGATCCTTGGCTCAGTATTCAGGCAAGATAAACCAGTGCTGACACCACACAGCGATTATTGCCTTGAAATAGCGGAGGACGACTGGGGAAGCCCTGACCAGAGCAGGCGTTGACCAGAGTCCGCGGGGGACAGATGTTACATAATCAGCGTGGGTGACTGAGGTCCCACCACGTGGACACCTCGGCCAGTTTACGCCTCTACGGCGTTCTTATCGACCTCAAGGCTAAGCAGGCACCCGACGAAGATATCTCGAATCCTTACGTTCTTTGTTCCTTTCTCTTCCATTCTTTTCATCTCCCTCTTCGCTAACACCACGCACGTCACTGTAAGTTTGTCCTCTCTTCGCCTGCAATTTTCTGATTGCCAGCAATACAGCCTTTGCCCGTGCTGTCACTGAAGTACCACCATGGCTCAAGAACAAAAAGACATAGAGCTCTCTGAATCTGTCTCTGCCGAGAAAGCCCAGCTCTTGGAGGCACAGACAGGCGACGCTAACCCTCCTCTTCCTTCACCGGCTACTGCGTCCACTACCAAACCAAAGACCAAGGTCACTACCGCAGCTATAATCCCCATATGGATCATACTAAGCTCAACCGTCATAATCTACAACAACTATCTGTATAACACTCTGCATTTTCGCTATCCTGTCTTTCTTGTAACCTGGCATCTTACTTTTGCTGTGCGTTGTTATCTCAGTCATCTGGTAACACGCTTCTGATATCGCACCTCACAGGCCATTGGGACCCGTGTACTCCAACGAACAACAAACTTGCTTGATGGGGCCAAAGATGTGCATCTGTCAAAAGATACTTTCATGCGTTCAATCCTACCCATAGGCCTCCTCTTCAGTGGTAGCCTTATCCTCAGCAATACCGCGTATCTTCATTTAAGTGTGTCTTATATCCAGATGCTCAAAGTATGTCCAAGCAAATTTTCATTCGATGCCGTATCGTTCTTATCATTCTTTTCCCACAAACCAGGCTTTCAACCCTGTAGCGATATTGCTCATTTCATGGGCGTTCCGCATACAGGAACCCAGCAGGAAGCTGGTTCTTATTGTCTTCATGATTTCTAGTGGTGTTGCCCTAGCCTCACACGGGGAGCTACGCTTCGACTTGTTTGGTTTTCTGGTACAAGCTGCTTCTGTAGCAGTAAGTAATTTCCATTCAATGCATTTTCTGCTATCAGTTTACGCTTTCGTCGCCAGTTCGAAGCTTCTCGGCTGGTTATGATACAGATCCTTCTTCATGGCCTCAAAATGGATCCACTCGTGTCACTTCACTACTATGCACCAGTCTGTGCTATCATTAACGTTGCTGTCCTTCCATTCACGGAAGGATTGGAGCCTTTCTACGAAGTTGCACGTGTTGGTCCTCTCATACTGCTTTCAAATGCCCTCGTTGCTTTCACATTGAATGTGGCAGCCGTGTTCTTGGTGGGAGTTGGAAGTGGTTTAGTGCTGACTCTCGCTGGAGTGTTCAAGGTAATATCAATAACCATATTAAAAAAATTATATAGGCCTTTGGCTGATTATGTGATACAGGATATCCTACTCATCACAGGCTCTGTTCTCATTTTCAAATCTGAAATATCACCCCTCCAGATTCTAGGTAGAGCACCATCTTTACATATTACACATTATTTTCTGATTGCGTGTTCCAGGATACTCTATCGCACTTGGCGGCCTCATCCTCTACAAGTTATCCGCAGGAAAGTGATCACACTTGAAATTCCCTTCCCCGTGCATATATCAATTACACCCATACATTTCTCATACGTATCATGCGTATTATCGGACGTTCGAAAACTAGATAGACGGTCAGGTTCTGCGATCCATCGACCATATTATGGGCCCCTGTCCCATGTAATTCTACTCCTGGCAGCGTATCTATACTTAATGTCTGTTCAGTGTACCTATGCTTTCGTCCATTACTAGAGTAATGATACCTTGTTCCCTCACTTCTTGGCAATATTTATATTCTGAGAGTTAAACTCTGGTGATTTTGCCAAGTTCTGACGGTATTTCATCATCATTTCCTCATCGAATCATTGCGGCCATCATTCATGTACCAATGGAGCGACGGAAAGCTCCGACGAGCAAGGTTACGGTGAGTCTTGTATTTACCCCTTCTCTATTTGCTATGCATTTGGCAGGAAGCCTTGTGGTGATTGCGTAGATAACCTATGACAGCTTGTACTCACCACTACCTTTCACTGGCACGCCAATACCCCTGGTACCATGGTGGCACGACCATGATAGGCCTTGGACGTCGGGGAGACCTACTGGATATTCCATTTGTGCCGGGTATCCATAATACGTAGCCCACAGCAATGCCATACCTTATAAGACACTTCTCCCAGTCCCTCTGATTGTCCCTCTGATTGCCACAGTGGCCTTCTAACCCGTAATAAATTTGGTCGGACTGTTATCATTTTTTGATACTTATGTGAAGTATGGCATGTACAACTGGGCGCTGACCGTGGGTACGTTGCGACCCTGTTCCTTGATCCTCTGTTCCAACTTCCCTACTGATATCCAACACGGCACTGGTTTCGGAGGCGGATGACCCCCCCCGCCAATGTATACAGCACGTCTTGAGAATGAGAGAAATACCGACGAACAAGAAAATCCTGCGGATGTCATGGACAGACAAGATTCCAGTTGCTCATGGACCATCCCCCTTCTGTGTGTTATGTTATGCTCAGGGGAGACAACTTGGCAAAGATGAAAATTGATCGAAGCCGCACAGGTGTTACGGAGTTCCATGGGAATAGATGGTGTTATAGCAATGTCTATGATAAGATATTGAACATATGTGATATTAGTGCCATAATGCGTCGAAAAAAGTGTAAAAACCGCAGAAGGGTATAATCGACACTGACAATCAGGCGGTTGGAGCTATGATTCACCGTCTAGATGGCAGTGATTTGTCTAAAGATTCAGCTCGAGCATGATGTACTGTTTTATTCAAAGGGCCCCTTTTTTTGAGACCGTGGAGGAAAAGCTCCACAATAGCAAGGCCCGGCCTTGCCCGAAAAAAGGCGCTCGAAACACGTTGAACCCGTAGTGACCGAAGGTAATGACGAGGGTCATTTTCAAGACTACTTCGAAATTTCATGACCGATAGCTTCTATGATAGCTGCGGGATTTATCGAGATGTCACGAGTGTGCATATCATCTGGAACTGTAACAGGGGGAAGCGAATTACTGCTGAATTTTCTGGTACCAAAACAATCAACCGCTCGTACAAACAGGGTACCGAGTAAGCAACATACCGTTCATTCTGCCAAGCAACGTAACGTATTCCCAGAGAATGAACCGCGAGTTCTTCATCTCTAAAGAACACACCAGATGGGAAAATCTCCATGACCACCGAGTACGAGGAGGGCAACATGAAGATACTTTCCGCGAGACTATCGCCATAAACACCCACAATAACCTACAGCCACAGTTCAAAGCAAATAAGACCTGGATGACAAACGGCTACTTACAGTTGATCGAACGATAGCAGCCATCCGCTCGCTCCAGGGGGCTTCAGAAGAAATTATGTTGATTTCGTAACCTTTATTGTGACCCATTTGTCGCAATGCTTGGTCTAAAGATTGATGGTCTGCGTCTTTCAGCTTGGGGCCACTCTTGTTATTTTGGCGCGAGATATACGTGACTACAGTCTTGCCTTGTCCACTCGGTGCCTCATTGGCTCCAAAGAATCCCGCCAATTCCTGCCTTACCGGCTCCCACCAGAACTGAGAGCTTTCCAGCTGGGTAAGCGGGAGTGCGAACGCAGGTACATCTTTGTTCGCGAGCTCCGCAGCACCCTTGTCCGCCACGATAACGCGCTCCATCATAAAAGGAGCCTCCATCAACGCAAAGTCTTGCCAATCTTCCAGGTACATCATTCCAAGTGTTGGAAATGCAGTCTTCAACAAGAAAGGATGGACACCAACAGAAGAACGTGCTCGTACTATAATGGGGCCGTTGAGATCTGGCCGTTCACCCTGATATGTTGGGATGTTGGGGAACATTAGACGTCGCGGAGAAGGGAGACTCGTTTTCCCTGAAGAGCCGATAGACAAGTCGAGAGAGCTGTACGTGCGCCAGAGTGAAAGTAGTGTGTAGTTACCTAAAACCGAACATGATGTAGCCGAGAAAACGTATAGAGAATAAAGACATACTAGGTGCGGAATCTGTTGAGAGCCAGCTGACGCCCCGTATGCTAATCAAAAGGTAATTATGGGCATCGTTGACACTCAGCAACAAGGTGAATAGATGAGCCGATGCAACACTTACACACCACCAAATACACCAAGTTTCGCCCGCGCCTGTTCAATAGTCAATACTTGCCAGTCTAGGAGTTTTGTAGGTTCAGTAGGTGAAACGATAGATTCGAGGGCAGGGAAAGAGGACGAGTGATCAGTAACGAAGAAAACCGTCCCATTGACCACAATAACGTTGTTGAGGATTGTAAAACCTAAGAAATAAAGAAGCGTGTAGGTCGCATTTCCAGGATCATCTGAGCGTTGTGCTACGCACCTGGGATATGTTTTACTACCTCAGTCCTCGGAACATCGTCTCCCCAATATTGATATCCATCGCTCAAGCCGACATTTCCAAATATTTTTTGTTTTTGCGCGAGCAGCTCAGTCTGATTTATAGCCTTGTGCTTGCCAGGTCCTCCTTTAGCCCGTTGCTTCTCCTCGCTTCCAGAAAGTTTATCATCCTCCCAAGACCAGTCGCCAAATATCTCCGCTTCCAAGTCTTTACTCGATGGGTCAGTGTCCCCGCCAACTTCCCCTGGCTGTTTGTCTTTGCCGAATCGAAAACCGCCAAAAAACGAACTTTGACTTGAGGTTGATTGGTGAGTGTCAGAAAGCTCGGACGTTGACTGGAAGTTATAGAAGAATATAAATGTCGTTATTGAGAAAAGAATGATTGTTAATTCCCGTCTGCTAGGAAAGAAATACCAAGGCATCTTGAGTTGATAGTAGAACGCTGTCAGCCAGTTTCGAAGTCTAAGCCTGAGCGCAAGCTTTGGCGATCTATTCAGTCATTAAGCGCGTAGGCCTCAGAGAGGCAAGTACTTCTGATTCTAACAAGAACAAATATCCATCAGCATACGTCACGAAGCGTCACAACCCTCTTGTAATGTACATGGTGCCATGGGCTACCAGAGCAGTGGGCTGGATTCATGGCCTGATTGCTTTGACGATATTCGATGAGGGAGACATTTACAGTGAACGACGTCAAATTTAAAGATACAAAATACAGCGAGCCTAACAGGATAGACGAATAATGAAGATAAATAACAGTCAGATCTAAACTTCTTGGCTTGCGCCCTCTTTCTTGCCCCGACTAAACAGATATAGATGTTAGCGTGTTAATCCTGAACCATACATTAACTAACTAACCTGGTTTTGCTGGGCAAAAGCTCTGGATTAATGAAAGGCACAACACCACCCTGAGAAATAACAACATCTCCTAGTAGTTTGTTCAATCTGAAATATAATGAGCACATAGTATAATCAAAGACAGCGTGTCTCACTCTTCGTCATTTCGGATGGCCAACTGGAGATGCCGAGGGACGATACGTTGTTTCTGAGCGATGCCTTAGTGACCAAAACAATATAGGTAATCAGGGGCTGGCTCACCTTGTTGTCGCGAGCTGCGTTACCAGCCAACTCAAGAATTTCGGCAGCCAGGTACTCCAATACAGCAGCGAGATACACTGAGATTGGGATGGAAAAAATCAAATGTCTTGAATTGGATTTAACAAGCTCGTGCAACGTACCAGGAGCTCCTGCACCAACACGTTGGGCATAGTTACCCTTCTTAAGGAGACGATGCACACGACCGACAGGGAACTGCAAGCCAGCCTTTGCAGAACGCGACTGCGACTTCCCCTCGCCACCTGCTTTGCCACCTGACGATTTTCCTGCTTTGCCTGCACGAAAAACAAAGAGTAAAATTCCTGTTTCACAGACTCTATCGAAAACAAACCTTTTCCGCTCTATTTGTTTCGAAGATGATTCAGTCAATGACTTCAAAGCATGTGTAAGATGCTTACCATGTTACAGTGATATGTAGGTTATGTGTAAACAGTAGAATACAAAGCTGTTGGTGGTTTGGGTTCAAGAGAGACGAATCAACAAAGCTGGCGCGCATCGCGTGCTTATATACTATCACGTGATCCTTTTCCGGCCACTTCCCGATTTGGCTGTTTCGCCTGAACCGCCCAAATGTCCTTGCGTTATTCTCTACGGTCCTTGCTGCCAACGCGCAGATTCGCATTGCCAACGAATATACATAACCGAAAAAACTCGTCCGTCCCCAAGAATGGATCTGAGCCAGCTGGAGAAGAAGTCGAGAAAGGCATTCCGGTAGAACCCACAGTTCCACTCCTTCAGCGACCTTTGGGAGTGAAGGATCGTCCTCTACCACTGGAAAAGACGTGGGCGGATACACGAGAAGAAATGATGGATCAGGAGAAACGTCTTGAACAAAGAAGACATTTGTTAGTGCCACCTTTTCTACCTTCTAAAATTTTGTAAGCTTAAGGAGCCCTTCAGAATTAAAGAGGCTACGAAAGGCTACTTTACTGACCTGAACGCTACGCGACACCATGGCGGGAAAACGTGGATGGCGCCAAGTGTTATGATTCGGGAGGACGTTAGTCGTCTCCTTATAACCCCTCATTACTTTTCTAAAGTGCGGGACAGAAATCACTTTATTTCCCTAATATCGTTGGGTCAAGTTTAGACACAAAACAGAAGAAGCACACTACTAGTATCTGCGAGGGCCACGTCTCTGTAATTTCCATGCTGAACACGAAAATGTCGGAGGTATGTAAATCTACTCTGTTTCCTGGAAACTCTAACTACATGACATTTGACACCAGATTCATGTCAATGGATTTGTTTCTCTCGCGAACGAGCATTTCTTATCGCACCCGCTATATAAGTATACTCAAATCAACCTACAAGAAAACCTTCTTAAATCATTTCTCGTCTCACTTTTTCTATCGTCCATCGCGAAGTCTATTCCCCCGGAACTACATGCCACGTATCTTGTCTCAGGCCAAAACATGGAGTATGTACGCGAACAGCTTGGGATGGTCAATAAGCATGTGGGCTATGTATATCTAGTGGATGAAAACCTCAAAATACGGTGGGCTGGTTGTGCAGATGCGAAGACCGAGGAAACAGATGCGCTGTATCGCTGTGTGGGAGTGCTTCTCAATAGGTTGGAGAAGAGTAAGAAGGCGGGCGGAACAACGAGTACCTTACAGAAGCCAGTCTAACATTCGGACTCTAATCATTCCACGTCTTAGAACGTGTTGCCCCAATGAGCTCTACTTATCGTGTGCTTACACGTACTTGTTCTGTTCAAAACATCTCACATACACTCTGTGAATTTGACTGTGGTCTAGCTGCTAACGCGCATTGCCGTGCGTCGGCTGTGGGTGAGATTTTTGCTTGAGAGGTGTTTGTACGTGTTAGCTACGTGTCGTGCCAGTGCCATCACCTTCTTGAGATACAAAATCCTTCATCCTCTACATCGTCGGTCATGTCCTCGCATACGCAACATTTACCCGCAGGTTGGGCTGCAGAATGGTGAGCATATTACTGCCAGCACACCAGGTTTTCGAATTGTTCTTAACTGTTTTTGCAGGGATGCATCCAACCAGAGATATCTCTATATTGGTTAGCATATTCAACAAATCTCACCACAACAAGGCTTGACTTTTTGCAGAAACCCTTACTGGGCGCACACAGTGGGATCCTCCCATTCAAGCATCGACCGCAGTAATGGACCTTCATGCAGCTTCAGTTCCCTCTACACATGGAAAACGTCGCCAATATGCTGCTGGTCAAACGCAAGCTTACTATAGTGCCTCAGATGGCCCTACAGATCCTGCATACGGCGTGTCAACACCACAGCAACACCCTACTGTCCCAACCGGTCAGCTATTTACACCGGGTCTAGCCGCTGATCAACAGTTCGCTATGCAACAACAGCCTCAGGCTCAGTATTATGCTCCCCAACAAGAGCCGCAATACATTAACGCCCCTGGTTTTGGTCAGGAGCCAGTTTATAACCCACCTTCCGCTCCAGTCAATGCACTCGCAGATCAGTTTGGGCAGATGGGAGTTGGAGGTCAAAAACCTTATCAGCTGCTCACCACCAATCTTCTCACTTCCCCGCCTGATCCCCGCGAGTTGTCACGACCACCCCCAGAGATGCGCCTGCCACCTAATTCCTGTATCACGAACTCGCCGTTTGCCAATGCTGACCCGTCGTATCAACGTTCAACCCTTAATGCGATACCTACTACTTCTTCTCTCCTCAGCAAATCCAAGCTTCCGTTGGGCCTCGTTATAACACCTTACCGAAGTTTGAACGAGGGCGAGCAACCTGTCCCTGTCGTTACCGATACTGTCATTGCGCGATGCAGACGCTGTAGGACGTACATCAACCCCTACGTTCAGTTTATAGACGGTGGCAACCGGTAAGTCCTACAATCGCTAAACTTGAGGGTACTATGACTCAAATGTGATTCTTATACACCAACTCGTAGCTGGCGATGTTGTATGTGTAATATGTCAAATGAAGTCCCGCAGCTCTTCGACTGGGATCAAGCTCGTAATCAGCCAGGGGATAGATGGTCACGCGAAGAGCTGAATCACTCCGTTGTCGAGTTTGTGGCGCCCACTGAATACATGGTTCGACCGCCTCAGCCCCCTGTGTATGTCATTCTCATTGACGTTAGCCATATTGCGGTGCAATCCGGTGCGTATACATCGACTCACTGAATAAAGTTGAGGCTAATATTGACACTGTAGGTATGGTGGCTACTGCTACACGTACTATCCTGGAGAACCTGGATCGCATACCGAACGAAGATGAAAGGACTAAAATTGCAATTATTGCTTATGATGTTGCACTCTACTTCTTCTCTATGCCGGTTTGTTTGATTTTCTGATTTCAAAGAAACCGCCTCTGACACGAGAAATGCTCAGCCTGGCAACACCGAGTCCACGATGTTGGTTGTTTCAGACACAGACGATGTTTTCTTACCTAAACCAACGGACCTTCTTGTGAACCTGGTGGAAGCACGCGCATCCTTGGAAGCTCTTCTGGGAAGAATTAATGATATGTTCCAAGACAACCATACTGTAGGCAGCGCGCTAGGACCAGCTCTTCAAGCGGGTTTCAAGCTGATGGTAAAATTGTTTTACGGAGCTTTTCTTTCATATTCAAGTATTTAAACGGATGTATTGTTAGGCCCCCATTGGAGGTAAAATCATGGTCCTTTCGGCCTCGCTTCCCAACATCGGGGCTGGAGCGCTCAAGAATCGGGAGGACCCAAAAATATTGGGAACTTCAAAGGTTTGACTTCGCACGTGTTTTTAATTGCTCTATTGACACAGGTGATGTTTCAGGAGTCTGGTTTACTCCAAGCTGCTTCGCCTTTCTACAAGACTTTTGCTATCGAATGTTCGAGAGCCCAAGTATCAGTGGACATGTTCCTATTCAGTGCTGCATACCAAGACGTTGCAAGTCTCGGTTCGTGATATTTATTCTGTTTCACTTGGCTTGAAGTGACGAATGAAACGCATAGCTTGTCTGCCGCATTATACTTCAGGCCAGACTTACTTCTATCCTGCATTCAACGCTGCCCGTTCCGAGGACGCTATCAAGTTCGCTCACGAGTTCGGCGAAGTTCTCGCCATGCCAATTATGTTGGAGGGAGTGATTCGTGTGCGCGCGTCTAAAGGTGATCACCTTGTTCTGCTGATGGAAATATTGTATTGAATGGACATCTTTAGGGCTGCGGATGGCGTCGTTCCACGGAAACTTTTTTGTCAGGTCTACGGATCTCCTGGCAATGCCCGCCGTACCCCAAGATCAATCATACGCCATTGAAGTTCAAATCGAAGATACGATCACGGCCCCCTTCGTTGTCTTCCAGACAGCCGTTCTCCACACCACATGTTATGGTCAGTCAATTTTTATATATTCGCAGAATGTAGGCTGATGTTTTTATAGGTGAACGTCGCATCCGTGTTATCACACACGCCCTTCCTACAACAAGTAGTTTATCAGAACTTTTTGCCTCTGCAGACCAAGTTGCGATGGCCACACTTCTTGCTAACAAAGCTGTGGAACGCTCGCTCACCCACAAGCTGGAAGATAGCAGGGATGCCGTGTTCCAGAAGATGGTTGATATACTTGGATCCTACAAGAGTAGCATGACTGCTGCAGGCGCAGGCGCTAGTGCCCAGTTGGCAATTTCAGACAACCTAAAGATGCTTCCAGTGTTGGTTCTTGGTCTGTTGAAAAATGTAAGCCTAGCAAGATACGCTCATTGCATAGACTCACCATATGTCTTGAACTCTAGGTCGGCATTCGACAAAGCGCACAGATCCCTCCTGACCTTAGGGCTTATGCTCAAGCGCTGTTGTCATCGTTGCCATCTCAATCCCTGATTCCTTATATCCACCCTACGTTTTACTCGTTGCACAATATGGCCCCTGAGGTAAGAACATTAGCTTCGTGCATAAAAATTATGTAGATATTTATTCATCTAGGCTGGTACCGTGAGTGAAAATGGTGTCGTATTACCTATTCCTTTACCTCTCACATCGGAGCGACTGGAGCGACACGGCTTGTTCCTTATTGAGGATGGTCAAACCATATTTCTTTGGATCGGTCGTGATGCGGTACCTCAGCTGGTACAGGACGTCTTCAACTTACCGAGTTACGATGCCCTGCGCGGGGGGAAGGTCGGCTCATTTTTTGATTTCATCTGATAATTTTGAGCTGATATAGGTGGATTAGACCACACTTCCGGTCCTGGATAACCCGTTCTCGCAACGTGTCAACACGATCGTCCAGAAGATCCGGGAGATGCGTCGGGGCGTTTACTACCCGCATTTATACGTAGTTAAAGAAGACGGGGAACCACCTCTTCGGTTATGGGCATTAAGCTGCTTGATACAAGATCGTGCCGATGTTTTACCGAGCTACCAACAGTTTATCACACAATTGAAAGATAAGGTATGTTTTGACGTACATTTACAAGCGGGAGTCGTCTCGATTAACTGGCTGGTTTTGGCAGGTCAATGGGGCCAATAATTACTAGTCATCAGGATGTCCAGTAGAAGGTATACAGTGCGATGCGTTTTTGTTACCGAGTCCGAATATTACACATTTCCCTTGGTCGTTTGTTTTGTGGGCCTATAAGAAACGTGCGACTTTTACCAGTTATGTAAAGGTAGTCCCATGACGAACATTCGATAACCTATTCGCCATGAATCTTAGGTGGAACTCCCCTCAATATGTAAACATTGTGCGCGAGGCAATCGAAGCGACATTCTAGATGAGTCTGTGCTTTGCATGATGACTCAGTCAGCTTTTCTTATCTATAAAAGTGCGGACATGGGATAATATTGGAAAAAACTCGTATCAATTTTAGCTCAACGGCATCATGTCTCTCTCACCTCCAACACTGAATGCCAACATTGGTTCTGATATTGCTGAAAACCCCATTACGTCGGGATCTGCACCCATTCTATCTACGTCGCCGAGGCCTCGTCCCAAGCTCGATCACTATGATTCAAAGAACAGCGATAGAGAAACTATAGAACTTGCCCCCGTCATGCTGATGGGGGATGTCTCGACTACACTAACTGAGTCTACTACATCAGTCGTTCCTACGAAATCTCAACGTCTACGTAGCCGAATACAATTTGCGAGCCTTTGTTGGACCCTGTATGTTACTGGTTGGAATGACGGTTCGAGTGGTCCGTTGCTCCCACGGATACAAAAGGTCTATAATGTAAGTGTGATATTGACTAGTTCGCGTAGTCTTGAGTTAATCATCTATTCTTGTTAAGGTCGGGTTTACTACGGTGTCTCTCATCTTTGTCTTCGCGTGTATTGTATGTGGTCACAGATATCACGGGCTAATCTGCAGCTGATGGTCGTGTTCCTCGCTGCAGGGATTTTTAATTGGAGCAACTACCAACGTCATATTAACTGATAAACTAGGCTTTGGGAAGGTAAAAGAATCGACATCCTCAATGACAGAGTCTGACATATCCCATTATTTATCGTAGGTTATCGTGATAGGTTCTTTATTTCTTCTTCAATTGTGTCTTAGATAACATTCTAATGACCTAATGACCAAACCCTACTAGGTGCTGCATTGCAAGTCATTGCCTATAGTTTAGAGGCTTCAGCTCCTCCTTTCCCTGTCTTCATTCTAGGCTATGGTATCAATGGAATGGGAATGGCATATGAGGAAAGTTTTCTTCCCTTCTGTAATATCATATCTGCCTAATAGCTATATACAGAATGCTCAATCAGTTGGTTATGTAGCTAGCTTCAAGAAGAATGCAGAAGCAAAAATGGGATTGTTGATGGCTGCATATGGTACGTTGCAGTTCACAAGTCGACTCATATAATCCTGACATTCGACCAGGAGCGGGAGCATTTTCGTCACCTTTGGTCGCAACGCATTTTTCGCAGCTTCCGCACTGGTCGTTCCACTACCTGTGCTCTTTGGGAATTGCTCTGTCTAATACTATCATATTAACGCTCGTTTTTGGTCTGAAGAACCAAGATGGTAGGACCTGCCCCATACTGAGTTTTATGTTCTGCGATAGCTAAATCATTATTCAGAATGCCTTGCACAGATAGGTCTAGCGGCGATGGAGACAGGCACGAGTCAAGATAGTAAATTCCGGCAGATTTTTGCCTTGAGAGACGTCCACCTCCTTGCTTCTTTCATCCTAGTGTATGTTGGTGCCGAAGTGACTGTAGGAGGTACGTCATTATAGCAATGGACCATGTTCACAAATTGAACTTGTCTGTGGCAGGGTGGATTGTCACATACGTAATTGACGTGAGAGGTGGAGGTCCCTCATCTGGATACATATCTTCCGGATTCTTTGGTGGTGGGTAACATAGCGCCATTACAAAACCTTTACTAAACCTTCTCAAATAGGGCTCATGATTGGCAGAGTAGCTCTATTATGGGTGAATCGCAAAGTTGGTCAAGATTTTCTATCGCAAACACCGCTTTACTTACGTTTGATTAAGATTGGAGAACGTCACGCACTATTCATCTATGCTATCTTAGCTATAGCGTATGTTTCAATGTAACGCCATACCACTGCTCTCACTCACACTTTGTTTTAGTATGGAGTTAGTGGTATGGTTAGTCCCTTCCCTTGTTGGCGGAGCGGTGGCCGTAGCCATTATCGGCGTGTTGTTGGGACCCATGTATCCCATTGCCATGAACCATTGCGGAAGAGTCCTCCCTCGATGGCTACTCACAGGTGTGTGTACGAGAATTGGTTCATGCAACAGTTGCTAATACTTGAGATTATGCTCAGCTTCAATAGGGTGGATATGCGGTGTCGGGCAAGCTGGGTCTGCGTTGGTCCCTTTCATGGCTGGCTCTGTTGCTTCACGGGCGGGGATCAAGAGTTTACAACCTGTGTATGATGTCTTATCGCCTGGCGTATTTAACTTACCAACTGACGTGTTTTGATAGGTTGGTTGGTATAATGGGTCTCATGACCGCTCTGTGGGCATTCGTTCCCAAGGGCCCGCGCCGTGCTGATTGATGGTGCCTACTAGGCTACTCTGTCCCGGTCAAGCTGTCTGTTTACCTCCCACAAGGGATGTAAAGGGGTTCGCGATTAACCCAGTCCATGGTCAGAACTGATTTCCATGAAGATTGAACGCTAGGTCGTTTATGAAATGTTCTTATGATTTTTACTCTTGAAATATCTCGCATACATAGATTTGTTGTTCATAGACATAGATAGTGTAGGTACAGGGAGTAGCGTAGTAGTAGATGCTGTAAAGTCCTTACTCCGGAACAATCGGGCCGCATGGAAATGAAGTATGAGGTCAAGACTGACTCTGAGAAGTACTTATTATCTTTTATGTATTTTATCACTGTGGGATTCCGTAAACTGGTTTTGCTTTCGACGTCCATTGTCCTTTGCACTTGACCTGTATGTCTGCCCCATTGTCGGGCCAACCCCCGCTCAATAGTGGAAAGAGTAATGGTCATATACTTGCATCCCCAACGCTGCGGTCTAAACTAGACTTGCCCAGCGGTACCGCGACGGATATCACAGATAAGAAGCAGTCATCACCAGTCCACCTAAAACATGAAAACTCCCCAGAGATGCAGCCAGCTAATGACATCGCTTCGCCTTCCTCCAAGTCGATAACCGTAGGCTTGCCTACCAAGCCTCAGCGGATTCGTGCTCGAATCCAGTTTGCAGCGTTATGTTGGTGCTTATACGTTGCTGGATGGAATGACGGAACCACAGGTCCTTTACTGCCTCGTATACAAAAAGTGTATGGTGTATGTGGGAAGTACTTATAGTCAATATACTGATGGTCTCAGAAGATATATTAGGTTGGATTTACAGTAGTCTCCCTTATTTTCGTGTTTGCATGTGTCGTATGATATTCATATCTTCTATCCTCTCTCTGAATAGTTCATAACATGCACCCTAGGGTTTCATATCGGGAGCATTGTCAAACCTCGTTTTAACAGAAAAGCTTGGTTTTGGCAAGGTCATTGTATTGGGTTAGTAACTCACACCATCACTTTCTCTCCTATGACTGACATGTTGTCCTCTTTCAGGTGCCTTTTTACAGCTAGTTGCATATGCCATCGAAGCATCAGCTCTTCCGTTTCCTGCATTTGTTCTTGGCTATGCAATCAATGGGTTCGGTATGGCCTTACAAGTAAGGTTTCCCCCTAAATTTCATACAATGGTGCACTACATCTTGAATTTGTGTCAGGATGCACAAGCCAACGGGTTCGTGGCTAGTCTCACAGATAATGCCTCAGCTAAAATGAGCCTTATGCACGCTGCTTATGGTTAGTGTGTTCAATAAAACGGTATCACATATGAAGATTGACCATTTCTCTTAGGGGCTGGAGCGCTTTCAGCACCATTAGTGGCAACGCAATTCGCTCAGCTTCCGCACTGGTCATTTCATTACCTATGTTCACTTGGCGTTGCCTTGTTGAACACGATCATACTAGTGGCTGTCTTCAAATTAAAACCGCAAGATGGTATCAATAATTCTCGACGTTCCAAACTAAATTTACTTATTCCATTGCCTTACAGAATGTTTAGCTCAGATCGGACAAGCAGCAGGAGAGAAAGGCACGAGTGAAGATAGCCAATTCCGACAGATATTCCGGCTGAGGGAACTTCATCTTCTCGCATTTTTCATTCTGGTCTATGTAGGCGTCGAAGTTACGATGGGAGGCACGTATACTGATTGAATGTTGATCCCCTTCTGACATGCTCACTAATCAAGGTTGGATCGTTACATATATCATTGATGTGCGACATGGGGGTGCATCTTCAGGATACATCTCCTCTGGATTTTTTGGAGGTAGCGTTAACAGCCAGTTGAAAAGCCGCATTTAACAATAGCTTATACATCAGGTCTCATGATCGGTCGTGTGGCTTTACTTTGGGTAAATCGGGTTGTCAGTATACGAGAATCTTCGATACAAAAGAGACGTTCTGAAAGCTTTCCTTCTAGGTTGGTGAACGCCGTGTAATGTACATTTACGCTGTAGTAGCCATAGGGTAAGCATGTCGACACTTGTACTCGATTTACTACTAAAATATCTAATACAGCTTGGAATTCGTGGTCTGGTTCGTTCCCTCCCTGGTCGGCGGAGCGGTTTCTGTGGCAATCATAGGCGTCTTCCTGGGTCCAATGTACCCCATTGCGATGAATCAAGCTGGGCGCATTTTGCCTCGTTGGCTCCTGACAGGTATGTCTGTGGTTACATATTTCTGAATAAAGGCATCGGATTTTATAATCTGCAAATATATAGGCTGCATAGGATGGATAGCTGGTTTTGGTCAAGCAGGGTCTGCTATTTTACCATTCATGACCGGAAGTATTGCATCTCGAGCAGGGATAACAAGTTTGCAACCACTGTACGCATCTTTGCACTCGAGTGTTCACCACAGCTTAACCCTTGCTGATAGCTTGGTCGCAATGATGGGATTGATGACTATATTATGGGCATTAGTGCCCAGGAACCCGCGTAAGGTGGACTGAAAAACAAGACCCATTCCGCTAGTCACAAATATAGTATGGACTGAGATTCTTCACGATCCAATTGTAATGTTGGATAACAGAACTCCCCAATATATATGTATATATATATATATCATTAGATGACACAGCGAATAGACAAACATCTTTCGTGAGCACATAAGGACTGTCACCGTTTTCGCCTAGAGCTATTACTCTTGGAAGTACTTGAAATGCCTGCTGTCGTAGATGCTCTCATGCTTTTCCTGGGCTTGGTGGGCTTTGGAGGAGACAGAGGCTCCGGAGATGATGAGGCAACAGAGGATGCAACAGATAATCTACTAGACCGTCGGGGCCGCGAGGTGGTCTCTCCCTCGATATCTTTTTTGGACGTCCGACCCTTGCGAGCGGGTCGTCTGCTTACAGGTGAAGGTGGTAACGGTGCGACTTCATCCGCCTCTTCTTCCTCCGTCATCAGAGAGCCAGGTATACTGCTTTTTAAATCAACTTCCTCCTTCGGAACCCGATTTCTCCTTTCACGTGTGCGTTGTGTTGATGGTGCTGGATGTACAACTGGGTTACGAGGGACACCGTTCCTTTGAGAAGAAGCCTCTGGTTCGCTATCTTCCTCCTCCATGAACGCACCAGGAACCGTATTACTCTTGACCTCTCTTGGTCGCGTGGGCTGACGTTCATCTGACCGGCTCGCGTTACCGAAGACAGAGAAGGACAGCTCTGCAGGTGCAGCTTCCTCTATCTCATCCTCCTCCTCCTGAGGTACAGATTTTCCTGATAAGACAGCATTTTCCTCTTCTGATTCCATGTCTATATCGAAAGGGTGCGTTTCTGCAGGTTTAGAGCTGGGTTTTGGCATAGAGCTTGAAACTTGGCGATCACGATCGAAAGTCCGTTTGACACCAGCATTAACTGGGGGTTTATAGAAGGCATTAGGAGTTTGGTTGGCACTGCCAGATTTTTCAAAGAGAGAGCTGGTAGGATGAACACCATTAACAGCATTTTTGCCGGATATGGACTTTTGAAATGCTCCATGAGTTATTTGTAAGCCAGATGGACCGACGAGCGGAGCGGTCGATTGTGCATTAACAGACGATGAAAGACTTGAGGAGAATGGGTGTGTAAGAGATACATTAGCAAGTGGCGGCGTCTGCGGTTTGGCGGAAGCCGGTGCCGAAAACAAACTTTGGTGGGGGAGCGCAGAAGCAGACCCGTTTTGCGACGATCGCAGAGACGTATTAGAAAGGCTGAAACGTGGTTGTGTTGAGGGTTGTGGTGCTAATGCGCTTGGTGGTTTCGAAGCAGTACTTCTGACATGTGTAGCGGAACCATTAACGGGAGGTGTTGGTAAAAGCACTTCCTCCCACGACATGCTGAGGTCACCGAGGGGTGTTTTGGTGCTTCCAGGGAGCGGTTTACTCCTTGATGAGGACATGTCACTCGTTTTGTCGCCAAAGATATTTAATTCCGCTTCAACCAAATTCCTTTCTACCACAGGCATGGTAGCGAGAATGTCGTCCATCATGCGCCGTCTGTCTTGCATTACTTTGAGAGCTTCGTTGTCCCTGCCGGCTACGACGCCAGAGAATTGACGGTCAAGCTTAATTGCATCGGCGTAATGTCCGCTCTGGATGAGACGCACGCATACGAGATCTTGGACTACAGGGACAGATATCGAGGGAATAGTTTTAGGTGGGTGGAGTGCATAGTCGTGAAGCGTCTTCTGTTCATAATCGGATAGCGAGAAAGCCAGCAAGTGTGACAATGGTACAGAACGTGGCTTAGCTGTATTCAGAATGATCAGCAATTTTTAAGTACGCTTAACAAATAGGTCATCGTACGTGAAAGACACCACTCGAGGAGCTTCTTTAGCAGTCGTGATCTCGTCTCACTAGAGTCGGGGAATGAACGTTGATATTGCCAAGCTTCCAATGAACTTGACTCCGCTAAAGCAATGGCATACATGTCCATGTCGTCTGGTTCCGTGAGGGGGGGTTTAGCCGTCTGTACGTATTTGACAATGAGCTGAGATGGCTTATTTGCGAGGGATATAGCCTGGAGAATTTTGGAAGCGTAGTCTCTATTAAGACGGGCATCGGAGAGTATTGAGACAGCTTTCTATGGACCTTTCAGTTAAGTTTTTCGATCTGAAACAAGATTACGACATACCGCAACGTTTACACCCGTGTCTAAAAACCAATATGCATCGGCAAGAGATACGAATTGTGGTGGTATGCATCTTTCCTCTTGAAACCTCCCTTCCCTTCCGTCCTCGTACCACTTCAACAAAATATAAACAAGGCAATCTTTCTTGAGATTGTCGTAGGAAGAGCCTTGAATAGCGTCTAACAATCGCCGAAGTGCAGCATGGTCTGTGGGAGGATAGTACATGTCCGGACTTCGAATACCACCTCTCACAAGAAGGACGTCAAATAGCAGCATGTCTGTCATCTGGGCTCGCCTGGCTTCGATCTCCTGTGGCTTTGGGTCGAGCCATGGAAAAGCCTCAGGCGGGTCAAAAAGAACAAGCCAGTCTGAGGTTGCATTTTCACCATCCTATGAAATATGAGATGCTTGATAACAGCGAGTGCGGTGCAATACTTACGACGTCCATGTTATGTCCAAGGGTATACGTGCTGGATGTTGACGCGACCAAGTTGAATGTCGCGGTTCAACAAAAGCAATGGTCTCGGTGCCCGGAAATGACCGAGCATTGTGGCTGCGGGATTTCTCATTTGCTTCCATTTGAAATTTAGACAGTATGAGGATTGTGACTGAAATAAGTACAGTACAATACATCTTTATTGGCGGCGGCGATACAAAGCAGGGAACATTGAAACAGGGTATAGCAAGCAATACATCAACGAGCTGTAGTTTGCTGTCCTGCCGCTTTCTCTGACAGCCGATCTACGATGGGTGCATCAGCGGCATTAGCAGCTGGAATTTCTAACTTGGAGCTAGCATCTCTACGGTCTGACCGCGTTTCTCCCTTGAATCCAAGGTAATATATGCGAGATGAGTCGCCGCCTACTGAATCACTCTTCTCACTGTTGTCAACAGCGTTGAGACCAAAAATATAGAACGACGTACAAAATATAAGCTCAGTGAGCTGATGTTAGCAAAGGCTGCAACTCGTAGAGGATATTCGACAACCCCAGTTTCTCCTTCAAGAAGACTAATGTCTAGCTGCGGCTTGGTGACTTCGGCATCTGCGAAGTCGACAATATTAGGATAATTCGCATACAACCGTAGGTGACGCGGCGTGACTTCTCCTCTGCCTGACGAGAGCCGTCAGCACAGTAGTGACTATAGAATTAATACATTTCTAACCAAGTTTGACGATGATGGATTTTAGCCGTACGCTTTGTGTGAAAGGGACATGTATGATCATCTACGGATAGCCTTAATGTTTTGGAAAAAGTACGGATATGCAAACTTGAAAAGACAGTACCTGGTCATCCACTCCAGAATCTGCGAATTTCATGGTATCATCCCGTTCGTTCCAAGGTTTGATGATCTCCTTAGCATCCTCTGGTACAACCAGGTTCAGACCGTGCACACTTGACTCGGTTTATCAGTCAAATCACCCAGTCTTCCATGGCATCGGCACAAAAGCACGACGCTCACTTATCTCTATTGATCAAACCGAAGATATTTCCAGCATCGCCCCCAGCCAGGTCTGGAGCAACAGAATTCGAGCCATAGTCCGAGTCTGACATACCAGTCAGTTTACAAGAGTACGCGGTGCTCCGTATTCGGAAATCTGCTCGGGATATGGCAACAAACAATAACAAATACGTCCGTACCCGTTGGTGGAAATTTCTCTGTGTTCAGTACGGACTACAATGAATCGACTGGTAGGGTCCAGCACCTCTCAAGCTCTGCGACAGGCCCAAGCGCGGAGTAGGAGTGTTTTCTATGCCTGCCGTTCATCTTTTCTTAGGCCTTACACCACCCAACCTGAACACCCAAATATCACGGGCTCAGTCCTCACTGATAATCGACCCGCAAAAGCCCACTTCAATGGAGCAGAACCTCTTGAGGATGGCAGCGTTGGCTACCCGGACCTCATGGTTCCAAACACATTGCTGGATTCACACGAAGCTGCTGTCTTCCCCCCTACACGACACACGCCCTTCCAAAACCGAGTCATAGTCCGCAATGACCCATCCATCTTTGAGCTGCAGCGTTTGTCTGAGGAGAGCTCGGAAAACGGAGCTGGCATGAGTAAAGGTGCAGATGAGGATGACGAGCTTTCTCCACTAGCTCACCTTCCACTCGGGCCGAGAGAACTCAGAGAACTCTACAAATTCCCTCTAATCACGCGTCGTATCACGCAGCAGACTGGAAAGGGTAAAATTCATCGGATGTATGCGCTTGTCGTGGTAGGGAATGGAGATGGACTCGTGGGATATGGAGAAGGGAAGGACGAGGAAGCCCCACGCGCTACAGACAAGGCCTTCGCGCAGGCGGTACGCAACATGGATTATGTGGAACGTTTCGAGAAGCGGACTTTATGGACGGAGATGGATTCTAAACTAGGCGCGACACACATCATTCTACGGCCACGTCCTGTAGGATTTGGACTCCATTGCAATCCTAATGTTCATCAGATTTTAAAGGCAGCCGGTATCAAGGATGCTAGCGCGAAGGTGTGGGGAAGCCGTAACCCTTTGAGCGTGACAAAAGCGCTGTTCCGGATGCTGCAGGCCGGAAATGCACCTTTATCCATGGGTGACGGTATCGGCGGAAAAGCTCGAAGACTGGATAAGGGTTCGGGCCTCCGTAGCAAGGATGCTGTGGAACGAGAACGAGGAAGGAAATTGGTTGACCTTAGGACTTGGTGATGAAGGATATGGTATTTCCCAAGTATATTTCTAATATATTCATGCTGTCGACGCGATAGTGGTCGTTCCCCCTGCTCAGTGCGATTGGTAATGTAAAACCAGGCACTCGCTGGTCATTTATACGAAACACTACAGTTTTCTGCGGTGAACTTGAACTTTATATTGTTTTAGGTCGCTGTATGTGCATGGGTGTGCTACGCGAGATTATTCCGGAATGTGCTTCAAAGCCAGGGTTAGCATCATGGTGATTGTCTGACACGGCCGGCTCTGGAGAACCACTGAACAGGGTATATTGTTTTTGCATGTTCCGTACGCATATCATGTATATGGCGTCTTTGACTGACAGACCTGCGCCAGGGCTAGTTTCATCTAACTATACCTTGGCTGGTCATTCCGAACATTTGAAAATCAGTATGTCGATACCGCCCTACAACTTGGGAACCCCAACTGCCTTGGACACTTCTGATAACGCAGCCCATACAGTGGTAAAGCTAGACAATTGAGATATTCGGACTCAGCGGCTATGTGAACGCGCCTCGTTTTCTGAATCATTCCATCAAGCAAGTCGAACTCAATCACGACACACGCACACCAATTATGCAAGTCCTCACATGAGAAAGCTGCCAGGTCTGAAATCATTACGCCGCACTCGTGTTTTTGATTTCCGTATGTCAGCTATCACAAGTAATACCACCTTGACAGAAGAAGGCTAGCGCCCAACATACAGCAATGATCGTCACAACTCATCAATATTCATCGATGACCCTGGGAAGCCTTTCTCATTCTTGCAGTAGAGTATTTCCTTCCCATCTGTTTCATCCTTACTTTCACCAACATTCTTACAAGTGCAAAGAAACTAATCATGAATAAGGCATATGAGAACATCTGAGCGCCAGCGTGTTTAACATGGATACAGTGGATACAGTGGATAATTGTGATACATAACGGGAGGTCGTCTGGTACACCTGGTACACATACGTATGGTGCGTGTTATATTTACCCTCGATCCTACTGGAGTATGAGAGTGACGCAAGACATAGATATCCGAGATCTTCCTGATAGCGAGAGATGATCGTCAGACGCGTAAACGACTACCGTGAAAATCGTAAACGACAGAAATTGGAGTCCTATGATGCTCCTGTGAGAGTGAATAACTTTCCTGGAGAAAACCAGCGACGCTTGGGACGTAGTCGTGCAGCTTGTCGACAGTTTTCGATATTTGCCGATGGAGGTGGTGTGACAGGAATCACCGATGAGGGTGGCGATGATCTATGCGATGATGATGACGATGATGACGATTGTCGAGAATTTGGTGATGATGCACGATTGAACAAGGAATGAAGGAAGAAAGATTCTGATCGGGGACTACCTTTACGCTCCTCGTTTGACTTTAATGACGAACGTGGGCTTGCGGAGCGGGGGAACGTGAATTTGAAGAAACCAGAACTCTTACGCTGGCTTTCAATCGTTCTTTTCTGTGCAGATGCGGAAACATCATCTGCGGATGCTCGCCTCAAGGAGGTGAGTATAGCTGGTAATAAGGTGTTTGAAGGAGGTATCTGATGGCGTTCCCAGGGGTCTACATTGGACGAGCTAGAGTCTTCATCGACGTCACTAAAGAAATTTAGATCCAAACCCACCACCGAACTGTTCATGGACGCAGAAGGGTGAGATGTCGCGTAGTCGGTCTCCGAGTCATCATCCCACGTCGTGTCCATCCCTTTGCTTTCCGGAGTGGAATACACCCCTAAATCGACGGACGACGGCATAGCTTCAGAACTCAAAGGCAACGATAATCTAGATACCGATGCATCGGCAAGAAAAAATGATGAGGAATAGGGATTGTAGCTTTCCACCGCAGTGTGCATCGCCGAGGATATTGAACGAGTGGAGTTGGTCGCTGTATAGTACATCCGCCGCCCGCAGTTGGTATTGATTTTCAATGGCTTCGTTGGCGGAGGTAAGACGTTGTGTGGTAACATGACGTTCTTCGGCATTGCAGCGCTTTCAGGAGTCGTAGGAATGGAAGACATGGTGCTAGAATCAGATGGGGAGAGGGGGGAGTAGGTGGAGGGGGGCGTAGCAGATTCATAGACTCGAAGTGGTGTCAAAACAGTCGATGTGGGAGACCGTATCGAAGACTCGAAGGCCCAAGTAGCTTCACAAGAAGCATAGTCTTCCTCCCACGGCAAATCTTCTGAATTATTGGCGAAATCCATCTCCAAATCGGAATCTTTGCTCCAAAAAGACCTCAGCTCCTCCTGTACTTCCGGTTCCACAGTCTCGCCTTTCGTGGAAGAGTCGCTATCGCTTTCAATCTCAACGTCTAGCTCCCAAGGGCAACGAGCCATGCTTCCCTCGAAGATAACGCCTTCTGCGTAGAATTGGTCCACAGCGAGAATCGCTTTCCTCACTTCTGCCAGCGTAGAGCGCTGCCGCCAGTCTACCTCAAGCATCCTTGTAAGTATATCGTTCACTTCCAAAGAAATAGGAAGAACGGTCGGAAGGAAGTTCAAAGGGTCTTGAAGGTAAGCCTGAAAGGTGGGGTCCGAGGCTGATGCAGATTTCCACGGATTACGCCCGGTGGCAAGATTCAAAAGGATGATAGCGAGAGACCAAATGTCGTTGAATAGGGGTGAGTAAGATCCAGTTGGTGCAAACGATCCCCCTTGACACTCTGAACCGAATATTAGCTTATGCGAGGACTGCATTGCATTATGGAACCATACCTGGGCTCATGTGATAGACACTACCTGTTCGGAATTCCTCGCTAAACCTGTCCGTTGTCGCGAGGCCGAAATCAGTGATGGCAATGCGGAGGCCACCTTCAAAGCACAAGACATTTTCTGGCTTCAAGTCACGGTGATAAATTCCGAGTGAGTGGCAGTACTCGACAGCGTCGAGTAGCTGTAGGAATATGTGCTTGATGAGCCTGTCATTGCCAAGATACCGACAATTGTGAAGGATTTGGGAGAATAAGTCACCGTCACTGGCAAAGTCCATGATGATATAGGTATAGTGGAACTCCTCGACTACCCTGTGAAGAGTGACGATGTTGGGATGAGCGGATGCAAGGCGGTGTAGGGTTATTTCCCGCAGGTGGAGCTGACGTTGCCTCGAGCCATGTTCCATTTGGGAGTTGATCAGGCATTTGACGGCGTAAGATTTCAGAAGGGGATGCCTCGTGTCAACCGCTCGGTATACAACACCATATCCACCGACACCAAGAACTTCCACGAGTTCGAGGGATTCATTGTCAATGAGGGTGCCCAGCGCAGGGGGGGATGGGGTCGAAGGGACGACAGAAGACACCGCAGGAGAGGAAGGCATCTTTGTACTGTAGAGGGAGCTTCGAGAGCAAGTCAAGTCCCCAACGACGAAAAGTTAGCACCTATGAATAGGAAGTAAGAGCGAAGGAGCTTTTAGGGGATGCTCTATTAAATAAGAAAGAGGTCCTGTTTGTGCGTGTCAAGCACGAGGCTACCGGCCTTGATTCTGACGGTGATGATGATGGTGAAGGACCTGGCGAAAACGTTCCTGCAGTAAGGTGGGTCGCAACACTGCAAGGACCTGCCATCTTTATCTACTCTAAACACGAGCATGACATTGTATGTGATTCAAATTTGGTAGAATTATCCATTTCAATTTCTCAATTTCTCAGTGTCTCGGCTATTGCCCCTAAAAGGCTAAAATGCGAGCGATACGGAATACGGGTGACGAAGCTGTAACCGCAGCCCGCATTCAATCGTGGAGTTTGAAAAGGAAATAGAGGCCTAAATTCTGTCATTCCGACATTCTAGGTTCTCTTCCAAGCATAATTTTGGCACCATGCTCCAATTACCCTTGTGGAAATCTGGTCGATCGCGATCAGTGGGGCTTCCCGATCATCCCATTGCGATAGCATCCCTATTAGACAGTCATTATCAATCCTTCGATAAAGAGATTTTCTGATGACGTTGACTGTGGTCATTGAAGTGGATCGAGTACAATATATCAGGATGTCATGATGATGATCCTGCGTTGACAAGGTGAAAGAACAGAAAATCCACCAAACTCGACAGTAAGACACGCACCTGACCCAGAGGAGGGAAAGTCGACACTTGAGACATTGGTCCAGGTTAGCCCAGCCTAAGTTACGAACTTCAACTGACAGGACGGCTCGGCGGTGTCAATCAATGAGCGACCTAGGCTCTATAACATACTGAACGTGCCTTAGCAATTGGTTATTGCACTAAATGCAAAGTTTCCACGGAACCTTCCGGGCGATGATATCAACATTGGTCACCTAGTCATTGGAAATACGACCAGTGACGATATCAAAAACGCATACGATCGAGAGGTAGTAAATCGCGGGCTTGTGCGTAAAATAGCCTTGTAGGAGGGTAACGAGGGAGACGAGCTGATATAGAACTTCACCTAAGTGAGACTCTGGAGATTCCAGGAGTGACAGTTGAAACTGATCCAACTCAATATCAGTCGGATTTTCAGGTGGAGAAGGTAACAAAAAAAGCATGATTAATGCCGACTAGCGCAGACAGTTAGATATGTCACACTGTGAAGGTCCTCGGGACGAAAGAAAAGAATTGGAGCCACCCCGACCGCGATAAATAATTAACCTGCCCGTCAGGACTCCTAGATGGAGTTACAGTGGTATGAAACTTTTAGGCGATGCTCGCAGCCTATCACATGTCTCTGGTGAATACGAATCAAGCTGGGAAACAAAAGTACACATACTATGCCTTGAAATTCACCAGAAAATAAGAATGAGTCTTCAGTACTGTTGAGTGATCAGGATGATATCAACAGTGTAGTGATACGATAAATCCCGGATGATAAAAGTAAAATAAAGTCTAGTACACATACGTTTCACAGGACAGTAAGGACGAGCTTGTCACGGTCTCGGACCTAGGGGTGAACTCAGCATCGTAACAGCCCTCTTTGTCTCAATTGGAGAAGCGAACACGTGCCCACAGCATGTATGATGGGCTAATTAGTGCAAGTCACCTGATCAAAACGCGCCCCTCACGTCCAAACAAGGTTCTTGGCCACGTCGCATATCGGAGCAGCGGAGCCCCAATAAGCATGTGCCGTTTTAAAGCCATAGCGACCTTGTCCGCAACCTATTCATCTTGTCAGACGTATTCCATCGCCGGGTCCTCCAGCGATCACACAGATTTCGCGATATCTCTGTAGCATTGGGCTCGACGTCTTGTTCCTTTTCATCCTATCCATTTTTGTTTCTTGAATAGTGTTGACTGCTCGATTCTAGTCCAATGTCCGTCCGCTCTTTTACCGTTTTCCAGGACACACCTACCGAGATAGAGGTCACGAAAAATGAATCTCCATGCGACAACGATAATAACTCACCAGCCATTTCCGCGGCGGCGGCAGCAGCCTCTGTACTTTCTACGTTAGCAGCAATTGAGAAAGAAAATCTGCATCCAGTCACTGGGGAGCGCGCAGGGCCAGGCCCGACTTGCAAAAAGCGTAAAACGGGAGTCCTTGTAGCGAAAGTCGATGTCTTTTCGTCAACGTCGAAAAAGCAGAAGGAAGCGAAACCTGAGACGAAAAAGCGGAAATCGTCGATTAGTTCTTCGAAGGGAAAGAGTGGCGGGAAGAAGGATGGTACTGGCAAACCCATGTCTCGCTCTACGCGACGGGTGTCGCCTCTGCCTAAGGTTGAAGAAGAGATAGAGGCGCAGAAAGAACAGGAACGCATCTCTCAAGCCAACGTCGAGTCTAAATGTTACGAGCTGACCGTCTTGCCACTAGCAGACGTGTCGCAGGCATATGAAACCAGTCCGCTGCTAGAGCCCAAGCAACAGAAAAGCGTAATAGAAAAGGTCAGATTATACGTGATGCGAGTATTCTAAGGATTTAACGTTGACATCTAAACAGGAGAGTTCTGTCGAACCTGAATTCGATGATTGCTTCTCTTCTCCACATCTGCAAACGTCGCTCCCTTCCGATCGTCGTACGACGGTCGCATGTGGCTTGAACAGCTCGTCTTTCTCTACTCCGGAGCGTAAACGCATTTATGCGGCCTTCACCTTCTCGTCCCCATCACCCGCTTCAGAACGATTCAACAAAACTCATTCGCCTGTCAAATGTGCTGCATAATCACAGAATGATATAGACATACCTCGTGTCACCTGATTACCTCCACCGTTCGCATGCTGGCAACCCCAACACATCCTGCGCATTCCTTTCATGCATTGTCGCCACCTCATCTACATTCAGCTGGTCCCCTGCATATCACCTTTTCTTGTTTATAGTATAAATATCTATTCCGTCTCTCATCTTACCCTGCGCTTGCATATGGTTCCATATTCTCGCTTGTCATGACTTGGGTTTACTCGCTTTGATCTGTTTGTCGTTTTGTGATCTTAGCACTCGACTGCGTACTGTTGGACTTTCCAAGCATATGTGTATCACTACTCACCACGCATTAATCCAAATACTGCCGTTTATATATTCTCCACGGGTTCGAGTATGATTCATGACGGCTTGGACGGACGAGCGTCGGGTCACCGTCTGTCCTGATGCATGATGGGCGCACGACCGAGGCTATCGTTGGCAGTTATCACTGAGGTCTCAGAGGCGCGCGAGTCCATGTGCCTTTATCTCGCGTCGCTTTCTTTAGTCCTTTATCGGTGACGTAGCCGAGATATTCATATGATAGCTTTATTCGCAACTGTCACCACTACTGGAAGATAAGAGTTTTTGTACAGGTGATATACAATGGTTTGATGCAAGAACTCCCTCTCCGAGTCGCCCTTCCCCTCGAGCGTTTTCGCTATCTATTTCACCTCAGGTACTAGGCTCAGTAGAAGACTGTAGCCATGTCAATGGAGCTAGCCAAGAGGATTGTTCGACACCTGGAGGTTCCCCGTGATGCAAACACAAGTTACACTCAACAGCTTATCTTGGTAAGGTTTAGCACTTATCCGCTTTTTTGTGAAGTTCCACTCATGCTATTTAGAACGATGATTTGTTACCCGTACCTCCTGCCAAAAGGACATGGCGCGGGTACAACTATGTTGCATTGTATGCTATAAACTATTATTTCAGGCACAGGCTTAAATGGCTCATGGTTTTTAATATCCAGCTGGATAGCGGACATGTACAACATCAATACGTGAGACGCAATCATTCATTTTACAAAGCTTGATTTAGAACTTACGATATATTTTACTCTCAGGTGGATGATTGTATCCTCAATGATCCAACTGGGTTTATCTTGGTGGCAAGCTTGGATTTGCGTGTGGATTGGATATATTTTCGTAACCCCCTTCCTCGTATTGAACGCTCGACCGGGTGCCGTTTTTCATCTGACGTTTCCTGTGGTGAATCGCACGAGCTTCGGAATATTTGGAAGCATGTGGTGCGTCTTCAATAGAGGAGTGATGGCATGGTATCTGTTTTTCCCCTTCTTTTCTGGTTCATATCACTCATCTAAAGTTTGATAGCATTTGGTATGGTGTGCAATCAAGCATAGGTGGTACTTGTGTCCTGGTTATGCTACGCGCCATGTGGCCTAGCGTAAACAATATACGTGTGTCCTTTTCTGTTCTTCAATGCTGCTCGTATTCTCAAGCAAGGCGTGATTTAGCGAATTCGATGCCCATCTCGTCCGGAACAAACACAAGAGACTTCATGTGCTTTTTCCTATTTTGGCTTATATCGCTCCCTGCGATATGGTTTCCCCTCCACCAAATGTATTTTTCCATACTTCTATATCGAAACAGTCTCTTTGTTAACATTTATGCTGATTTAGTCGTCATTTCTTCACAGTGAAGATGATTGTAACTCCCATAGCTGCTATTGCCTTCTTGGTATGGTGCATCGTTAAAGCAAAAGGCGTTGGTCCCATTATCAATCAACCCTCTACATTGCATGGGTCCAACCTGGGGTGGGCGATGATTGTTAGTCTCATGTCCTGTATCAGCAATTCAGCGACCTTAGTAACGTGAGTGGTGATAAATTTCATTGGCTCTGACCTATCCCTAAGAAACATTGTCCAGAAATGCCCCTGATTTTGCTTCTCGTGCAAAAACCCCCAATGCTGCGCTGTATTCTCAGATTTATGCCCTGCCTCTTTCAAGCACCATTGTCTGTCTTGTTGGGATATTAGTCAGTTCGTCATCTCAGGCACTGTTTGGGGAAGCCATTTGGTCCCCTATCGACCTGCTCGGTAAATTTTTGGATAATAACCCATCACATGCAACTAGATTTGGTGTATGAGTCATTTCATCGAGTCCCTAACCAGTTTTTTCGACTGATTCACGTTTAGGTCTGGTTCATCTCAGCATCCTTCATAATCGCTCAAGTAAGTAGCCCGTTTACGAGAAACTCTAGCTAGGCTGACGTGCTTTGTAGATAGGGTAACATTTATTTTACTTATTCCACGTTTTGGTTTTAACCGGTATTGACAGTACCAACATTTCGGCCAATTCAATCAGTGCAGGTTGTGACTTGACTGCGTTGTTCCCTCGTTTTATCGTTCGTCTTCTTGTCAAGCCTATCCATTGGAATGCGACTAAACCTGTACATCTGCAGAACATCCGTCGAGGTGGATTCATCGCAGCTATTGTCGGCTTATGCATGTGCCCTTGGAATCTCCTGAAGAGCAGTAGCACTTTCACATCATATCTGTCAGCATATTCCGTATTTCTAAGCTCAATAGCTGGTGTCATGGTAATGAGTAAATTGGCGATTATATGGCCTAGGCATTAATTATTTTTGTTCCGTACAGGTAATGGAATACTATGTTATCCGAAAAGGTCACTACAATGTTTCAGATCTATATGAAACCCAGAGAGGCAGCTGGTATTGGTACACATATGGTATCAATTTCCGGTGTGGTTTCTTCTACATGTCACGAGGACTGCATTTAATTAAACACCAAATCACAGGGCATACGCTGCCTACATATCAGGCATACTCATCAACGTAGTCGGTTTCGCGGGTGCAAGTGGGTTTCTGGAATATCACTTTTCTGACCTGATTCACACTGACGGGCCAATTTTTATCAAATGTTTCTAGCCGGCCAAAATGTACCTCTACCCGCAGTTCGCATCTATGAGTTATCATTCTTCACTGGCTTTGGGACATCTGCCCTCATTTATTATGTCCTGAACCGCATATTCCCGGTCATCGGTGCAGCTGACAAGTTTGAGGAGATCGACGTATCCAATTACGACGACGACACGAGCTCGACGAGGCAAGATTCCGCGGCGGATGACACGAAGGAAGAGATATCGTTACCCGACAAGGCATGAACAAAAAAGACTTGTTGAAGAGTCACGTATATCATGTATATTTAATTGAAGTTTCGTGTTTACATCTCAAAATGCGCTATTTTTTACTATGTACACTCGACCAAGTCTAAGCGGTATGAACAATACTTTAACAGCCGATTTGCATAAGGTATATGCACAGAAATTCCTGAAATAGGTCATTGTGGTGGTGTTCAACGTTCAGCTATGATGTCATTACCAGCCTCAAAAGCCTATATCATGCCCCTGTTCAGCCACGGTCTACATAAAGTTCCCTTCACATACTCTGTGAAACTCAACATTATCTGCATACAAAAACAGCATATCATACAATGTCAGGTGTAGGAAGTGGAACTCAATCGCCTCCTCTCGAAGCCACTGGAGAAGAAGTGCCAATGGGCGTGTCATCTATCGATCAGGAGGAACCGGTACAGCACGTCAAGGATGCTGATCAGAGAAAAGGTATGTTTTATAGGATCAAGTTTTGTAGTAGTTGCGTACAATAACTGACAATGCTTTTCAGATTACTTCGACAACTCTGTAAGTGATAACTGCAAGGATTGTGTAGCCTTAGGCATCAGCCCCTAACAAGTGTATCCAGGACAAATCGGGACAACAAACCGCCTCAGAGAAAGAGAAAAAGAGTCGAGAAAGAAAGGAGAAGAAATAAGCTATAGGGATTGCTAATGTCGATGCAAAACAAACGAGTTAAAGATATAATGTAGAAATCACACCTGGTACAATTCGAACACTTTCAGCGACTATTCATACATTGTCTTTATCATACTCGGAACTCCTCTCCGCACAGGCCAACTTAAGATGACTTTGACAGGTGCTGCGTCCACCACTCCTCGAATAACGAGCAGTCTAAACCTCCAGGGACATCGAGATCTTCGGTTTCTCTGGTGTACAAATGGCAATCTCTTGGTCGAGTAGTTGCTCCAGCACCCGTAGGTGGATCAGCGTCAGCGATTATGTGTTTGTGCGAGAGACCCAAGATCTTCGAGAAAATGAGACAGATTTCGTATTTGGTGAAGGGTTCGTCAGCGGAGTAGTGTAAAATAGGAGGGATAGGCTGTTTGAATCCTGTAAATGTCATTGAATAAGTCAGCATATATGATACTGAGCGCGGCATCGTCGATATCTGACCCGATAATCTGACTAAGAAGGAAGCTATGTCCACAACATTGGTGGGATAGCGCGTTGCATAGTGATCCATCTGGTATTGCTTTCCGGACTGGTCTTGCACGACGTCCAGAAGGACGTTGATAGCGGAGTCAGAGTTCTTTGGTGCTGGCCCGTATCTACAACAAATTACGGTGAGTCAAACCATGCGAGACATAAGTGGAGAAAAAAAAAAGGCGAACAGAACAGGCACTCTCAGTACAACGGCCTGGGCACCATCTACACCTAAGATAGCGACCTCGCCACCCAATTTGCTTTCTCCATACAGCTGCAACGGATTTGTCTTGGAAGAGGGAGTGTAGGGAGGAGACGTCCCATCGAAGACGTAATCTAAACGTAAATAAATTGATTAGATATGCCGCGCCGCCACATGATATTATACAACTGAGAGGCTGGAACGTACCAGTGGATATGTAAATCAGGGTGAAATGTAACTCTTTCGAAAGTTCCGCCAGATGTGCCGGCACTGAAGCATTGAGCTACGTAGCTTGGATCAATAACAGGTGGTGCAATAATTGATATTGCAATGACGAACCTTACGAGCACCGTCTGGGTCCTATCGCGATTCCAGCCATCAGTGCCTGAGCCCTCACAAAAAATAATCGGACCAACCTTCTCAGCCACGTCAGGCCTCCTCTCTGCTGCACAGTGGATGACCCCTTTACACGTACAAGGGGAAGATTAGCCGGTGTTTTCGAAAGTCTTGGACTGAACCACGGCGTTGAAAAGTTTGAAACGCACAATCAGGACTGAAATTGGTGAATGTCTGCCTAGTCTCCCCCTCATCTAATAGATCGAGTTTTTTCAATGTTCCTGTGGGCCGTGAATAGGCCAGACCAAGGACTTGATGATTTCTTTGTTGAAATGCATTATAGACGGCCGACCCAAGAACACCAGATGCCCCTTATTTTCAGAGCTGAGTTCAGCAAAAAGGCAAATATTCGATGCTTGACTACTGGCGCTGAGTACCTGTTACAACGACTCGCATTAAAAATCACTGATGAGCAATCCTTGGTGTTTGGTTAGAAGATCGGTAACTGGGGCTATAAGGTTTGTGAGAAAAGGCGTTGGGTGTGATATTCCCAGCCCGATCGGATTATGGCGGGAACCCAGTTCTAGCCTCCCACCATGATCACGATCGCCAGTTTCTGTACTCAAGTATTATTTGGTTTTCCATTCGTCACCAATTGCAATTGCGCCAGCGCATCTGCATTTCACATCAATGGGACGGGCGACCTGAATTCACTAGACTCAACAAAGAGTTGGGAGAGTTTTAAGAATGACTTTTTATTATGGAGGCATAATTATTTTCCCTGCAGTGATCACGAGTGAAGTGGGGTCTGGTTCTTTCAAGTAAGTGCTTATATGTTTTTCCAGCTGTTCTACCTGCACCAAGGATTCTTACCACATATTTATCGATATACTGTAAGAGTTATCCATTTGTCGACATGTAATGTGCGCGGTATCACCGCTCACTGCTCAGAGTCCAGTTCCTGCAAGTTTGCAAATAAGTAATCAAGGCACAATCCAGATTTTCACCTTATTGGAAATTCGCCACCAAGGAGATTGGTATCGAACCGTTGCGACGTGGACACCCCGCATCTGTCACTACTGCACCACTGCAGATATTCTTCTAGACACCATAAACATTTTGCTAGTGAAAAGCCTCATACTAGTATGCACGATGCTTCGTGTCAGGAGATCGCGGTCCATTCTGCTTGGAGCTCACATCACGGCCATATTGCATTTCAACTCTTCTCCACTTAACTTCGTACGTGGACGCCGGAGGAAGCTAGCTGCTCTCAAAGGACACACCGTCCACCTCTCTTAGCATGTTCCACGTCTTTTCCGACAGTAATGGCTTGACATTTGACCCCCATTTCATTATGAACGAGACCAGTTCTTCATAAGTGCATATATGGACGTCCCCTTCACATTACATCGGTAGCAGCCTAAAACCCGCGGCGCTCGTTATAGCGCCATGATCCCTTTGTTACAGAAAAGTCCACTGGCAAGAGATTGCGCTCCGAAAAGTTACGACACTGTTCGATTGAGCGCTGTATCATGCATATTTCCTGGATTCATGTGGTCAGATGGTATGTTCTTTCGTAAACAACTAGTCCGCTCGCTGTTCTCATGAATTATAAAAATAAGGTTTCTGTAGGAGGCGTCTTACTCGCAGGCGCCTTACTGCCTGCTCGACTTCATTCATTACACTCTCATAACGCCTGCTTTGATCCCAGGAGTCGAGTTCTGAGCATTTATTGAAGGCGTCCTTTTGAGTTCTTGAGGTACGGTTGCTTTAGGATAAGGCTGCTCAGGGTTGAACTTGTGAACAACGGCCTAAGATAACAACGATAGGTGGACTACAGCACCCAACGACTAGCTCGAATGATTAACTGGGACTTCACAGTGTGAACTTCTCCCCATTGAACGGCTGGTAAGACAATATTATTATCTCTCACTTATCCCTCGAGTGGTTATACTAATTTGGTCAGTTAGGTCGAAATAGTCATGTCAAGAATATAACATTTATTTTGAATAGATGCTAGTATGACCCTGGCAACTCTTCCTTTCCCTCCAAATTGCCGCGGTATGAGCAAGAATGTACCTGACCCAGTGGCATCCTCGCGACCCTTTCAATCGCCCATAGATCTGTAATAAGTCGCCGCGCCACGGCACCGAACCAAGTAATATTCAGTTGTCGGTTGGAGGGAGTCTCCCTCTCTATACGTACGGTAGCCAGTTTGCTGTACAGGAATTGAGGAGGCACTAGTCAATCTCCAACGGATCGGTACCAATAATTACTAGGGATGGACGTGAGCGCACTCTATGGTGCGAAGAACGCTCATTTAGCTATGCTTCTTGACTTCGTTCGTGTCTCGCTGTAGGAGTTGGGAATACCACTGGAATACTTACCCCCCGGAATTCTCCTGGTTCTGCCATCAATTTATTTTCGCTTTCTGTCAATCTTTTGGTCGTGGTTGGCTAGAGGAGCGCATCTCTGCGCATCTCCTCACGGGCCCGCTTGACACTTGCTCTCGAACGCCGAAATATGATAAGCGACATCTACCCACGAGTTTATATTCCAGATATTCGCGATTCCCTATCTACGTCCCCGTTGCTAAGCCTTACGACAGTATAGGGACTTCAATAGCCAAAGGCACCGTATCGCTATAGTATCCAATGAGACCCAAGGTACCAGAGACGCAATATGCAAGAAGACGACAACAGTCGTTGTGCTGGGATGAAAGCGCACTGATAGTGCATATGTCGCATGTGAATAACATATAGGAATAGGCTTCAGAAAAAGTGGATATGTTTCTGATATCATCAGAAACAAGATGAAGGAGATCAGCTTCGAATGATCACGGATATGCGGCAAGGTGGACGGAAAGCTTACGGAGTGTGGCAGCCACGCATCACACGGTCCAGTCGCACTCACATGGTTCATCCGGAAGCCTAATATCGCACTCCGCGAAATTCCCAATGGGACCGCAATGCACCACCGCAAAGAATACCGTAATCATTGGCTGCGTTTCCTATCACAGGCTCCCAAGGCCGTCACTTCTATGCCAATTAGGAAAAAGATGAGTCCTCCAATCGTCTTATATACTTCTCCCTTTTCCCGTCTACTCCCCTTTTGGCTGGACTTTTCTTTTCTTTCCACTCCTTCGTTCTCCCGCACACCTTGAAGCTGGTCCGGCAAACGTGCACTGCAAGCTGTATGCAACATGGCTAGGATGCACGCAAAGCCTCGTCTTCATCTCGATCCAATCGCAGCAGGCAGTCTGCCTCCCTCTAGCTATACCCTAGCAGTAGAGCATTATCCACATGTCTCTTCGTTTCGGTCGGTATCGCTTGCTCGTTTTTCTGACACGAATTGATGTCAGATAAATATATAGGTCTCTGCAGATGGAAATGCAACTATACAGCCCATCTGTAAAGACAGCCCGACAGGAGGGCAGCGATAAAGTCAAAACTAGACCTGTCTTTGGAGACCTCGATCGGGTGGAGGGGAAGGTGATTCTGGACTCTAGTTGTTCTCAATCCGGTCGTCTGTCAATATCTGTTCGTGTTCATGGCTTCTGTTCACAACTGCCTTCCTCTTATCGTGCGTTTGGTTAGATTGAAGGCGTCTTTGAGTACACTTCCGCCCAGACGGAAGTCAGCGAGGACTATTACTACCAGCAGAAACAAAAAAATGGGAAACATAGACATGTTTTCTTGTCCTCGTTGGCTGTCGTACCTATGTCTCCCCCTCCGGATAACAGTCCTCGCGGCGCTTTGCGTGAAGCATTCGCTGTTCGAAAGCGCCCAAGTGTGAACAACTTGAACGCTGCAAGTAGATCTTGTGAATTCAGTTTTGAAATTCCTCGTGGCTCCAGACCCGGGGAAGATATGCCTCCTACGTTCTCCGCATCCACTCTCGTGGAGCATGTTCAACGCAAAAGAGCTTTTGTTGAGAAAGCTGAGGTATCATATCGCGTTACCGCGGTATGGGAAGCCACTGATGGTTCCGAAAATCGCACATTGTGAGTTTTTGTAGGAGGCAGCTTGTTGCTCCTAGCTTATTTCATCATTAGCTTGGAAGCCCCGATATTATTCCAACCCGACACTGATTTTCAGTCGCTGGACGGCTTGTCGATGGATCCAGAATGCTGGCTAGAAATGCCCTTGAAAGCCGACCGTCCCATTCCTTTCCAATGTGCAGTCAGTATAGTTAACTTCTGGCCTTTTATATTAATGCTGACTCTACAAAATTATAGCTAACACTACCTAGTCCTAATTCCTTCCCGCGAGCTTCATCTATTCCCTATTTCGTCGTTTTCACCACAACACCCCGATCACCTTCACTCGCTCGCGAAATTGCCGCGGATGCCACTATCGTAGTCTCCCTGATTCGCCAAGTGACTATTACCCACCAATCACCATCTATGCCACCGACACCTCCCGACACCCCTCCTCTCAGCGATGACTCAGACAACCAATCCCCTGGATCACGGACTGGCAACAGACTTCTCAGACGAGTCGCCAGATTGGACCAGCCAGTCACCGTGCGTATGCCTCGCACTCCGGAAGAACCTTTCGCCGCAGCAATCAGGTACAAACCTCTACCCAACATTCCAAAAGAATCCTTCTCTGAGTCTCGGACTATTCACACTGAAGTTTTCATCGGTTTCCCCAAACGACCCCGAAATCGCCAGGATCCTCGGAGTCAGCCGTCACAGGAGTCGCATGCTGCCCTCCCGGATGGCCTTTTCAAGGGAAAAATCCAATTATGCAAGGACATGCTGCCTGGCGTTGATTGGCCTGGCCTTAGTGTGAAGGTCAGTTTATCAAAGCGCCGTTTCTTCCAGACCTCTTAACCTGATAAACAATTGCAGTATTACTTGGATGTTTCCGTACTATTTGGACAAGATGATCTCAGGGCCCGTTTCCCCATTCGAGTATATTAAAAAGACTTGCGCTCCTCTATTTACTGCTCATTTGTATATGTCGTCTCTCACCTTCTCGTGGATTCTTGCTATCGATTCGCACTGTTCATAATCACCATCACACAAACGCACACTCTTTATGGTTCACTTATTACAATACTATCCTTCAACTTGTATTTACGTGTATATCATCTGAATATTCAATTGCTATTATTCCGTTGACACACTACATCTATGCACTGTACTGAGTGAATTTAAGCATTGGTTCAGAAGGCGCGTCACAGCCTTACGCGGCTACATCGACGCAACCACCACACCAGTCGCCAAAGTAATCCTGATAACATTCTACGAGGCTTCTACTCAGGATGGAAACGATGAAAGAACACCCGACTGCGTTATGGGATGCCATGCAAGATGGGAACGTGTTCTACCGCCGTCAGCAGTTATACTCGACAACAGGCAAGTTGCCTGACTTACGTGACTTCATCATCGCTGGCTGTCGCAATGGTGGTCCAATAGGTACTACATTCTGCTATCCAGTGTATATGCCACTCATCATGTCTCCCAGCTCTCATGCGGAACACTGCAAGGATTGTTGCTGTCACCCGCGCAACTCCAGGGTTTGCCAAGGCTCAAATCCAAGTTTACTCGCCTGCAGGAGAGAGTTTGATGACCTTCAGTGTGGATATTTATCTCATGTCTCTTGCGTGCGTCCTCTTAACTAACATGTATCTTCTGGGAAGTGGGATCAAAGCAAAATCATACGTTTTGGATGGACGTCTGACGAGAGATTGGCGGTTTTGAACGAAGAAGGCACATATCGCCTTTACGACCTTCAGGGAGATTATAACCAGTTTTCGTTGGGAAGCGAGGCCTCTGAAATGGGGATCATAGACGCGCGTATACATGAGGATGGATTGGTAGCCATGTCGGGCTCTTTGACGTTGTTGGAAGTGAAGGGCTGGCAAGGCCAAAGACCACTAACGCTAGCAAACCCTGGTGCGTTATCATCTTCCCTCCATATATTCTATCTTGACAGACAAAATAGGACTATCTGAACCACCAAACTCATGGGCCGTCATTCCACCTGACCAGACCATATCAAGGCACGTGGAAGTGCTGCTGTCCGTGAATGCTACCATATTTGCAGTCGACAATCTCGAGAGCGTAGATCAACGGTTGTCTCGCGGCCCATTCACTCACGTTTCACCTTCGCCGAATGGTAAACTGCTGGCTCTCCTGACGTTTTCAGGTCTTCTGTGGGTGGTATCGACAGACTTCCAACGTAGCTTGGCCGAATTTGAGACGTCAAGTATTGGAGCTCAGGGCCAGGTCAACCAAGTCGAGTGGTGTGGAAATGATGCTATCCTCGTGACGTGGGAGGGCCTCGCTCTTCTTGTCGGACCTTCTGGGGATACTCTTCAGTGAATACCCATTTCGTTCTGTGTAGTTCGACCGTCTGATCGTTGATTCAGATATTTCTACTCCGGCCCTACATTTACTGTTACAGAAGTTGACGGTGTAAGAATAGTTGGTACTGACGTCTGCGACCTGCTGCAAAAAGTACCGGGTGAGTCGCTAAACTTCTTTGTGGTATGCAATTCATATACTTATAGGGTTTTATAGCCTCATGTGTCTCTATATTCCGTCCTGCCTCGACTTCGCCATCAGCCATATTATTCGATGCTTGGGATAGCTTTTCTCGTCGTTCACCAAAAGCTGACGAGAGCATACGAAATATCCGGCCAGAGCTCGCATCTGCTGTTAACGAGTGCATTGATGCAGCAGGGCGAGAATGGGAGCCTTATTGGCAACGACAGCTGCTTAGTGTATGTTTAGACTCTCATCGAAGTCCTGTTAGTTGATCACGTCTTGCTCTTAGGCAGCAAAGTTTGGGTGGGGATTCTTGGATTTGTATGATCCAACTGACTTTGTGAACATGGGTCAAACACTTAAAGTCCTCAACGCAGTCCGCTACTACGAAATCGGAATTCCTCTCACTTACTCCCAGTAAGCTTACCTAGATCTTCGTACTTGTATGTGTATAACCTATGTGCACTGCAGGTATCAATATGCCTCTCCTTCCCACCTCATAACTCGCCTCACCTCCCGAAATCTGCACCTGCTCGCGCTTCGCATTTCATCCTTCCTGTCTCTAAAACCAGACGTCGTTCTGAAACACTGGGCAAGTGTCAAGATCGCGCGGTCCAAACCAACCACGACGGGGACTGGCAAGGATGCTGAACTCGGTGCTGACGACGAAGTTTGTAGGTTGATCGTGGACAAATTTGAGAAACTGGGGGGTGGGGATGTCAGCTATTCCGATATTGCTAAGCGGGCTTGGGAGGTGGGCAGGGCAGGGCTTGCAACGAAGGTCAGGCTCTCTTGCTTTCTTTTTTGACCCCCACCCTGACCCATCGCCAGCTTCTTGACCACGAAACGAAAGCATCGGACCAGGTCCCATTATTACTAACCATGAAGGAAGACAAGCTAGCTCTTGCAAAGGCTGTCGACAGTGGAGATACCGATCTAGGTATGGCTTTTACGTTTCATCTTCCGTCCACTGTGCTCATCTGCATTGGTCCAGTCTATCATGTCTTGCTTCACCTGCACAAACGGCTACCACTGGGCTCTTTCTTCCGCCTCATTGAAGACGGCGGCTCACGACTCGCCCCTGCCAGTAAGCTGCTGCAAGTCTACGCACGTGAGCAGAACCGAGACATGCTTCGCGATTTCTATTACTCGGATGATCGTCGCGTGGAGAGTGCGACACTCTGCTTGGATGAAGCATCACGCATGATAGTAAGCGTGAATTTGGTTCACCGTATATTACTTCCCTATCTGATTGATGCCTCACAGGACCCAAACGCAAAGATTACCTCAGTCAAAGCAGCCCAGAAATTCTTTTCCGAGGACAAGGATAGAAGTTTCGAAGCCAAGGTGATTTTCTCTTTCATTTCAATTTTCCCAGCCAAATTTTTCCAAAGAATCAAAAAGAATTAAAAAAAAAAAAACATTATAAAAAGAAAAACTCTGACGTTGCCTTGGATCGCAGATGATGGACGAAAGCGTCCGCCTCCTGACCTATCAGCAACAGCTGGAAAAAGAAGCCGATGGGAAGGTCGCCTTCTTTGGGCAGAGCATCAACGAGACCCTCCGGACGTGCCTCATCAACGGCATGTCAAAGCGAGCGGACAAGATCAGAGCAGATTTCAAAGTGCCAGATAAACGGTAAACATCATTTTCTCTCACCCACTTTGTCAAACGTCTCCCTGCCAACCAACACGGAACGGCTGGACGAGTCTATTCTCTCCCTCTCGGGGCCGCATTCTCATCCCTCATCCCTCATCCCTCATTCTCATCCCTCTCTCTTGACAGCTTCTGGCACCTCAAGCTCCACGCCCTCACCCACATCCGCGACTTTGACGCCCTCGACGCCCTCGCGCGCTCCAAGCGCAGTCCGATCGGCTACGACGCCTTCGTGCACCACCTCGCGGACAGGGGCCACCTCAAGGAGGCCGCCGCCTACGTCGTCCGCTGCGACCTCCCCAAGCGCGTCGATCTCTACGTCGAGTGCGGCGAGTGGCGGATGGCGGGGAGGGAGTGTAGGGAGAGGGGGGATAGGGCGAAGATGGAGTGAGTCACTGGCCCGGGATGGCGGTTTTGTGTGCTTGCTTCTGCTGAACTGACGGATGACGCTTTTGATGTTAACAGACAGTTACGGAAGAAGTGCCCAAACTCGTTGATTGCGCGCGAGCTGGACCAGTTGGCGTCTTCGATGAAGTAAGGGGAGGCTGGTGTACGTTTGCGTGTATAATCGGAAGAGAACCGGTACCGGTACCCACATCCATCTCCTGATGCAGCTGACTCAACTCACTACAAGCATGCCCTTTCTGTTGATACCTTATCCACACACTGTACACATCCGAGGAAAATCATTCATATCTCCATCTAGCCCGTTGATCATAATCATAAGCGTCATGACGGTGAACTGCAGGTGGGTATAAAACATCGCAATAAACATCTACCATAAATTCCCAAAAATAAAACCCAAAAACCCAAAATCTACGGCAACCCACGGCCAAGAAAAACTAGGCAAGGTCTACCAGAGACCGACCTCTGCGAGGTATCATTTGATACCCTCAGACATACCACCCAATTCGTCACTCTGTACCACTCTTTCTATTTCGTCCAGCATCGCCATCGCTCTACGTCGTCTGCGCCACCTGCGTCGGAGCAGAATCAGACACGTCACTCGAATTCCTAGTGAACCGCCGCCGGAGCCACGACGAGCCACGACGCTCAGGCTTGCCGTCCTCATCACCGTCCCCATCACCATCACCGTCATCCTCGTCCTCATCATCATTCGTCTGCCCACTCCCGTCAAAGGTATACGGCAACGGCACCTCGCGCGTGACGCGGTATTGATCCATGTTACCCAGATGCTCGTTTTCGAGACGGACTGCGTCGTGACCGGTTGAGAATGTGAGTGAGACGGTGAGCGTGACATCATCGAAATCGTCGTCAGTATGAAAGTAAGAAAGGAACGACATAAGAAAAAAGTGGGGACTGACAAAAATTCCACTGCCACCTCCTCAGCATCTCCAACATCGCCGCAATGAACGTCCGCGCCGTGAGATTGATCCCACCCGAGGGTATGTAGATCACCCAGATGAACCGGATGACGACGTTCGTGAGCTGTGAAGAACGATATCAGTCAGTTTTAGTTAGAGATTTCTTTTGGAGGTGTTGGATAAATACAGACTCACCAGAGCAACGTAGTACAACTACAGTCCACGACGACGAGAAACGCAGTCAGCCCAGCACCCAACAAACAAAACCAAAACACTCACAGGCAGCTCATTAGTATATATCAACTCGTTCCTCAGCAGAGGGTATCGCGCGTGAGGTTTCAGAAACGACCAGTCCATCAGAAAGTCCTGTTATCGTCGTCAGATGAAGATCGCCTCATACTCATAGAACACACCCACCCAAGTACACGCATAGATAGAGTATATCGTCCCCGACAAACACCACAGCACAAAACTAACTCCACCATCCTTGTTCCCTATTTCCATAACCCAAAAACGCATCCGACGGAAAAAGTCACGGTTCAGAGGACGAAGAAAAGGCGAAACGATCAGAAAATAGAGGCGCACCGTTATGTCTCCAATAATAGTAGAAAAAATAGTACACCAACCCCATCCCGTACTTCCCCGCCTACACGGTCACCAGCGACAATCAGCAACCCCACCCACCCAAAAAGCGCCACTCACATTAATCAAATGCGTCCCCAACCTCGAATCCCCATACCGCCTCAAACTCTGCACAAACCGCCACAAGAACGGCAGGGACCCGAGGAGGAGGTTGAACCCCCAGTTTCGGGAGGTGCCGCATGCGTCCCATGCTTCTTCGATTCTTGGGTCGTACGCGGAGGAGAGGAAGGAGTGGGGGGTGGGGGAGAAGGAGGATGGGAAGGGGGATGAGGAGGGGGATGGTGAGAAGGAGGAGGATGAGGAGGGGGGGAGGGAAAAGAGCGAGGAGGAGGAGTCTGAAGGAGCAGGCATGCTGGGAAAGTATCGAGCATAAACGCATCCCACAAAATAAAGATCCGCCAACGAATAAACAAGGCTACAAAACTGGTCTCTGCATGGACGCAGGCGCAAAGAGAAACGCGTCAGCATTCATATAGCAAAGCACACAAATCCAAATGAAGCGCGAGGGCAAGACATAAAACCCAAACAGCACTCACCCAAGCCAAAAATCCATAAACTCCACCTTCCAAAACCCACTCGTACCCAACCTCCCGACGCTCTTCAACAACCACCACCTCGTCGAGCCCCAAAACAGCCTTCGGATCGGGTTGAGGAGGACGACGACCACGATGAGGAGCCAGACGAGTGGCCAGAGGAGGGGAGGGCCGATTCGGGCGAGAGAGAGGAAGAAGGCGTAGGAGAGGAGGCAGAGGAGCATTGAGGGGAGCTGGGGGGGAGAGGGGGGTGTAGAATGGCGTCTTTTGGTCAGCATTGAAACTAGAGCGTACAACGCGACGTACCTCGAAATACTCCCGATGATCAAGACGCGTTCTAGTATCCAATTCTATTCAAAAAATATTAGCAGGTTGATTCCACGTCAAGACGGGGTCATCGCGTCCTCCCCCAACGATCACCCTAACCAAACCCAGAACCCAAAGCAAAAAACTCACCAAAGATAAAAACATAATTAACCCTCTCCCTCGCCCACACCAACACATTCGTACCCACCATCAACGAAAACAAGAGCGGGATCAACAGGATGGAGTAGATGTAGAGAAGGATGCTCCACGCCGGGAGGACAGTCGGGGTGGATGGCAGGGCGGCTGAGTGGGCGGTGTGCGTCCGTACGTGTGTCGAGGTAAAAATGAACGTAGAATCAGAGTAAAAATGAACACATGAGCACAAGCACACCATCACCACCACTCACCCAGATAAGTCCCAGCCACAAACGGAGGCAACGCCAGGCCTAACCACGCCCCTGAGCGAAACGTGCTAAAGTGGTGCGACTTGTGTTGGGAGCCGGCGCGCAGGCGGACGAGGGCTTTTTTCTTGTCGCCTCGTTCTGGGCGGTCGTGATAGGGAGGTTGGGAGGGGATGTCATTCGCAGAGGGGGGGATCGAGTGGGGTAGTCGCCACGTTAGTCAATGGTCGATCGTAGATAGCAGATAACGAATAGCCATGACATCAACACCACCTAAACCACGTCAAAGCACAAAGCACAAAGCACTCACCAAACCTCACAGCGAACAACTCTTCCATTTCCTTCAGCAGCCCATTGACCGTGGCGCCCGAGGCAAAGGCGGAGGGTTCGACCTGGAGTTGGTTTATCATTATCGTGAACATCATCGTCATGGTGTCATTAGTGTCATTGTTATTATTTTTGTGAGAGGATGCGAGGGTGAGGGGGGTGATGTCGTTATCGACGACGTGTAGTGCGTTAAAGATGGCGACGGCAACAAATCAAGGGGTCAGTACTCAGTAGTTTGCACCACAAAATCAAAAGCCACTACGGAGACGGTGAAAATTCACACCATCCGTCCATGCATTAAAAGGAGTAGACAGGGAATGCGAGACGGAAGGAAAAGACAAAGAACGAAGGGGAAAGCGACTCACGCGTTCGTGCATGTACGACTGTGCAGGGACCTATCAAAGAAGGGGCGAGGTTTGTGACAGTGAAAGATAGAGTATGTGGATAGTAACACACCCTGGTC